GTCAACAATCCTATCACACTGTGTCAATCTGAACTCTATGGTTTATTTTTGTAAATCATGCCATAAATAAAAAGACTGACATAACTAGTATATGACAAGACACCTTCCATTATGAACTTTCTTGAGCCCTGGTACCAGCCTGATCTTTTAAAAAAATGTCCTGAGAGGCATTCAGGAAATATCCTGATCTTCTCACACCTTGTATAAGGATCAGCACATGTAAATCTAGCTACCATTAAAATCTATTTAACACCTGACTGGATTGCCATGAAGATAATGTTTGAGACAGGAAGCGGACAAGGATGACCAGTTTTGCTATCCTTCTTCCACCTGTTAATTAAGCAAGATGGGCAAAGTGGGAAGAAAGCACAAAACTCTGGGATAAAATTCAATAGCGCAATAAAATTATGGAAATTATAGGAATTGTTCATCCCAAAGGCCCCTCCCTTCTCCATTAGAATGTGCTGGCTGAAATTGGGATAAAAAGCCCTAGATTTTCAAAGTTTAGCTAGCTCTCAAAGCTCCCACGAGAATTCTACTGAGTGCCCTCAAGGAATCCAACATCCACTTTCCCTAAGGACAGGTATACTCTTCTCTCCCCCTTCTATTTCTTGACTATCCATGTGGCTTCTGTGGTAAAATTGCCACGGCCATTTCTATATGATTACAGTGGTACCTCAGGTTAAGAACTTAATTCGTTCCGGAGGTCCGTTCTTAACCTGAAACTGTTCTTAACCTGAAGCACCACTTTAGCTAATGGGGCCTCCCGCTGCTGCCGCACCACAGCTGTGCGATTTCTGTTCTCATCCTGAAGCAAAGTTCTTAACCTGAGGTACTATTTCTGGGTTAGTGGAGTCTGTAACCTGAAGTGTATGTAACCCGAGGTACCACTGTATTGGGAATAGTTAGGGATTTTTTCTCTCTTCAAATGAAGGTGTGTATGTATGGTAGGACTTGCAACATTTAAGAATTATAAAGATATAAGGACTGTTAACAATTATGATTACAAAGACAATGTCACACAGTATAGATTTTATAAGAGATGTGGTGTACTGGCAGTTGAATTTGCTTAATCATGTCGAAAAAACTCTTTTCCAAGTGAGCTCAAGATAGAGCACAGAAACAAACTCTGCACTCACATAATTAATGCAATTTAATGTGCACATTTTGATTAATTTTGGTGTGCATTCTCTAGTTCCATGATTTGTCCCAAATAACAAAACATAAAATACAAGATGAGGTTAACTTACATTGTAGAGAAGACTTGTATTATAAGACTAAGACTTCTGCAGGCATTTGAAATAGTAGCATACTTTTTGTTTTTGTGCAAAGTGGTATGAGTATGTGCTAGGCAGTAGGAACAAATGACTGGAAGACAAGTGACCGAAGTCTAAAAAGTAGCCCTTGGTCCATATGGAACACAGAAACTTTGGGTCCTGGATATTGAGGCACACAGATAAGATTGCTGTTGCTTTGACAATGCTCATCACTGCTGATCTCCAAACAGATAGCAGCTTTGCAAAGCTAGTGGCATTGCACACAACCTTCTCTGTATAGTGAAGTATAGTTAAGGGTTTGGATGCATTTAATTGTGCACAGCACTCTCGTGAGCACAAGACCCAGTCTGAAGGACACGCCACACATTTTGTTGTTGTTTAGTCATTTAGTCGTGTCTGACTCTTCGTGACCCCATGGACCAGAGCATGCCAGGCATTCCTGTCTTCCACTGCCTCCCGCAGCTCGGTCAAACTCATGTTCATAGCTTCGAGAACACTGTCCAACCATCTCATCCTCTGCTGTCCCCTTCTCCTTGTGCCCTCAATCTTTCCCAGCAGGGAAAGGGTCTTTTCCAGGGAGTCTTCTCTTCTCATTAGGTGGCCAAAGTATTGGAGCCTCAGCTTCAGGATCTGTCCTTCTAGTAAGCACTCAGGGCTGATTTCCTTAAGAATGGATAGGTTTGATCTTCTTGCAGTCCATGGGACTCTCAAGAGTCTCCTCCAGCACCATAATTCAAAAGCATCAATTCTTCGGCGATCAGCCTTCTTTACGGTCCAGCTCTCACTTCCATACATCACTACTGGGAAAACCATAGCTTTAACTATGTGGGCCTTTGTTGGCAAGGTGATGTCTCTGCTTTTTAAGATGCTGTCTAGGTTTGTCATTGCTTTTCTCCCAAGAAGCAGGCGTCTTTTAATTTTGTGACTGCTGTCACCATCTGCAGTGATCATGGAGCCCAAGAAAGTAAAATCTTTCACTGCCTCCATTTCTTCCCCTTCTATTTGCCAGGAGGTGATGGGACCAGTGGCCATGATCTTCGTTTTTTGATGTTGAGCTTCAGACCATATTTTGCGCTCTCCTCTTTCACCCTCATTAAAAGGCTCTTTAATTCCTCCTCACTTTCTGCCATCAAGGTTGTGTCATCTGCATATCTGAGGTTGTTGATGTTTCTTCCGGCAATCTTAATTCCGGCTTGGGATTCATCTAGCCCAGCCTTTCACATGATGAATTCTGCATATAAGTTAAATAAGCAGGGACCAAACATGATCCACCTGGAGCAGGAACCGGCAAATCACTCCAGTATCCCTGCCAAGAAAACTCCATGGACAAAGTCAACAGGCCACACATAGAAGCCTGCTTCTGATTACTCAGTGGATTTAGGCATCTTCCCTGAAGCTTTCAAAAATATACCTCACCAATCATGAAGGACAGAAATGTGCCATTTTTATGAGGTTCCCAGGATCCAATGGGCATACACATTTGAAAGGTGATCACTACTGACTTTATGATATGTTTGTACAAATGGGCACTGCTTTGTATACTAAAATCTGCAGAAGCTTTTTTTCTGCTTTCAAAGTACTGGTTTATAGACTGGCATGGGAAACAGCTGAATAGTAGAACATATGTCTCTTTACATGTAGAAGGTGCTGGGGTAAAAGTTGTTATAAAGTTGCTTTTCTGTCATTAGGAAGACATTGTTCTAAGAGCATTGAATGACACAGATAAATCTGTTGCGCTTAAAAAAGGGGGGGGATTACAAACTGAATTTCACGCATCCCAAGATGCTTAGAGAGAATCTAGGGCTCAATAATATTCAGAACAAATGTTCAGCTGCTAGCTAATAACACTTTTTTAATTATTCCTCACTAAAGAATCGCTTTCAAATGTATTTGACTGAAAAGCAATGTCCAACATTAAAGTCTTATTTCATTCAGTTTAAGAGATTGCTAGCTTGGATTCTTCAACAGCTCCATTTGGCAAGGTGCAAAAATACTTCTGGAGAGCTACCAAGTATTTGTTTCCCCCAGCAACTTGAAGTGAATGTGGCTGCAGGGATACACTATCTTCTGTCTTAACAGGAACAGTGCACGCTGCTGATTCTTAAAAAAAAATTCAATAGTAGCATGTTCAAACTGGATTTTCAATGAATATTTAACTGGGGAAGGTATCTCATTTTCCTCTCGACAAAGAGAGGCCTGTGAACACAGATTTACAATATGACAGGAACGAGTAAATCCAGCCTGCACGGATCCTGCTGTGACTTGGGGAGGGGGAAAAGGAAAAGCATGGAAATGAAGTTAGCCTATTAATTCCAGTGGGTGCATATTTAGTTATGATAGCTGTTGTACTGTCATAACTTTATGCCAGTACAGAGAGGTGGGTTTAAAACTTGGTGTAGGAAAAGATCCTGCTAAGCTGGCTACTCTTCCAATCCTCCCCAGCAGTGCCAGTTTCTTTTCCTTGGCAGGTTAACAATATTTTTTTTTATTTCTTACATTTATATTTCATCTTTCCTCCAAGGAGCTCAAGATGGTGTACAAGGTTCTTCCCTGTGAGGTGAGGCAATGTAGCACTTACTCTGGTTTATGGTTAGGTAAAGGGACCCCTGACCATTAGGCCCAGTCGTGACCGACTCTGGGGTTGCGGTGCTCATCTCGCTTTATTGGCTGAGGGAGCCGGCGTACAGCTTCCGGGTCATGTGGCCAGCATGACTAAGCTGCTTCTGGCGAACCAGAGCAGCGCACGGAAACGCCGTTTACCTTCCAGCCGGAGCAGTACCTATTTATCTACTTGCACTTTGACGTGCTTTTGAACTGCTAGGTTGGCAGGAGCAGGGACCGAGCAACGGGAGCTCACCCCATCGCAGGGATTCTAACCGCAGACCTTCTGATTGGCAAGCCCTAGGCTCTGTGGTTTAACCCACAGCGCCACCCGCGTCCCAGGTTTATGGTTACAAGGGCATAAAAATACCCTTAAACAAACTCTAAATTACACCAGTGTAAGGGACTGAGTAGTAATAATCTTATCTTCATCTAGAGGGATAGGATTGGATTGCAGGTCAATTTGAAATGTATTCTCTCTTATAGCCTGACAGTAGAGTCCATACAATTTTCTGACATAGCTGATCCTTTCTAATGCTTCATTAAGGAAAGTGGTAATGAAGGAAAGACATCTACCATTAGGAAAGGTCTTGGGACCAGAAGGGTCAACTTCTGCAATTTTCTGAAAAGAAATCAAACTTGAACTGTGCCCTTCAGTGAATGTTTTCAGTTATGTAAAAGTGAAATCCAGTTAAGGGAGGGAAATGTTTCTAAAAGCAAGAGAAGATTTAGGACACAATCATTCTGTCCTCTGGACATAGTTTACAGAAGGAAAAATATGAATACTAAATAGAACAATAAAATATATTAATATCTGCCATATTTTGAACTGTTAAAGTTCTGCATATTTCAGTTTGAATTAAGTAAACTTCAGTTATTAATAACTGTTCTTTTTATTATTAAACAATCATCTGTCTCCCTTGCCCCCACCAATACCTAGCACCAAGATACAGCCAAGTTCACTTAATTGGTTTCAGCCATAAGCTGCAATGAACACAAACATTTACAGGAGAATATTGTTCCATACCACCCGCAATCTCTGAGTGGAGCAAGGTTCCTGGGAGTTCCAGACATGCTTACCCAGGGTCTGTTTCTTTTGGAAAATGAGGCACAGAAGACAGTGGTTCTTTAGATACATGGTTTATTTATACATATTAACAACCAGAGCATACGATAGAGGGGTTCCTTATATCACACTCCAAGAGGGTCTTGCCTCTTTCAAACGGACATCAGCCATCATGCCCTGCCTTCTGCCTTTTTGCTTTCCCATCACGTAACTCCTCTCAACTCTAAGCTTCTAACCCAAGCTTTATCTCTTGAGGGGCTTCACCCATTTGCTTATTCGCAAAGCGTCCCTTTGATCCTCTGTAGTCTTCCTAATGGCCTTGCTTAATTTACTTTCCTCCTGCTCTCTCTCACACACACCTCGTCTTCTGGCATCTCCACAGGCACTGATTCTTCCTGCTTCCTCTCTTCCACAGAAAGCACACAGGGGGTGAAGAAATCAATTAACAACAGCCCCTGCACACTTACAGGCACCCCCAATCCCTCCTGCTCCTTTTCCACAGCAGGCTCCCAAGGAGTAGAGAAATTAATCAGCATTTTTTTGGCTTCAGGCAGTGCACCCTTCTCTGAAGCATTGTCTTCCCCCTTGCCTTCAGCTACTGACTGCAGCCCTTTGGAGTCCAAGCCTCATAGCTGCCCACCAATGCTCTGGATCTCTTTGGCCACCCCTTCCCTCTGGATGCCACGCAGCAGTGCTCCTGGGTCACTTTTAACCCCCTGTAGCATCACATCAAGCATGCTTGCACCTTGCATGGAGTCATACTTTCCACTCCATGGAGACTTCCCTACCACTCTGCTAGTCGTGGCTCTATTATATGAAACAACTGGTTCTGCTGCTCCATCTGTCACCACTGCTGCTGCTAGAGCATCTGCTCAAACTGCTTGTTCTGATGTTGTTCTATTCTCTCAAGCTGCTCAAGGTCTGTAGCTATTTCTCCTCCTATTTCAGCACAGGTGCACCTTACTCACAGGCCCTTCCTCCAGGAAACCCCGCTTCTGACACCAGTGTTGCACGCCTATTCTTGATATGGTCATAGTGCACCAGTAGTGGGTTTATTCTGCTTGATTACTTGTTCTGCAATGCTTCCCCAATGCTTCCCCATTATTGCACCAAAAACAGGTAAAAAATAAACCAGAACATTTGTGGGATAACAAGTTACAGGATTTCAGCTGGAAGTGATGGGATATGCACTGTTTAGAAATGAAGCCGTGTGACTACCCCAAAACCTTTGCAAGCACAAATAGTATAGAAAGCAGGATCATGTGTGACCACCCTGATATCATCATGAGCACAAATTGTCATGAATGCACAATAAAATGGACATTTAAGACAAATGTGGTACTTATGGTTTCAGAACACTACCTGCATACTAATTTTCACTAAATAGAAATCTAAGCAAATGCACTTGGAAATAAATGCTGTTGTTGTAAAAATCTTTAAGAGACATCACTTTAAATTATATTTCTACTCAAAATATGTGCAAGCTCAGTTATGATTAATTTTTGAAATCCATCCTCTAATCTCAATAAACATTATCATGGTGATGGCTATATAGCAAAACCAAATATTATTTCTTGACAGAACTATAGGAAATTGAATAAAATGCTGTGTGGGGATTTTTTGGTGGTGTCATTTGTCCTTCCCTACACAAAAGTCTACTTTTTATTTCAGAGCAAAAAGAATAGTTTAAAGCTTTGTATCACTGTAGATGTAACTGTTCTTGTATTTGCAGTACTTTGTAGTCTTGCTTCCTAATGCTATTATTCATGAAGTGTTATACTCAGCTGGGGGTAGTGTTAAAAAGCTACACCATACGGTGAATGAGATGCTTAAAGGGGGATTGAGTAGGAAGGAGGGGACTGGAAGAGAGTTGAGCTGCTACTGCTGCTTCAGTGAAGTCACAATACTAGGAAACAAAAATGTCCACTTTCAGCTATTCAGCTACCATGAAATCATCTTTTCTATTCGGTATTTGTCATTTTCCAAAATCATATCTATATCTAAGGCTTATTAGTTTTTAAAGATATCATACACATGAATAATAATGTGATAGGAATAACAGAAACTCAGTCCAGAGTGCTCACCTATTATTGTTTAGTGAATGATTGTCCAATACAGGAGGATTTTGACTTTTTCAGGTGCATAAATTATATGCAGCCTTACTGTTTTATGTGAACAAGTGTCTGAATTAGAAAAATTAGGAGACAGAAGTGGACTGGTGAATATGCACCAATTTTATTTTGGTCAATTAAGAGGAATTGCTGTTCTTAATAAGGTTAAATTGTTCAGGTGGGAGCAGGAATTAATACAAGCTGTTAGTTTTATTGAGATGATTTTACTACAATTGCTGAAAAGGGGAAGCTTAAGCACAGTTCTGGGGAAATTAGTTTTGCTCATGTGCACAAAGAAATTAAGAATATTGAAGTCCTTTGGGCCAAAAGGAAAAAAGGGAAGTGGACCAATATAGCCTGGTGGACCTGCCCACATTTTAGGTTCCTTAATGTTAACTAAGTGTGTATGAAAAAGTAAATTAATTCATTAACATACTTAGATAATGCCAATGTCTTAAAATACTTTTTTTACAGGAAACTTTTAAAGAGGCCAAACTTGATGAGAGGATTGTTATGTACTGAATTGAATAGGATCCAAACTGCAGCAGTCTGATTGGTCCTAGAACAATAGGATCCAAATTGCAGCAGTCTGATTGGTCCTAGAACAATAGGATTCAGAATGCAGCAGTCTGATTGGTCCTAGAACAATGCAGCAGTGTGATTGGTTGGCAGGAACCACCCAATCATGCTCCAGATATAAGTGAATCCACAACCTGATTGGCTTACAGTAGAATTCCAGAATTAGCCAATCATGTGCAGCCCATTGTGTAAATAATGTATATAAAGCAGATACTTTGAGGGGACTTTCATTCATTCCTTCTCACCACTATGAGCTGAATAAAGAGCATGAAATCACTTTGCGACTCTGAGTATATTTCAAGGATGTTTCTATTTTTTCTTAAAAGTAACTGATTTGGATTGATGTAAGCAGCCCTCTCCAAAGCTGCTATTTGCCCCACCTTTAGATCAGGAAAACAGCATGGGATAAGGTTAAGACCTTCTTCTGCAGTGCTGCAACCTTGATACTCCTCCAGAGGCTGCTTTTAAGAGTATATAGAAAGCTCGGGGGGAGAGAGCTGGGTGTTGACCCTTAAGCAGAATCTCTTGAATTCTGATCTTATACACCATCCATACTCACCTGGGGAGGAAAAAAAGATGTAGGGTGTTCAATAAATACAAGCTCTTTTTAAAAGTATGAGTTACCTTTTAAATAGCCAATTAAAAAGTGGGAGGAAGATGCTTATATAAAGCAAAGCTACCAGCCTAACTGCCACACCAGGGCTGAGTATCAGGCCTAAATCTACATTAATCAGTGTTCTCAAACCTTCCTCCAGTGTTCCCAGGAGAAATTTCATGGGAACAGACTTAAGGGGCTGTATTCTTTCATGTGCTTCCCTTACTTTTCATATTATAGATCACTAAATTCATTTTGATTGCCTTTGTTCTCTGGAATACCCAGATCAAAACTAAATGCTGAAGAATCCATGAGGAAAGACAGGCAAACTATTAGGTAGGTGGAGGAATGTTTACTGCTCTTGTCACCAGCTCGTTTTGACAAGGGAGTACAGTGGTACCTCTGGTTATGAACTTAATTGGTTCTAGAGGTCCGTTTGTAACCGGAAACCGCTCGTAAAATGAGGCGCGCTTTTGCTAATGCAAAAGCAGAGCTTCCCGCTGTGCGTGTGCCGCCGGAGCGCAACTTCCGCTCACATCCCGGGGCAAAGTTCGCAACAAGAAGCGCCTACTTCCAGGTTAGCGGAGTGCGTAACCCGAAGTGTTTGCAAAGGGGTCGGTACGTAACATGAGGAACCACTGTATGGCAGATCAGACTCCTGATGGATGCCAAGGCCCACTGCTGAAGATGCTTCACATTCACACCCTTTTCTTGCCTCTAGGGATGGAAAGTGGGGGGCCAGATTCAGTACAGGGACAGAAGATCCTTCTGATCTTCAGAAGGAATTAGGTGAAGAAATACAAAGGTTCATATTCAGGATCATTTAGATGGGATTAGTTACTCTCTAAAAACCATATCACACTCAAAAATAGGGAGGGCAAAAAGGAGTGAGCAGAGGATACTCCCCATGCTTTCAATTAGTATGCATTACGTAGGAACTCCAATCCATGTTATTTATGTGTATAGAATCAGGAAAGTTGTTAATCCAAGTCAGTTATTGTGAATTACATGTAGTGATTTTGTACAAAGGGCACAGGATTAAGGGCTTACCGTAATGTGTTGTTTTGTGCAGTTGTGGAGATAAAACTTTGCATGCCTGTCAAACAGGTGTTTACACTCCACCAACACAAGCAGGTGTTTATACTCCACCAACACAACAAAGGAAGCAAATTGTGAATGTGTCAGGTGGTTAAAGCATGCTTAGAGACACTATGATAAACTGGTTTGTGTTGGATTTGGAGCTCTATTAAAATTCCTGCTTGGGCACAAAGCACACTGAATAACTGGGTGAGACACTGGATGATTTCCTCCTCTCAGTTGTTTTAAGGATAAAAGGGGTAAATACCTCAATCTACACAAAAAAGGTGGCGTATAGACACTTGTTGCTTATGTCAGTAACTGGCAGGCTGGGCTAAGCCGGTTGTAAAGAACCTATAGATCACCAGATGTTGCTGAACTACAACTTCAAAGCTCCGGAAAGCATGGCCAATGGCCAGGAATGATGGGAGTTGTAGTTCAACAAACATCTGAAGGGCCAAAGTTTCCCACACTTGGGTTAAACAGTGGGGTAGGGTCTCGTCTGATGTATTACATGTGAGTAGTACCATTGCTGCTTGGGGTGTGATATGTGTAGCTATACTGGATGACAATACCAGTAATGAAACATGAAAGCATGTTTGGTAAGCAATCCAGCTGACTGACCACAGGGACCAAGAAAGGTGCACCATGGCAGTATACAGGTGAAAAGTGTGCTGATTTTGAGGCAGAATGGGTGGATTGATTATTTATATTTCAGTGCATGTATAGGTCAACAGATCTCCCCTTCTAAAAGGTTCTCAGAGGACTTACATAGAATATCAGGTTACCTTATTAAGTTCACAAATCTTGACCCATACATATTTTCTGTTGTGAAATGACATTAGTAGGGGGCAGTTTGAAGCAAAGTAATGCTTTACCCATCCACATCACTGCCCCCGATCATCTCAGGTTCCAAAGCAACCCCAGATGTCTGCTGCAATTATTTTTCTCTCATGCATCATGTTGCAATTCCAAATTCAGAATAAATTTTGAACTCTTATGTCATTCACTGCCATACACAACCTCCTATATGGTGAATCATCATAATGATAGTGAACAATGCTAGAAGACCCCTTCCCACTGTTTAATCCATCCTGCCAGCTACTGTCTAGGCAACAAATAGTCACAACTCACACATTGATTTATCTAATGAGGCTCAGGTGCTTCATAAGGCAAAACAGGACGAGGGCAACATAGGTGCTTCATCTTCCTTATTTGAATTTGGGCCTGAAAGAGCAAGGGAAAGTGTGGGTGCATTAACTGTAAGTTGCAAGCACAATTTGTAATACTGCACATCATTAGTGATTATAGGGCAGGACTATTAAGATATCACACTTAGCTTCCAACATCCTAGCTTTAAGAACTTGATTCAACATGAGATGTCTTAAACTGCTAGGTTTTTTAAAACAACAACATCATTGTGATTCCTTGGGTTTTCAAAGGAAATTATATTAAAATATTCAAGTTCTGTAAAATATGAAAGTAGTTGCTTGATAATTACTATTTTTTAAAATGTATTTTAGTTCTGTTATAAATGCATTTCCATTAACAAACCCTGCAGTGAACTGCAACTTGTGGTTAAATGCAGCAGATTCAAGTGCATTTCACAGTGCTATAGAATGAACCTGCACAAAGTTGGGCCTACATATAATTTTTTATGCATGGCATTTCAGTTTTGAAAGTTGAAAAAAAGTTGAACTGTGTGTATGTGATTGCAGGTAGTGCCCATGAGTTTTTTGGGTTTCTAAATGTGCATCAGGGCCCAAAAACATTGGCAATCCCTGTTCTAATCTTTACACCATAATGCCATGCTCTATAACAAAAGAAACAGGCACTGCACATAGAATCCTTAGGTTGTTCTTTCTGCAAATGTCGTAGAAGTGGCAAAATTCTCAATTCAAAATTTAAACTACACGTACACCATAGTTTTTGCTGGGAGTTGCCAGCAGAGGCTTCAATAGGGCAGGAAAATCTTAAATTTTTGAACCACTGCCCAGAACTTCCACAAACTAATGAAAGCATGCCTTCTTCGGCAAGCCTGAATAAAATACTGTACACCAGCAGTTTATCAAAATGGGAAAGAGATGTATGAGATGCCTGTATCAAAACTGGGAGTAAAAAGGGTCAAGGTGTCCATTTTAAGCACTATTTAACTTCCTGTACCTGTATAAATTATCGGATCAATTTTGAATCTGGCACATCCATAAACCTTATTTTGGTTGTCATCCATCTGTGTTGGGAGACAATGGAAGGGTAAAGTCAAACCGCTGGAGAGTTACAGTACCTGCTGTGGCTAGAGACAGATACAAGAGTCATGTTCTATTGCAGTTGGGGCAGATGAAGGCATCCAGTTGCGCTGATGGAGGTGTACCATGGCGTTTCTTCTTTCTGTGCTGCTCCCAGCAGGCATTTCTGCTCTGGTCACTGCTGTGATTACATGACCTGTCTCCAAGTGCTGCGTTTATCTACAAGGGATTTCCACATTGCCAACCTTCATGTTACATTTGCAGAGCTCTTAACCAGAGTTGGTCTGCCATTTGGCCTGGTGCTTGAAGCCAGCTCCCTGGGGATCTTGCCATCTTCCATTCTGTGGACATGACCAAGCCAGCGTAGACATTGCTGAGAAAGGAGTACGAACATGCTGTGAATGTGGGCTTGGGAGAGCGCATTTCTGCCTGAAACTCTGTCCTGCCATGTGATGCCCAAAACCTTCCTGATGTGGCACATGTGGAAGGTGTTGAGGTCATGTTCCTGATGATCTTAAGTTGCCCATGACTCACTTCCAAAAAGAGCATGCTCAACACACAAGCCTGGTAGACCTTCATCTTGGTATTAGACCTTTGCATTGCATTCTCCCGTACCCTTTTGGAGAGGCGAGCCATTGCCGTAGCTGCCTTGCCGATACGCTTGTCTGGCTCAGGGGCAGGTAGCTGATATGCCAAGTGTATATATATGGCTTGGCAGGTGTCATTTTTATAAACTGCCATAACTTTGAGGCTTGCAATGTCAGGCCCTGCATGCTTTCCTTCCTACTCACCTTATAACTCAAAGGGCACTCTTGTGCTCCTTTTTAGACTTAAGACAGTATCCTGCGCAAGGAGCTGAGCGTTGAACCTGAGTTCAAATTTCACCTCGTGGTTTAAGTGATTCACTCGCCCGCCTCAGGCAAACCGCGTACCCTCTCCTCGCCAAATGGGGCTAGTAGTAGTCGGTACCTAACACCACACGGAAGTTGGGCGGAGTAGGGCGGGCTTGGAAAGGGCGAAGGCAGCAGCTGTGCACGTCTGAAACGTTAGGTCGCCCAGCGTGTGGCTCCTGTGAGGGAGCGAAGGAAGAGCGGGCGGCAGAGCCGGGGAGCCTCTCGGCCGCGGGCGCCCCAGACGAGAACGAAACGAGCGCCGAGCAGCGGCGGCGGCCCCCGACGTCTCCTCACGCCAAACTCGGGCAACCCGCCGCCTCCGCCGCTACTCCAGCGGCCGCCCCGCCTCCTCCCGCCCCTTCAAGCCGGTCCTGCCGTGACGCCTCCATTGTGTGCGCAGCCGCAGCGGCTCCCGGCGACTGTTGTATCCGGCCGGCGCCTTTTTCTCCTCCTCCTCCACCTCCCTTTCCCCCCCTCCCCCTTCCCCGTAGAAACTGCCGCTGCCGTCGCGGGCGCCCCTTCTCCTTCTCTGGCGCCCGGCGGGGCCCCGAACAGTCTCGTATTCTCTCTCCCTTCCCCTCCCCCCCTCCCGCTACCGTCACTCTATGACGCGATGGCAACGGCCAACTTCGGCAAGATCCAGATAGGGATCTATGTGGAGATCAAGCGCAGCGATGGTGAGCCGGCAGGAGGGAAGGAAAGGGATGGATGGAGGGATGGATGCAATGGGGAGGGAGGGAGGGAGGGAGCGCCGGCAGCCTGCTTCCTCCTGCTGCCTGGCTGCCGCCCTTCTCCTTTGGGAGGGGGGAGGGGCCGGGGCCCTTTATGCGCGCGGGGCCCGCGGAGGACACGAGCCGCCCCTCCGCCGGGGCGTGCGGAGGGTTGCGCGTGTGGGGCGGCGGCGGCCGTGGGCCTGTGGCGTCGCCCGCTGTCGCTAAGGCGCTTTTTGTGTCGCCTCCTGTGATGGTGGCAGCGGTGGGGAGGGAGTGGGCTTGCGAGGGACTCGGGGCGTGAGGCTGCTGCTGCAGTGCTGTGGGGAAGGGCGGGCGAGGAGGAGGAGGAGGAATGAAAAGGGTGTGTGTAAATATATATAAATGTGTATGTTTATAAATGCGCACATATGGGTGTGTGTGTGTGTCAGGAGGCGCAGGGTGGGGGGGGGGAAGCCGTGGGGCGGAGGGGTCAGTCTCGAGAAGTTGAGGGAGTGACAGGGGAACGGAGGGGGAGCTGGTAGGGAAGGGCGTGACCCCCGCCCCACAATGCGTGTGTGGTGGTGCAGGAAGGGGGTCGGGGTGTGTGTGGGGGGGATCGGCGCCCGCGATGGTGAGGTGGGACAGCTGCTTGGTATGTGTAGTAGCATAGGAAAGGTGAGGCTTTGGAGTGGTTTGCTCGATCGCTTGGAAGAGGAGAAGAGTGGGTTCCCCCCCCGCACATTCCCCTCCACAAATGCACTGAGCAAACCTGTCATCTCCCCAACAGGAGCGTGCTTTAGAAGCACACAGATCGGTATGAGCTATACATCAAACGGCCGGATGCAGTGACGCCGAGGGAGCTTTACCTCTCACCTCCCCCCCCCCCCATCGCCAATTATTCGACAAAAATCTTACAATGGTGTGTTAAATGAAATAGAATCACACACAGCCTTTTGACACCCGGATGTTTGTATTGCCCCCCTCCCCCTTCCCTCACAAAGAATAAGGTTCCTGTGTTGATTCAGTGTTTCCCTTTTTTGCCCTGTATTTCCTGGCAGCAGCATGTACGATGCTTTCTATAGATGCAGATGAAGTTCGTGGGCGGGTGAAGCTTGGGAGCGATTACCCTTGGATAGTATGACTACAGCGTATTGGAAGGCTGCAAGCAGAGTGAATCGATGGGCCCATCTCTGTTGCTCAATGGATGGGGGTGATGTCGTCTGTTGCTAGCTGGCCTCGTTGATGGTGGGGTGGGGTCATCTTGGGATTCTTCCAACAATGCTAAATAATTGGGGAGAGGAGGGAGGACATCAGGTGTTTATGTCGTGGCAGAGGTATTTAATGCTGATGTACTAAAAGGGAGAAGGAGCACATAGTATTTTTAACTGCTTTTCCTTTCAACTCTTCTAATTGCACTCTGAGGACTGTGTTTTTATTGTAGCGTTACAGCTACACATACTCATATAATGGAATTAAGTGTGAGAGGGTGTGTGAGAGATGAGGCTACTCATTATTCAGCTGTGTAATTTAAGAAAGGATAAAAATTCTTATTCCAGCTTCAGAGTGACCCAATAGGGGTGTGTGGGTTTGGGTTTTCCTCCTTGCCACAGTTGGGACAGGTGGGTGAATGAAGCAGACAGGGTAGAATAGTAGTCTAACTGAGTAGAAATATTTTCTGCATTGGAATGGTGGCATTCTGTTCTCCTGATCTACAAACCCATTCTCATGATTCTAAGAAGTAAAACTCTGGCATTGCTTGCTTCAGCCAGTGGTGGAGGAAGGTGGGAGGCCCTGGACGCCATTTTCCTACTTGGAGAGACGCTTTGATATTCCAGCCTTCCTCAATGCATGTGTCTTTCAGATATTTGGACTACAGCTCCCATTAACCTCAGTCTCCTGGCTGGGACTGTTGGGAGTTGTAGTCTAAAATGCCAGGAAGGTGCTATGTTGTGGAAGGCTGCCCAGATCTTAAAATGTAGTTTTCTCGTTTACATATAGCAATTAATTTGGTTTGGTTAGTCACCTGTCATCACCAAGTGTTTCTAAAAGTCTGTTTCAAAAGTGGTTTGACAGGATGACTGCTGTTGGAAGAAAATAACTATAAGGCCTTGAAAACAATTCAATGGTTCTTTAGATGAACTGAGTGTTTCCAAAACAATGAGATGCTTAATATCTAAAATCCCAAGGAGTGATATTTCTGTCAGTTAAATGAAAAAGCATTGGGATTCGGTTTGTGTGGAAATTTGTAGCCACATAAATTTATTTTAATGTTTCCACTGTATCTTTCACTTTATATAAAAAAGAAATAGGGAGCTCTTTTCTCCCTGGTCTTTAAAACTGCCATATTCAAATAAGACCACCTGCAAATAGCCTTGGATCTAGTCCTTTTACTTTTAAGGAGAGTTTCCAGGCAGGATGGTTTTTTTGTGGATTTCTGCAAGTACATGGGTCCGAGTAAGTTTAGTATAAAATTGCAGAAATGTTGGGTAGCTTAATTGTTTAGAGAGGGAAACAAAGATATGTTGCTGTCAGAACTGTGACTTGTAATTTTTCCAGCATTTTTTATTAAACATTTGTAAACTAGACTGATATAATACAATTATAAAATTTAAGACTTGGTTATAGTCTGCAGTTTGTAGAATCACAGTACTAGCAGTATATAAAATATTTACAAATTTAAAATAGTTTTTGTTGTGGTTCTTGTATATCTGTTGTTAAAAAAAAAGGAAGACTGACCAACATACAAAGCTGCATAGGGCGTAGGTGAAATGAAAGTTGACTATTAAGATTATCCCAACAACTTTTACTCCAGTTTTTAATAATGTCATAAAACCATAGAATTGTAGGGATGGAAGGGATACTGAGGACCATCTAGTCCAACCCCTGCATTGCAGGAACATGCAACTGTTCTATACAGGGATCGAATACAGGGACCTTGGTACCATGCTGTAACCAACTGAGCTATCCATGACATATATAGATGAATGGATGGGGTACTTACCGGAGACACATTGAAATATATAAATATTCTGTCCCTTGCAGTTTGTGTAGCTTTCCACTGTGGGCAAGACAGAAGCTACACAAGCATTTATTTCTTTAAATGATTTATATGCTGCCCTTCAGTTCATAAAATTGTCAAGGTGGCTAGCAATTCCAAGTAAAATACAATTAACAATAAAAACAATACATAAAATTAAGTTAGTACAAAAATGAAAAACAGAATAGTATAAAATCAGTCTGTTAAACCCATCTTAAGTGACATACCTGAAGGTCTAGGCATATTGGAATGTATTTTACCAGGTGTCAAAAGAGCATCCTGTTTGGTGCTAAGTGAGCCTTCTTGAGGACAATTCTACCTGTGGACACAACACCACAACTGTAAAGTTCCTCTCTCCAGTTAGCACCCATCTAATATGAAGGTGATAAGACTATGAGGAGTGGTTCTGAAAGAATATCTGTATAATATCCAGGCAGTTGCATGTGGGAAGAGATGTTCTATACCACTGGCCAATTTCTCTTGATGCCTCCATGTGATCATGTATGTTTCTAAACACTGCTTGTTTCATTATAAAAATGCAGTTTGCCATTCATTTTCAACTGAAGTGGGTGGGTAGGCAAGTGTTTCCCACCACCTTCTGGAAGCCACTGAAAGAGCATTTTGTACCTTCGGGAATACAGAGCAATTATTTGTTGTTTCTCATCTTCTGGCATACTGACAAGACGGAAGAAAACTTTGGTCAAACAATATGTTACATGTAGATGTGTGTGTAACCCTTGGATCAGCACTTGGCTGGGGGCAGAATCTAGGGGATATTCTATTTACATTAAATTTTTGCTGAAGCCCCAAGCCAAGAAACCTGAGACTCCCAATTGAATGGCTGAATAGCCGCCCTCCCACAAGACACACCCACTCCTAAGGTATGTGCAAGAAGTGGTGTCCTGTAACTAACAACAGTGGATCAACAAGAGGTTAACAATGTGGGAAGCAGTACACAAATCGATTTTAGTCTAAAATGTCCTACTTTCTTCCAAAGGAAGTCTTATGCCTTTACAGTTTAGGGTGCAGTGCAAGCAGCAACTCTCAACAGGTGGCACCAGAGGATGGTTTCTGTGCCTCTGCAACTCCATGCTGATAGGAATTGCTTCTCTTAGGTGGATTTCTGAAACAGTGATTTCAGACAGTAGTATTATAGCAAGCAAAGCTCAGCGATCCCTAATTGAAATATTATACTGTATGGGAGACCAATTTTCTCCTCTTCACAAAGAGAAATGTATCTTTCTCACCAGATCTGTGACCGCTGCTCTCCAGAGGCCACTTTCTGTTGGGGTGAACTAGCATCAGCACAAGTGACCTAGGCAGCTCTGGCCAACATACAAATGAATGTGGCATGTTGGGTTGAACACTTATGTTTTCTCTGCACTTTCTGCTTCCGCTTGGTGTTACCTTCTCTACAGCTTTAAATGTGTTATGTTATCTCATGGTTCTTTTTCACAGGCAAAGCTACTTACAGAGTGTTGCTTGGAATCATGAGCACAGGGATACACAACCCCCTATTTCCTGACTCCAAATTGCTGTTTCTTCCAGTGTTCCACTTGAATGTTTGCTTATATTTGAAACTCTGAAGGGAAAAATAAAAGAGAATTTGGAATAAATAAATGATGAACAGGGAAAGGGTTAAGCACCAACAAAGCCACACTTTTGATTACTCTCTGGAAGTGCGAGTACTCTCTCGAAAGAGGTCATGGTAATGTGTCATATATCTGGGTGTAATATCTAGTTTGTCCTGAGGGAGGGAGAAAGCCATGAGCAAAAATGACATAGGGTTTGTTTCCTGTCCTCCTCCACCTCTTGACTTGGGGATTCCTCAACTTCAGTTGGATACCTGGACACGTGGGCATTATAGCAAAATAATTGCTGATCAGGCTGCCAGGACAGCAACTCACATTACTTTTACAAAAAAAGATCATCGGTAATTTATCCCAATCTTTTAAGATCCTGGAAGACAAGTGGCCAGTATTTTAGATTGTGGCTAAATATGTAATTTCAGAACTGAAGGAATAAAGTTAGTCTGCCTCAGATAATGATTGGCCATGCAGTCTATTCCCACCAGTATTGAAAGAGGCCTCGCCCACATTGGCATGCTGGTGTCCATGATTTTCAAGTGCATGGCAGGCCTTTCTGTGCACCCAGTTCAATACTTAGCTTCAATTCTGGGTTGATCTGTCAGCTTTATCTGTTCCTGGACTCCTTGGAAGGCAAGGCTGTCTGAGGGGCAGAGGGAAGTCAGTGACAAAATAATACTTTTCTATTTGCAACTGTGTGGTGTAATATGACCTAACTTCCACTGTGCCATGAACTTCAGTATTCTTGTCTTCTACTTCCTGGTTAGCCAGCTACTACCTTAGTCATCCAGAGCAGCTGTGTTTGTTAGTGCCTTATGTGCAACACCCCATTGTTTCCTGCTGCTGTGCAGTGCTAGGTAATTAGCAGCAAGAAAAATCACCAGCAAACATGCCACAGTCTGGATTTATAGACAAGCACGAATACTTCATACATGAAGAGGCATATTTAATTTAATGGGACAAAGTAGCTGTGACTATGATGAGTTCTATTAACTTCAGTGAAAATGGGACATCTGCATAGATGCTCTGTTGATATATGCTGAAAACGGATCCTGTTGAAGTGCCATTTATTTTTTGCACTTATTGTGTAATACATATCTAAGGTCAGAAATGCCTTTTACATCAAGAATTGTAGTATGCACACTGTGGTTTATTTGTTAACATTAGACCCCATTACTTCCATTTTTTATGTCCGCTTCCGTTTTGAAAGTTAAGCCTTTTACTTAAAAAAAAACTTTTATACTTTGTAGAAATGCCTGATTATATAAAAGCTGCTAGAACTGCATCAGCATTATCTTTGGGTGCGTGGGGGGGTGGAACAGACGTTTAGCCCATTTAGTTCAGTAGTGCTTACTTCTTGGGAGGTGTGTTTAGACTGGCAGCTGCAGCGGGTAGAAAAGAACTGAGGTACTGAAAACTTGTTAAACTTAGACTGCAATCCTGTGCCATTTACCTGGGAGTAAGTCCTATTGAACGCAGTGGAGTTTTCTTTGTAGTAGTCCTGTAAAGGACTGTACTGTTATTCTGCAATTTAAGCAAGTCATGAAAAGATGTGCACATGAATTACAGTAATGCATCTCTGAGACATAGCCACCTGAAAAAGCTAATTCAAGGTTCAGCTCCCTGCATCTTCAGCTACATGGGCCTCTAGTAGCAGGGCTTCCCTACCTGAGACGCTGAAGAGCCTCTGCTAATCCTTGTACATAATACTGGGCAAGATTGACCTGTGCTCTGACTCGGTTTAGCATTAGGCCATTTCATACATTTATATGATGAGTAAGCATTGCCCCAGAGCAATTAGATGAGTTGGCAAGTGGCTATTAGCTTTTTAAGGATAGAATATTGCCTCCCATGCTGTTTAACTTTCCATTATTGCAAGGGAGAAGTAAGAACCCTACACCTTGTTTCCACAATACTCTTAAGCTCAAAGAAAGAAACAAGTTCTAAGGCTTGAATGGTACTGTTCACTTTTCCAGCTCATGAGCTTTCATTCTAGAAGGGATAATCCTACCTGCAGTCTGATACAGCCAAGTGTAGGGCAATATTAGTGCTGTGCTATGTTCTCTAGATTGAGGGCACAAGGAGAAGGGGACGACAGAGGACGAGATGGTTGGACAACGTTCTCGAAGCTACTAATGAGTCTGACCAAACTGCAGGAGGCAGTGGAAGACAGGAGTGCCTGGCGTGCTCTGGTCCATGGGGTCACGAAGAGTTGGACACGACTAAACGACTAAACAACATGACAGCGTCACCCGCGAATAGCAAAATTAAGTGCTAACTAACCACTAAAGTTTTATTTGTAATGCTGCATTTAGACTTTCTGTTTGCTGCTGTTCTACAGCTTAATGTTTGGGGCATAGATTTTACATTTAATGAGCAATGGAAGGAATAGATCACCATGCAGATATGTAATTAATGCAATTAGATTGAAGTGCTATATTATGACTCAAGCTTTAGACTAGTTTTTTTTTACTTCATGTCTTTGGTGTCTGAATCATACAATGTGTAATATTATAAAGTAAAACTAGAACAGGCTTTGTGGTTATAATAAAAAATCATGGATTGCGTAGCTTGAGGTGAGGAGCAAAAGTGTAAGAGGAACAAGTCAAAAGATGTACATCTTAGCAGGGTGGGGATAAGGATATTTCACAGACATTGTCAGTGTCTTGCACAGTGAGAAGTGTGCCTCCATTTCTGGTAATCTTTCAGTCATGTACATTTTCCGTATTTTCCTTTTATGGGAGATGCTGTAGAAAGAAGACACATGTCTCTGACACTTTAAGTCACCTTGCAACCCCTGTATTGGGCATTGAAGAAGTCATAGGAGCAATTTTTGTGAGCTTTTTGCAGCCTTGATAACCTGCAGTTTGGGTGTCTTTGTGGTTTTTCAGAAGATTGCCTTCACTCTAAACTAGTTTTGTTCACTTTTGGGGAAGTTGGCTTATAGCCAAATCTTATTGGCCGCGAGACATCACTGTTGCTAGAAAGAGGAACTATTTTCATACACAAAATCTTGCACAATGAAGTAAGCATTTGGCTGGGGGGGGGGGTGGCGGGGTTGCAAGCTATTTGGGGGGCCTTGGAGGTCTCCTCACATTAAAAACACTCAGTTGGAAACATGCATTCCTACAAATATGTGGAGTGTCAACAGGAAGAATGGAAAAGAACTGCTCCCGTAGGAGAGATAAGGATAACAAAATGTGAAGGTAGGGAATTGCAGGAAGACTAGACCAGATTATAAGGAAATATTCTGTGTTGTTGTTTTTTTAAAGCATCCCAAGTGTATGAAGGCAGACTTTTGCAACCTTTTTACTGGAGTATAGACAAAAATAGACTTGTTAAATATTTAGGATTCACACTGAATCATTTTTGAATATAATGGGTAGCATGCCTACCTTTCACTAATTAGTTTGCTTGAAGGCTTTGCAATGCCATTTGTGTTATTATGTAGTCTCTTATTTAACTTTGGTGAAAAATCCATTTGGAAATGGTTTGAAATCTGTTTTTTCCTTGGTCTCATATATCTGAAATAATCTAGTGTATAAATAGTTAAAAAGCTGTGCTAGATTAGATGAAAAGTCCATCTAGTCTTACATCCTGTTTCCGAGAGTTACCAACCAGAAGACTCTGGGAATCTTGCTTATGGGCTTATAGGGAATAGCCCTCTCTCACTGCCTCCGCTAGCAACTGGCATTCAGATGCTCACTGTGTCTGAACCTGGAGGTTCCATATAGCTAGGAGCAATGGATATATCTCTGTGAATTTAATCCCCTTTTAAAGCCATATTAGCTAGTGAACATGACCATATCTTGTGGCAGTTTTGTCTGTTCTGAATCTCCTGTCATTCAGTTATATTGGGTGACCCTGAAGTCCAGGCTTACTTGAGAGGGAGAAGAATCTATTATGTTCTCTTCCCTTCCCTAGGCATCTTTTTTTTTTGTAAACAAAAATCCCTCAAATGTGCTAGCCATTTCTTTGTAGGGAAGTTGCTTCAGTTTCCTGATAATTTTGGTTGCTTTTCCTTGCAACTTTCCCAATGCTACAATGTCCTTCTTCAGATGAGGGAACCAAAAATCCGCAGTTACATCTTATGTCTGTGTCTAGGATGTGGAATTCCTTGCCCATTCCTACTAAGCATCATTGGTACTTTTTTGTCAGGCACCTGCTGTTTACACCATTGATTATTGTTCACTGTCCTGATGTTAATGGTGCTCCAGTTGTGGAAAGGGATAAGAATATTGTCATACTGGTCTATTTTATTTTCATTCCCAAGCATGGGATTTGCCTTCTCATAGATACTATATCCTGGGTCATTGTTTTGATTAAACTATCCATAACAAGATATGATTAGTTATACCTCAGTACTCCAATGTGCATCATTTTATACTTACTTTACATAGAATAAGCTCATTTGCCATTTTATTGCCCATTCTATTTACCAATTTGGAGAGTTCCTCTTGGATCTCCATGTTGTTTACCATGAGTTTTCACCTTCCTGAATAAACTGATGGCATCTACAGACTTGACTATTTCACTGTCTACCTCAGCTCTAGATGATTTATGAACCAATTAAATAACACATGTCCAAATACAGATCCTTAGGGACACCCCAGTACTTGCTTGCTTTCATTTGCAGAAGTTTCCATTTATTCCTACCCACAGTACCAGAAAATAGTACCAGAATCAGGTATTAAAACTTCATCAGATGTGTAAAGCCCAGGATAACAGGAATGTCTTCACCTGTGTCTATAATAGTCATGTGTAGCAGTGTTGCTGGTTGTCCATCGAGTTGGTGAGCTTCATTTGACAGCAGCACAAAACCAAACCCACCCCTGTAGAATGCTCTTCCAGTAGACATTCAAGAGGCACCTTTTATATTAACCATCAAATGTTTGTTGAAAAATTCTCTTTGCCACCAAGCTTATGCAGACAATTAAGAAAAACATTTTCTGTAATAGTCGACTGGGGATCTGTTTTAATTTTTATGTGTTTTTTATTGCAATTCAGTTTTTGGTAAATTGTTTTGATATTTTTTATATAAAATTGTGGCATATAATTTTTTAAAAACAGTTGAAGCTCTTTAAAATCAGGAGAACAATTTAAAGGTGATGTAATCTATCTGTACCAATAATGTAGCACTGAGCAGACTGCATTGCTCCTTTTCTCATGCATCTTTGTGTAGTATTTTGATATCTTGACTTGAAAAAAAACACTTGTCAATTTTGTTGAAAGCCATGAACTGAATGCCCTTACTATAAGACTATAAATCATATATGTAATCTCACTTAAATGAATATGGGCAGTGACCATTTCGCACAAGGGTTTCATTCCCAGCCCCTGCATGTGCCATGGAGTGTGCATAAGTTCGCCCTGCCCTGTTATGCCCCCATTTTGCCCTCTTCTGCGTCCAAAAGGACCTGTGCGTAGGTGATCGCACATCAGTTGGACACATGCTTAAAATGGTTGTCACCTGTATTCACTTTTTTACATGGAACTCTGTCCAATTTATGCATCTTTATGGAACTGTAGAATAGCTGTGATTCCAGTTGAGCTATCTGGGTGAGAGCTTATTTGAAGCTCTTGTTTACTTTTTGCCTTGCTCTTCCTCTAAGGGTCACCTCCCTTTACATTTTTACAACCTTAGGGTGTAGGTTTGGTTGGAAAAAACCAAGTAGGCCAAGATGACACAGTGATGTTCTTGGGTGAGTGAGAATTTGAACTCTCTGTACATGCCACTAAATCAAACCATGGCTTAGTTCAAATAAGGAAATGTGTGAATTCTTGTTGTGAAGCTCATGACCTCTGTGCTCCTCCCCCAGTCCTGTTGCTGTCATGCCACCAAGGGTTAAACCATAATTTGGCGCTTCTCTAGGAACCCACTTGTTTGTGCCAGACTATAGTTTGTCTTCATGTTACATACAAACCTAGTCACAGTGTATACTCTAACCATCTCAAGGTGGAAAGCATGATTTTTCTTCAAGGGTTGTCACTCATTCATGCAGTTGCAGCTGTGTTTCTGGAAAGAAGTATTGGGAATGGTGTTAGTCTACCCTGTCCTATTTGTTGCATGCATTGCTACTACTGAGGGTGCATAGAACATTCAGTCTTTCATAAATTTCAAGAATTCTGCAAGTCTTTTGCCATTGAGTCTTCTCTACTTGTGATTTCATAACTGCATTGCCAATGTGATGGTTTGTAGGGCTAGTTGACTAGAATGCTGATGCATTGGTCAAGTTTATTAATAGAAACTTAATTTTGTATCAAATTGCATATGGATTCCATAAGTGATGAAAACTAGTACAAGGTGCCAGATAACCAGGACAGTTAAGTGACCAAGACTGCTTTTGAAATAGACAATGTAGGGATTGACGTAGCAAATGTCCCTTTGTTCTGTGCCTCTTGGTGGCCTTTGGCATGGTATCTTGCTATTTTGTAGGGCTGCTCATGGAAGTTGATGAGAATGATCTCCTAGATTGCTCTTTTTTGACACAACATTTCTGAATTATCAGGTTGGGGGATGGTTTATCAGATCCCAAGGAATTAATCTCTCTGTGTCACAAGGTACATCTTAATCCCCTCTGCTGTTGGAACCGTTGAGGGATATTGTTTGAAGGTTGAAAGTGAGATACCATCAACATGCTGAGGACACACACTGCTTTATTTTTTGTTGCGTTAGTCTAGGTGGAATACTTTCTGGTTTTGTCCAGTCTAGCTACAGAAGATCTTGGGTTACAAACTTAATTCATTCTGGAGGTCCGTTCTTAACCCGAAACCGTTCTTAACCTGAGGCACGCTTTCACTAATGGGGCCTCCTGCTGCTGCACATTTTCCGTTCTCATCTTGGGGCAAAGTTCGCCACCCGGAGCAACTACTTCTGGGTTAGCGGAGTTTGTAACCTGAAGCATTTTTTTAACCCAAAGCGTTTGTAACCCGAGGTATCACTGTAGTAATATGCTTCATATACTGTAACATGAGGACCTGAATTTATTCTGTTCTTCTGAAGAATCTGTTACATAGCTACTGTATCAAGTGGATTCATAATCATTTTCCTAATTGCTTTTAATTATATAAATAATATTTCAAATAACAAACATCCTAAGATGTAGCTGATGTCAAAGCTTTTCTCAGGAGATTAATTTGACTCCTGCTCACTAGTATTTGAAATGGAATCTCATTCATATGTTTGGCAAGCTTAGTGTGGCCCTAACTGATTGTTTATCACGTTCTTATAAAAAGAATATATATATATGTGAATTTAGAACAAAAAGCCCTTTAGAGCTAGGGCAGTCTATATCAGCAGGTAACAGAGATATATCCTCTCATAAATTGTCATTAGTTAACATATTCATTTATTTTCAAACATTTGTCAGTTCCTGAATTCTGTGAGTTCAGTTCTGTGAGTATTGTATAGAACTGCCATAGAACTGCAGAAGACTTAACCTTGGGAGGTGGGCAGTTTCTTCATGTTATGAAGAAACATACTTTGGGGAATCTACCGTCTTCGTGGTTGTGACACATCATCTTTGAACAGGAACAGAAAAGCATTATGGGGTTACCTTCTAGTTTGACCAATACATCATAGGTTTTTAAATTTTCACAAGATGAAGTGGAGAGGGGAAAGGTCAGACATAATTCCTGTAATCCAGCCAAGGAAAGTTGTGTGCAGAAGCAAGCTTACATGTGAACAACCAACATGGATGCAGGTATCCATTTGTATTCATATAGGCTCTTGTTCCAGTTGAACTGGGTACTTGTATATTTTTATGATTGTGGGAATGCGCATCACAATCCAGAACAACTGCCTCTTGGGAGAGACTTGTGTGCAACAAGAGCTAGATTGCGACCATAGTTCTGTGAAATTCCATTAGGTCAAGAAGTATGTATAGTCAGAATGTTAAACAACACCATTCTTGGTTAGTTTTTAAGGTTTTGGTTCATTCTTAATTTTTCTGTCCCTACAGGTGTAAGTTTGTTCTTAGGGTTCTGTCCATACCCTTACCCCCCTCCGCCTCTGCTCCCCCAATTCTTAACCAGAAGTGGCTCCCATCAAATCCCCACACCATTCTTAAAAGTACATTGAGTTCCAAAAGCAGTTCTGGTATTTGGAAAGTTGCTGCCACATGCATGGTATTTTTCTCTGGATGTCTTTAACCAGCTGTTCATTCTCAGATTCTCAAACTGCATTTTGAGCTCATCAGAGTTTTACAAGCAGTTTGAATGGTATCTTGGGTAGCAGATGGAATTTTACAAAAGAAGTTTGTGTGAGAGTTTATCATACACAGGTTATCTCAATGTCTTATTGGATTGTGTATGCCTCCACCTTTCCTTTCCTCTAGGCTATCAGGTTTGGCCAATCGGAAGCAATAACTGGGTATTTTCTTGGATCCATTTCTTTCGCACATATTTTTACCCTTGCTTCCAGGTAGGCAAATTTAGCTTTATAGCTATGGTATTCAGGAACATATCACATCTTTTTGGATGCATTTGTTGCTTCTCTCATGGCAGAATTAATTATAATAGAAGAAAATTGTCATTTTAATCCTAAAGCATGTGTCTTAAATCCTTTTTCTGTCCCTTCCATGCATTTTTGTATCCCAAACCAGGTCATTGTCAGGAAAGAGATGCTCCCCACTGTTTAAGCATGGTGTGCCAAATTCTATCAGTCTCTTAATTGGCAGAAGATAACTTCATCTCTGGCTAGAATTGATTTGAGCAGTTGAAGAAGCTGCATTAATTAGTTCCACTTTAGTACAGAAGAGCACAAGCCATTTTGTTCAAATATATACTCAAATGGATGCTGTTGAGAGAGAGAGAGAGAGAGGCAGAAAATGGAATTGAAACTGGAAAGAGAAAAGTAGGTCCCAAGATGTGTGGGGAAGCACTGAAGGAGTGAGAGAACTGTGTACGTTGTGAATAGGCGATTAATAGGGTGTTGCCTTGATGTGCTGTGTCATCTAAAGGTTGGGCGTGATCAGTCAGTACCTGAAATAGGAAAGGGAAATAAATTGCTAACATTGTTTTTTGTTTTTTTGTATGCAAACTATGAAAATTATTCTGTAATATAAACTGAATGGCCGAGTTTATTCTTTTAGTAAGGTTGAGCGATACATTTAGAAAGGTGCACACTACTATGTGCAATCTGTTGTACATAGGCAAAATAATTATAAGATTATTAAGTGCTGCTTTTTTAAAATTGCTGCATGCAGTTTAATACCCTGACACCTATCTTTTCTGACTGATTAGGTAGTTCAGAATTTATTTATGTATCATTTAGTATCAAAAGAGAAATTTTATGACATTCCTCTCTAGATTTTCTCCTATCTTTTTCAAACTTCAAACACTGAAAGCAGGACCAAGTGCTCAGGTGTGTTTGGGTAGGTTTGCAAATTGTCACCTGCTTAGTTGCCATTGGTGAGGAAGAACCTCCTTCAAACAAACAGGGAACAAAGCCTTTGTAAACTGGAAAAGTTTTTCCCTCTCTCTTTTAGGTCATTAGTATCACATTGCAAATGATTAGCATAGGTATATGAAGGAGTTCCATGGGCTTATTTGTAAGGCTGCCCTTATGGGCAATGATCCAAAGGGAGGGAACTGTGTCTTCAGCCAGAGTGTTCTTTGTAGTTTCACAGCTGCAATTTCTATAGCTCAAGACACTTTAAAAACTGGTCAGCAACCCACCTCATCACCTGTGGAAGTTACAGTGGTACCTTGATTCTCGAGCGGCTTAGTTGTCGAACAAATTGGCTCCCGAACACTGCAAATCCGGAAGCAAGTGTTCCAGTTTGCGAACATTTTTCGGAAGCTGAATGTCAGATACGTCTTCTGCTTGAGTGCAGGAAGCTCCTGCAGCCAATCGGAAGCTGTGCCTTGTTTTTTGAATGGTTTTGGGAGTCGAACAGACTTCCGGAACAGATTAAGTTCGAGAACCAAGGTACCACTGTACAGCAACATACAATTGTGCACCTTCCCTGATAATGCCCTGATAAATGGAACCTGCCAGGTCCCATCACTGGTCTGCTTCAGTTGATGAAGACCTGGCTTTTTAACAAGACCTTCAATTAATTGAGTTATTTCGCACTGGCTTAGTTTTATGTTTATTTTGTCCTGCTGGAATCGTTAAATCTGTTGGGTATTGTTATGGTACTATTTTAACTGTGTGTGGGGAGATTACGGTAGTTGCCTTGAGTCTCTTCAGAGAATAAGTTGGGATATAACTTTTAAAAATTAATCTTCACATAATTGTCTCTGGTGTTGCTATGAAAACTCATTTATTGCACATTTCTGTGCATATATTGGAGTATATGGGTGTTGTTCCAGAGTAGCCAATGTGGTACCCCCAGAATGTTATTGGACTTCAGTTCCCATCAGCCCCAACCAACATGGTCAGTGGTCCAGGATGATGAAAGTCCAGCAACATCTCAAGGGCACCATGTTGCATACTCCTTCTGCAGCTTCTGATGTAAGTTCTGAGTGTCATTTGACATTCTGGGATTGATTGATAACAGTGTTTGAGGAAAAATAAAGGGGAATATAAGCCATATTGAAATTTTTTAAAATAAGTATTTTATTAGAAATGCAATTCAGGCTGAAGGCCTGCATGCATTGACCAGATAGTAAGTGTCACTGAAAACAATGGAATTATGGAGTAGACATGTGATTGCATGTCAGTGGTATAGAAATAAGTGTGATGCATTTTTTAAAAATAATGAATTCATTTGCAAATGAAATAATAGAGATGGAATAAAGCCATTTTGATGGAAATTCTATAAATTGTTGAAGGAGTACTTATACTTCCATTTCAGGCCGAATACATGAAGCTATGGTGACATCTTTAAATGAAGATAACGAAAGTGTTACTGTTGAGTGGATTGAAAATGGTGATACTAAAGGAAAAGAGGTACAATATAATCATATTGACTATAAAAAAAAAAAAGTTATGTTTGACCATATCATACTTTGCCCCCCTCATACTATAGCTAAAACTACTGCTGCAATCTAATACCGCTGATATTACTGTACTATCTCTCCTCTCTATTTCAACTCTCTGTTTGTCTCTCTCTCTCTCTCTCTTCTGTTGTACTCCAATCTCCCCTCTCCCACACCTCCCCCCTTCTTCTTTCTTTCTTCTTCTTCCCTTTTTCTCCCTCCACCCTTTACATAGAGCCTATTTGTCTGTCTCTGTTTCTGAGCGCACTCCCAACCCCAACTCCCACCTTAGCTGGACCCCAGTACCCCTTTTGGGTATATACAACCCCCTCCTAAACACATATTTCCCCTGGGCCCACCCTTCTAATCTTTTGCATCTCTACCTGCTAACCCCCCCCTTTATATGAACTGTCTGCCCGTTAGTCTACCCATCTCTGCTTACCTGCCCCCCCCCCCCCGCTTTGGCGGCACCGCTGAGGCAACTACAGAAACCCTAGAGAGTTCTCAAAACACAGGCTAGAAGTGACACAAATGACCACCTAATTCAAACGCTCTGTTTAAGCCACCAAGAAAGAACGCCTGATCAGCTCAGCAACCCAACAATACCCAGGAATCACCACTGCCACAACTCCTAACCACCACACGCCCTACTCCAAGAGGACGCCAAGCCAACCTCAAACCAAAACCATCAGGGAGACTGAGATGACACCAACCAGGGAGATGACAAACAATGCTAAGACGGTAACTCCCCTTCAAGATGATGACCACCCAATAACGAAACGAGATTTGAGGGAAATGGAAGCAAGATTAGAAGCACGATTAGAAGAAACACTGAAGGCCACAATGGCTCCCATGCAGGTACTAATCAACAACCTAACCTCCAAAGTAGAAGCTCTAGAGAACAAGAACCAAATGCAAGAAAGAATAATAGAGCAATACCGGGAGGAGAACGCACGTGTGAACAAGAAACTGGACGAACTGGTAAACCAAATTGAAGCAGAGATGAAAATTAAGCAAGCCGACCTTGAAGACCGCAATAGACGTTGTAACATCCGCTTCCGCAACTTTCCTGAAAAAACAGAGGAGAAAAGCCCAGCAGACCTAATTATACGCTGGCTGAAAAACACAATCCCAAGCCTGAAACTTGAGGCAGATGACTTGGAGAGGGCTCACAGAGCCCTAAAACCTATGCCAAAACCCAGCGCCCCCCCAAGAGACATCATTGTATGCTTCACACGCTACAAAAAGAAGGAAGAGGTATGGTACCACCTCAGAAACTCAACCAACCTTCGATATGGAGAAATCCCCATACTGGCCTTACAGGACTTATCTCAGGATACCCTAAACCGAAGGAAAAGCTTGCGCCCATGCACCCAGCGTCTCCAACAAGCAGGGATCAAATACCGATGGGGCTTCCCCTTCCGCCTCATTGTAACAACCAATACAACACAACACATGGCTACCAACATACCTGAGGCCCTGCAACTACTAAAGAACCTTGAACTCGACCTCCCACCGGAATGGCAACCGACAAACCCACCAAGTGACAGCCCCAACCATGAGGAAACAACAGCAAACAACTGGACGACGGTACAGAAGAAAAAGAAACAGAAGCGGCACAACAGTGCAAACCAATACAGAGAAGCATCACGCTCAGAATCGTCCCGCCGGCCATATGACACAAGAAACCAGACCAAGATTAACCAAACCAACTCATCGCAGATGGACAACCCTACAACAACAACAACCCCAGCTGAATGAAGCAACCAGGAAAAACCACAAACTGAAGGACTGGTGATTCCCCCCCCCCTTTTCCCCCTCTCTCCCCCAAAAAACATAGATTTCGTTAACACCATCAACATCCTCCCCCAGCCCCGCACCCCCACAGAAATCCCCGCCCCAACACCAGTCCAGACGACCTCAACCACATTCCACATCACCCACACCTTCAACATCCCCATACCCCATACTAAGAAAAAACAACTCCAACCTTAATAACACAACCCACAGTCAGGCTAAAATCTGATACCCAACCAGCACTATGGTGGCACCAGAGCGTACCAGCACCCACATCCCCACCCCAACACACCAACAATGTTGCTCATAACATTGGCAACATTGCTTACGAACCTTATACCTGACAGCGACGTTACAAAGTCACTTCACACTGTCTCACTGATCACCCCCTATCGCAAACAACAGGGGGGATGGCCTGTCCTTGAACACGGCCTTCCACACCAGCTGAGACCTAGGACCAACCGGCTAAATGCCAGATGGCCTAAAATACCCCAAACAAACACCTATATGACTACATATAGGAAACTCTCTACAACTTACCCCCTACTCTTTAACCCAAATCTTACTCTAATCCCATTAGCCCCCCACCCACCACACCCTAGGTCAGCGCAACCCCACTGGTACTTTAAACAACACGAAGAGAGAGATACAAGACAACCCAAACGGGTTGGCAGGGACTCGCCCCCCAGAAGAGCTAAGCAAGATGGCTAACCTAAAACCAATTACATTAAACTTGAGCGGTCTGGGAAACCCCATCAAAAGAAAACGCCTCACCTCATACATATACACCATGAAACCACACATCACATTCCTACAATAAATACACAACCCACCCAAAGGCTGCAAACTCCTGAGCGACCCCGCTTCAGTCAACAGTGGGTCGCACGAGGCTCAGGGAAAGCTCGTGGTGTAGCCATAATACTCAGTAGAGACCTGAACTTCACTGCCACAACAGTCCTCAAGGACAAAAAGGCAGATTCATTTTCGCTAAAGGGACACTAGATGGCAAAATCAAACTGACAATTGGCTCCATATATGCCCCAAACACGAAACAATTAGAATTCTTCCAGAAGACACTAAACAAATTCCTCTCCTTCTCTGAGGGGAAGCAATCCTAGGAGGGGACCTCAATCTAAATATGAAAGGCATAGCCCTGAAAGATATCCACCCTACAACCCCATGGGCAACCTTCCTCCGAAGGAAACCCCCAACAACTAGGAACCCTTACAAGTTACTAAAAATGCTAAAAAGCAGGGGTCTCTACGACATTTGGGGTGAGCAAAACCCGGAGACATCAGCCATACATTCCAATCGGGACGCCATGATACAGTATCCAGACTGGACAGCATTCTACTCACACAGGGTCTGATCCCCTCAGTGGAATCAACAAACATAGGTAACATTAAAATCACAGATCACGCCCCAGTAGAAGTCATCGTTAAAATAGGAGAAGGAACACAAACCACCCCATCATGGTCCTTCAGTCCCATCCTAACTACAAACAAACAAATTAGAGAGAGTCTCACAAAAACCCTCCAAAACTACTTCAAGGAAAACGATGTAAACAATATAACAACCCCCCTCCTATGGGACGCAATGAAAGCGGTCACCAGAGGAGCTTGCATAAAGAGAAAACATTCCTTAAAAACAAACCTCCTCAAGAACTAGCAAAATAGAACAAGACATCACAGCCCTCTCATCACGCTACAAACAAACAGGATCTAAAAACTCCTCAAACTTATGGAACAAAAAAGGAGAGAACTAGACTCCTAGAAATTAACAAAACAATGATCAACATTCTATACTCTAAACAACGTTTCTACGAATATGGAGGAAAAACTCCAGATTACTAGCAAATAGATGCAGGAAAAAGCACTCAAAACAAGAATACACTGCATCACCAAAAAGACGGCAACATAACATTCTCCCCGTAGAAATAAACTCAGAATTTGCAGAATTCTACTCCAACCTATACACCTCCCATAACCCACCAGAGAAGGAAATCAAAAAATTTCTAGCAGGACTGTCCATGCCTACCCTAACTAATGAGGAACAGGAATTCATGGACAGCCCTATCACCCCAGAGGAAATAGATGCGGTCCTCAAAAACCTGAAACCACACAAAGCCCCAGGCCCAGACGGCTTCACAGCAGAATTCTATAGGAAATTCAAAGAACCCTTGATGCCCTACATGACCCGCCTATTCAACGACATCATAAAAGGGGCCCCATCCCCAAAACCTGGACCCACTCCAAAATAGTCTCCATCCCAAAACCACTAAAAGACAGCCTCAAAGTAGAATCATACCGCCCAATCTCATTAATAAACCAAGACTACAAGATATTCACATCAATCTTGGCCAACCGCCTAAAAACCTTCCTACACAAGTTAGTAGCCCCAGACCAGACTGGCTTTGTCCCTGGCCGCAATATAACAGACCCCATCAGGAAACTACTGAACCTGATCGAACACAGCAAGGCAACCAAACTCCCATTGACAATTATGTCCCTAGACATCCTCAAAGCCTTTGATTGCTTAGAGTGGAAATACATATTAGCAGTACTAACTAACATGAAATTTGGCCCCAACTTCCTACAAATTCTCAAACAAATATACTCCCAAGCCTCAGCAAAATGCAGAACTAACAATATGGATTCTAATACTATAGCTATCCAAAGAGGCACTGAAACAAGGATGCCCACTGTCTCCCTTCTTATTTATCCTGGCTCTGGAACCCTTAGCAATCAGCATCCGAGCAGCCACAGACATCAAGGGAGTGGAAATAAAAGGCAGAACCTATAAATTAGGGCTCTTTGCAGATGACCTAATGGTCACAACACCAGACCCCATAAGCACAGCAACCTCCCTAATCAGAGAACTCAACACATTTGCAATGGTGTCGGGCCTACAGGTAAATTTTACAAAGTCAGAAGCTATGTGCTTCAACACCCCTCCTCACACCCAAAAAGAACTCACGAAGGTCACCAAAATAAAACTTTGCCACACCAAGTTCAGATACCTAGGGGTACAAATAACCAGAAACCTCAATAAATTGTACCTCCACAACTACAAGCCCCTGTGGCGACAAATTAACAAAGACCTAAAGAGATGGAATAACATGAATTTCACTCTCTCAGACAAAATAGCCATGATCAAAATGATCACACTCCCAAAACTAACCTACCTATTCCAAACCCTCCCAATCTGGATCCCCTCAACTCAACTCGCAGTTGGCAGAGAAAACTACACTCTTTCATCTTCTCACATAAAAACCAAGAATAAGCCTCAAATACCTGCACCTCCCCACCTCAGAAGGAGGATGGGGAATCCCCAACATAGAAGCATATTACAATGCCAACCAAATACGCCATATAATCCCATATATACTAGAAGATGAGACAAAACAATGGGTACACCTAGAGAGGGACACAATTGAAAATACCTGCACCACAACATACCCATTCCTCCCAAACAAACTAAAGAAAATTCCCACAACACTTAACAGGTACACACAGACCATGCTCAAAGCATGGAAAACACAAATAGGCAAACTATCCCCAACCCCATCCCCACTAATCCCCCTGGCGTACCACCCATTATTCCACCATGCAGCACAAAACCTCCAGATAAAAACCTGGCAAACCAAAGGCTTATATCGCCTAATAGACTTTTATAAAAATAACAAACCCTTGTCAACACAAGAAATACAAGACAAACTAGAAGACACCCAAATGCCCTGGTTAACACAACACCAACTACATGCCCTCTTAAACAACCCAACAGTAAAATCAGCAGCAACTAGGCCCCTGACAACCTTCGAAAACCTCCTCCTAACAACAAAAGGAAACGGTAAAGGGACGGTATCCGCAATATACAAAATACTACTCCAAAATCCCGCAAATCCCTAGATGCAATCAAAAAACAATGGGAGAATGACATAGGCTATGAGATTAACCCCACTCAATGGACCAGAATGTGGTCTAAACCCCCTTTAAATCCATATCAACGAAAAGAAAAGAACTCACACTGAAACTCACCTACAGGTGGTACCTAACACCAAGGAAACTAGCGCTAATACACCCAGGAACCTCACCAAAATGCTGGAGAGGGTGCACCTCCACAGGCACATACCTCCACATGTGGTGGGAGTGTCCCAAAATCCAACTATTCTGGACAACAGCCATACAAGAAATATGTAAAATAACTAAGCAAGTAATAGACATCACCCCAGAATTGGCCCTACTAAACATCTTCCAAGACAACAATGCCCATTTACACCACAAAGAACTCATAACCCACCTACTTTCAGCAGCCAGAAACACCATAACCAGACACTGGAGAGACCTGTCAGGAGTAAACATGGACCAATGGTACCAAATAGTATGGGAAACAGCCCTACTAGAAAAATTAACTAATAAACTGAAACTGACACGGGGACAAACAGAAGAAGACGTCTTCACCCTGGTATGGCTCCCCTTTATCACATACACAGCCCAACAGGACAATGACAATAATCCACCAACAGCATACAAATCAATATGGCTAACCTGATCCAAAACACCCACCCACCTCACTCACACACGAAAACAAAGATCACCACAGCCAATCACAAGCAGACAATCACACCCTAGGCCAACCCCAACCTCTCTCACCACGAAAGGAACACAAGTGAACAACACAAGCAACGCTGACACCAAACTCTACATACATTAAACATAATAGAAACACCGCCACCCGACCCCACCCCATCCCTCTTCCCTCTCTCCCCCCCCTTTCTTTTTCCTTTTTTTTTCTTCTCCCCCCTAATGCCTCAACAAATGAAATGGATTTGTAAAAATGTTACATGAAAAAAATATATATACGAGGCAGTACACTTACTTCTGTAAAACAAGAAAATCCTTAATAAAATATTTAATAATAAAAAAAAAAAAGTTATGTTTGTTCTCAGCTGATCTTGGTTCAAAATTGGCCTAACATATAATATAATGGACCATAGGCATTCAGAATGAAATATAAAGCTCTGTGACTGTTTTGAAGATGTACTGGTGAAGTGAAGGCCAACAGAATAGGCTGTATGATGACATATGAAAATAACTATTAAATGCTTGTTTCATATATATCTGGTTCACACGTCACATTAAACCATAGTTAAATGTGAAAGTACAGTGTGCTAGTGCACGCTGCTGAAATTATAAGCACTTTATTCTTCCCTTGCTCATCCTGACATCAAGCAAACTATGAGTCTGGGTTCAGATGTAATGACAAGCAAGACTATAGCTTATTCTCCAGCAGGATGGAGGAGCAGGAGTGGGGGAGGAAAAAAGTGCCTATTATATAGAAGCTTCTCCCCCATTCAGCTGTGCTTTTTTCATGCAACACAAAGGAGAAATAGAGTTAAAATGCTGCCATCAGCATAAAACAGAAGTAGTATCTTGGTATTTAAAACTAAACCAGTTGTTGCCATGGTTGCTTGAGATATGTGTCTACACAAATCTGAAACCTACTTTTCTGTGTTCAGGGACCGACCCCTCTGGAATATGAAAAACTAATGTTTGGGGGGGGGGATCTCATCCCTCTGTGGCCCTGACTGTGTTTTTCTGGAGAACAGGCTGCCTGTCTGTCTAAGAGAGCTAGCTCAGAAATTAGCACATTTCTTGGAAAACTGGCAGAAGGAGAAGGCTGGAGTGGGGCGGGGGGGCGGGGGAGAGAAAATTTTACTCTTTCCTCTTTAAAATACAGGAAGGAGGAGGCTTCACCAGGCAAGGATCGCTGAATGAGGTGGGGGTGCAAAGATGACTGCCCAAAACTGAAAGTTCTAGGTATAAGGCTGAGTTTACCCTAGCAAGGGCCTCTCTGGGAATTGCACTGCTTTTAGAGGTCTCAGTCACATTGTCTTTTTTTAAAAAAAAAAAGCTAATAAGAGTGGAGTGGTACCTGGAAGGTACACAAATAAGAGATGAATTAACTTTTCTTTTTGGCAAAGGAGTTTGTGTGCTGAATTCTAGAGTGTGTTGCAGTACTGAGAAATTCAGGACTGTTATCAGTCAGTTGTTAAATGATATATGGCTGTCCTGATTGAATAAAAATGATCCCAGGCCAGAGTATAGAAGGGTGGGATACTCCCTTTTCCATTTCAAAGGGTGCTAGTAGGAACTGCAGATTCACTTTGTGCTAAGTAATTAGACATTGCCACTAATCTTTCCAGGCAAAATAAGAACTTTTTACCCAATATAATGATGTGGAGGCTTCAAATGGAAGTGAGCTGCTACTCTGTGGCAATGAAACCATGTGGCCTGTCTTGGTTTTTTCTTTTTTGTTTTGTTTTAATTAAAATGCAAGATTTATTTGTTTGCTTTGAACAATCTATCTTTCTCATATGCAGATTGACTTGGAGAGTATTTTTTCGCTTAACCCAGACCTTGCTCCTGAAGAAGATGATCCCAGCCCAGAGACCCCACCACCTCCAACACCTTCCGCTAAAGTGAACAAAATTGTGAAGGTTGGTAATATATAATGCAATGTCATTTACTCTTGTTCAGTTTGCCTGTTGCTACATGATGTTCTTTATTTCAGAATTCTAGGTTTAGTTGTTCAATGGTTTTTATAGGCAGTGCACAGAGATGAATTCTTTATTGACCTTTGCCTTTCTTCATGCCAACAACACATTTTATATAGCACGGGTCTCCTCCATGGCCCAAGTTTTACCAGTGAGTGGGGCTGTTCACATGACATCAAGTGACCTATTTTACCCATGCAGTTTGAATCAAATTGTGCAGGCAAAGGCACAGTGCTCTGTAAGCCTTGACAATGAGCTGACCCCTTTTAGGCCCAACCATATCTTTACCTGCCTCACACCTGATTACCAATAGCTTAACATAATTTGCTATTTTACAGCTCATTTACCCAGTTTGAAAAGATTCATTTGCAGGCAAGCTATATATCAATTGGAAATGTAGAGTAAGTTTGCTGTTTTTCTTGGGGAAGGGTGTAAAGGATTTCTGATAATTTTGTTGTCTTGCTGATCCTCCCTAATTGCTGAAGGGCTATGAATGAGCCGACTACTTAGTTTTAAAAAAGGAAAAAACCTGCAGATTGCCTAACAAATTAACAGTGTCTGTCTTTCTCTAGAATCGAAGGACAGTGGTACCTGCTAAAGTTGAAGCTCCTACTAGAGACAACAGAGGTAAGTTAGCAAATGATTTATATCCCATTTGAAAATGCAAAAAGTAAGGCGATAAATTCCACTTTAATTGTCCAGATCTAATAGCAAAACATTTTGTCTGTGCCTTACTTCCCTGTAAGCTCACTGCCTGGTAATTTTGTTTTACATTTTACCTGCACTCAACCACCTAGGATGTCCAGAATTACAAAAGGAGTTACTTCTTTTGTTCTTGAGTTTATTCTATAGTTGGCCCGCTGTGAGAGTAAGGACCTTTCTTCTTTGTCTCTGAGTAATCTTGCAGTTGTATAGACAATTCCCGGACCACTCAGAACACATCAGCTACTGATAAGCAACCTGTCCTTTCATATCCAAGTTATTTTTGCTTCTTATTTGCAGACTTGCTTTCTAGTTGGCTGATAGAGGGAACTGCAGAAGAGAACTTAAGCATTTGTTGTATTCAAGCCATTTGAGCATGACAGCAGAGAGGGCTTGAGGGAGAGAGGGAGAAAACTGCCTGGGATGAAAATCTCTTTGTAGTTCATCCCTGTCCTGTTCTTTCACTTCACTCCCACACCAACCAGAGGATTTGGTAAATACTCCTCTGCTCCACCTCCTTGATTTATCAGTTCCAGTAGCAGTATGAATATTTATACCTAAATAGGCTGTGGGACTCCTCCTACAATCTGCATGCATGTGTAATATCTGGGCTGATATACAGATAATAAGACCCAACTAGTTCCTCACAAAGGTTCATGGAACATGTGATTAACTTACCACCAAGCCCTCTATTTTTTCCTCCCTGATGCAACTTGTTTTGAAATATAAAGGGAGAATTGCTTCAATAGTTCTGCTGGCCTGGAAACAACATCTACCGATGTGTCATATTGAGGGATTAATTTCATCCCCCCCCACCAGCAGCTGATAATAGTTCATGTATATTTGATTCTCATATTGGTTTGTCTCATAGCATAGTCGCCTAACGTACCGGTTTATGTTCTAAAAAGAGTTTTATAAAGTTTTTCTTAATTATAAGTTGTTTTGGTTTTACACATTATTCTGTTGATTAACTAATCGTTCTGTTTAGAAATTGGTGCAGTTCCTTCTTTTCTGTTTATGCTCACTCTCTTAGTAATTTTTTTGTTTTTTTGTTTTTTGCAGTGGTTGGTTCTGCACGTGCGCGGCCTACTCAGCTTCCTGAACAGTCTTCCTCTACACAACAGAATGGTAGTGTTTCAGATATATCTCCAGTTCAAGCTGCAAAAAAGGAATTTGGACCCCCTTGTATGTAAATCATGTATCAAGGATTCATTCATTTTAGGCATTACATGTACATTCTCTTGGGCAATTATATAAATTCATAAGAAGTGAGTTGTCTGCACAATGTTATGCTTACTTAGAGAAATCACAATGTGATTGTTCTTCCACCGTCCTGTTGGTAACGAGAGTATCTGTTAGTTCTGTTAGTTCTTCTAAAATAATGGCCCATTATTGAAAATTGACCAGACCTTTTATTAGGTCAAACCAAGAGAATAACATGTATGTAAGTTGGTGCCTGCTGTGTGTTGTTACATTTCCCTGTCCATATCCCTTAAACTGTGCCTGTAGAGTTGAGAGAACTACACTGAGGTAGTAGGGAGGTTAACATTGACCCCAACTTCATTGGCTTACACAGAGTTTGACTTGGTATAGGGCAAGAATGTGACTTTCCTGCAGCTCTGCTGCTGTCAGCTTTATTACTCAGCCCACATTCTGGAGAAAACATGACGGGGTAGAAAACAGGCTCAAAGCAGCTATGGTACAACTGCAGTGATCATTCCTGTCAACCTTGGATGAGGCAGGCAGGACAACCCCTAAGCAGGGCTGGACCTTAAAATGACCCTCCCTTTGCCCCCCCCCCCATTCCAGCCCTGTTAACCCTCATCCAAGGATCCTATCATATGCCTCCAATGCTAGTCATAAAACTGTGGCAGAAACAGAAAACATAGAAACATAATATTGCTATGGTGAAGGCAGCCCCCCTGCTTACTAGGCCAATCATTATTGAGGGTAAAATTCCTTCCCAGTCTTGTCAATCTAATGACTAATGTATGTCCATAGCAAGGTAATCGATGAGTACTGTAAATGAGACAGAATGGATGGGATGATGAAGTCGTTGAGATTAAACTGGACCTCTTAACCTGTAGCCTGGGATTGGACAAGAAGGATGAACTTCTGTCTCTGGTTCACAGCAAAGTACTGCCCCAAGCAATCTGCCAGCACAGCTAGGCATTGGGGGACCAGCCAGGTGGAACAGGAGCTACAGCATGGCTGAAAGGTAACCATACTGTGTTCCACTTAGCAATGCCAGCAAGATATCAGCAATAACTTCAGCTGCCCCCCACCTCACCTTGTATCAGCACAAAATGAGCTGTGTAAGTGAGGACCCAGGACTGTTCTGAAAGTAATCAGATTGCCGAAATTAAGCCCTGTTTATGCTGAACATCTTAGGAAGTTCAATAACGTAAGCACTTCTCAGTTTCAGTGGTAAAATGATTTAAAATTTGAAGTAGAATGCATATAAAAGAAACTTGCTTTTCTTCCCCTTTAAGCACGTAGAAAATCAAATTGTGTGAAAGAAGTTGAAAAGTTGCAGGAAAAACGTGAGAAACGAAGATTACAACAGCAGGAACTTAGAGAGAAACGCGCTCAGGTTTGTTTTTATAGTTTTGTTCACATGCTCGTATTTATAATCTGTATTCTAGCAAGTTACTTCAACTAATGTTGAATTTCCTGGCTCATTAGCTACTTCTTCCTAAGATGGTGTAGGCAAATCATTACTGCGTACTTGTTACGAGGATGCCATATTTGAGAAAGTGAGGTTTAAGAAGTGTTACTTAAATAGCTCTGTAAGCATCTCAGTGAGTAGAAAGTGAACACGATGCTACAATCTTTATTTCAAAAAGTTGCTAATCTTAAGCAAATCCGTTAACATTAATGAGTCTTGTCACAAAGCAGGAGCTTTAGAAGAACCACTTGCATAATCCTGTTGGCAGCTTGCATGTTATGTCCCCATGTATTTTCAGTCTCTTATTGACGTAACAAGAAATATTGGTACTCAAGCAACTTGATGTTGTACTGGTGGTCCTAAGCTGCTGAAGATTTTTCTGTCCCTAGTTGTCAGAAATTAGCAAGGAACAAACTTTGTTCCTTTTCATGAAAAAGAACTTAATACGCAGATTGTAATTTTAAAGTCTGCATGTGTGCTCTGATGCTGAAGGATGGGAGTGGGTTTTCATGCAGCTGAGCACCCGGAAACACCTTACCTTTGAAGTCAGTTGGACTGCCTTTACTTATTCAGGAAATCAGAAAAAGCCAGCTTATGTTAAAATGTGACATCCAGTTTGAGTCCTTTAAGGCGTCTTTGAATATTTTGCATCTAAGTAAATCAAGCAGAACATGAAAGGGTCTGGAGAACCCCCAGTGTGGTGCCCAGTTGGTGTGGGGAGAGGAGGGATTGTTCCATTCTGGACAAGAAATGCTTGTGCTGATGGAATAATCAGAAGGGTGTAATGTTGAATCCCTCCCTTATATTTTTTTGAAGAAGAAAATGTAGTTGATATATTTTGGGTGTTGTTGAGCAACAGAAGCACTTTTGAGTGCTCAACTTAATTAGCCAACTACAAATCTATATTAATGAGGAGTGGTTTTCAGTATCTTTGTCCAAATGATTCAAGTATACACGGAATCAAATATATTTTACATAGGAGGGTCTGGAAAAGAGAAGGAAGCTTATGCCTTGTTCCAAGATGAAATATTAGCAAGCATAATTTTTGCAATTCTTTAAAAAAAAGTTTGGGAAAATGTCACGAAACTGGCAAAAATGTTGTTAAATTGCAAACAAAAAGGTATCGTATCAGAAGATAATATATGAGAGAGAACTATTCTATCTTACAAAGTTGACAGCTATTTCCCCCCTTTTAGGAAGTTGATGCTACAAATCCAAATTATGAAATTATGTGTATGATCAGAGATTTCAGGGGGAGTCTGGATTATAGACCACTGACAACTGCAGACGCAGTAAGTTTTGCTTCAACTCTCACAGTGTGAGAATTTGGGAAAGTTTAAAATAGTAAATGACAGTGTGATGTGGCCAAATAATAAACACCATATTTATTCAAGTCTAATGCACATCTTTTTTTCTCTTTTTTGCCAAATTAAGCTGCAAAAAATTGGGTGCGCATTAGATTCTATGGTGCATTAGACTTGAGTAAAATATGCAGCTCACTGCTGGCAAGGTGCGTGTGCGGCTGTGCACTCCTCAATGGAGAGGTGGAACGGAGCCTGCACCCACTGCTGGCTAGCGGGCTCGCCTTGCCTGGCTCCTCTCCTTGCCAGACCTGTAGCCACCTCAAAACTTTCAGCCTGTCTGTTGTAAAGAGTACACCTTTTGCCTATGCACATTACATTCGCCAGCAAGTTCTTCTTTGCTTTCAAGGTTCTGAAAATTGAGGTGCACATTACATTCGATGACACATTAGACTCGAGTAAATACAGTATGTGGTGAGGCTTATATTGTAACTGTTGTACTTCCGCAAGCTTTTTGGTTTTAATATCCTCTACATTGACAAAGATATGTGTGGGTGTCATATATTTTGGTGAGCTGGGAACTGGCAAATCTCAGTCATGGCAACCTGTAATCTCAGAGGCTCCTAAATGCACCTTTGAGATTACAGTAGTTATGGCTGGAGACTGTAAGATCTTAATTCTTTTTCTAAACCTGTTCCTGTTTGTGATAAAAGTGGCCCAGCATAATATCTGATCAAACCTTAACATGAATAATTATGCAGATGGCTTGCATAACAAGTAATTCAAATAGCAACATGCAAACATTTTTATCACTTTTCAGGTGTTTTCCAAATGGCCAGGAGAATCTGCATAGACCACAATGATATTGAGCATAGTCCTGAAAAGCTGTAAGGAATATGTCCTGCAGTTTGAGCTTTTGCTCTGTGGAGGGCTGAACCATGTGTGTCTACAGTATTTTATTTCAAGGTCACGTGTGAGGCTTATCTCACTATAGATACTTTTGTAACAGAGTAAACTCATTGAAATTAATGAACCTGTTAGCTGTCTATTAATTTCAGTAGAACTAAGGTTGGCTATAACCTACTGCTGAATCCTTTTCTTTTTGATCACGTACATCACTATGATTATTGAAATAAACTGTCTTTAAGTTTCTGTTTCAGAATTGGTTCAGAATTACTAATTTCATTTACTCTTTTTTTTTTTTAAGATTGATGAGCACAGGATATGTGTGTGTGTAAGAAAACGACCACTAAATAAAAAAGGTAGGCCTCTTTTTAATATGCAGGCTTTTATCTAGTTTCTGGGAGGTGGGTAATAACTTTATTTTATATTTGTCTTGAGGCCACATGCTGAGTTGATTTTTTTCAGGCTGCCCCGAAAGGTTTCCATAAGGGAGGGTGAATAAGTTTTATCAAGTGGGTACTAGGATAACCAAGCATTTGGATTTCTCCTAGAGCACATTTGGAGCCAAGCTACTGATAAAAAATAATGGACCATTTCTGGTTTACACACACACACACACACACACACACACACACACAGACACACACACACACACAAACAAACTATAATTTTGGTTTTCTGGATGTGCTTGTATAGGCTAGATTGAACCCAGAAACCTTCTTATTTGGTCATATCTAGAAGTGATGTCTCCTTTTAGCATGGTTCTGTACATATGGACATCACAATTTGTAAAGAGGGCCTGTCTTTTCCAAGGTCAAGGTAACTTACACGAAAAGTACAATAATCAATGAAAAAAGGAACTTTCCCTTCCCTTCCCTTCCCTTCCCTTCCCTTCCCTTCCTCTATGTAAGACCGAGTAGCAATACAGACTTCGGTATCTAGAAGGATTTCAAAAAAGTCTTCACGTTCCCTCTGAAATGCCAAGAGGAAGGCAGGCCTAGACTATTTGAGTTCTCTAAGTTAAATATAGTACCCCCCCCAAAAAAGATGAAATGTTGTGGCAGTATTTTACCAAAGTGAAGGTTATTTTATTCATCCAAACCTCAAATGCCTGGTTCTATGTAAGTAAGACTTCTGTTCAAAGAAACACCTAGTTTATTTAGAAGCTTCTAATGTTCCCATAACTAAATTAGGTATTAGTGTAAATGCTGAAATTGTGATGGAATTTCTCTGGGGAGGGGAGTGCTTGGGAATTATGTAATGAGATGGTTACATAATGTTCCATTTGAGTGTCTTGTGAAGAGCAATGATGCATTAAATATTATGATGCTAGCAGCTCTGTAGAGCGCATTTAGCTATAACTTAAGTTCTGGGCATATTTGGCTTTCTTCATGCAGGTCCTTGAGCATCACTTTGAATATTATGGTATTATGGTTTGGAGCGATGGTTCTCATGTTATCTCATATAATGATGAAAAAATTACCTCTGCAATAGAAATCAATTTAAAATTTGGGGTCTGGTTAATATTAGTCCATGATTAATCAGACACTCCCTCCTCTTCCATCAGTCTGTCCAGGTTCTAACCTGCAGTCATTGCCAACATGCAGTTCTAGGGCTCAGACGCATCTGGAGTATCAAGAAAATAGGGAGACTGTCCCACATAATTTGATAACCTGTTAGTCATGGCAATGCCAATGCCAAAGCCAACCAAATAATGTGGGAGAAGAATACATCTTTCTCACAGGAGCTGGCAAGAGTAGGAGAAGAGTTGATGTATCTTCCCCCAATTGTAATGGGGCTTATCTATCTATCTATCTATCTATCTAGATAAGGGCTTATCTATAGTTGCCTTTCCTCTGCGCTTTCTGAGTACCCTTTTTTTCTTTTTGCTCTGGAGCTTTACCTGGAAGAAACTTGCTCTTTATAGCTCAATCGGAGCAAATGGCAATCTGCTGAAAACCCAAATTGCTGCTTTCTCAAATTTCGCTTTAAAGGGTGGGTTTTCGTGGGGAGAGCTCTGGAGCACAGAAATCAAAAGGTGGGGGGGCACTCTGACATGAAACTTTAAAGCATGGACCTGTGTCTGAAAGAGTAGGGAAAACAGCAGGCCAAAAGGCAAATGTGGATAAGCCCATAAGAGATATGGGATGGGGGAGAGCACTTGCACAGGTTGCTGAACACTTCCAAGGCTAGGAAGGCAGGGCTGAACAGAAAACATTCTGGAGCTCAGCTTATTTTGTCGGGAACCGAATCCAGGTGGTAGATGGATGACAAAGGGCCAATTTCTAGCACTAAGATAACTTTGGAATTATCCTGGTCTCACTATGTGTAATCAGGATGATCTCACACCTCCCATAGATTTCTGTATGGCCTCAGTTGAGTTCACGACCCACCGTGTCTGCTCCTTACCTAGGGAAAAGCTGGGTGGAAGTAATAAAGTGCTGCTGATGCTTTCAGAGGGTGGTGATGGGGATTCCTCCATATCTATACGGCAGTTGTCAAGGCCATCTTGGTAGTTTCCATTCCTACTTTGGCTCTTTCTCTACCCTTTTCTCCTTTGTATTCCTCAGATGGGGGAAGGGAAGTAGCCTGTTTTTCTATTCAGCTCTCTGACTCTTCAGATATAAGACAGAGGGTCTGTGACAGCTTCCCTTTGATGTGCTGGACAGTCCATTGATGTGGAAGTTGCCCTACTTCTCTACCCTTCAGTTCAGAATAAGTGTAACCATCCTGTGGTTATATAGGATGTTACACATTGACTATGTCACAGAACTGTTGGAGCCTACTGTTTTTCAGTCACCGGATTGTAATGTAGATTTTATTAGGAATGTAGGCTGTATTCAACCAGTTGATGTATTAATCAACTGAAATCTAATTAGTTGTAGCCATTTACACACACACACACACACTCTCTCTCTCTCTCTCTTACTGCCCTTCACTGTAAGGTCCCAGGGCAGGATACAACATTACAAAAAATTTAAAACAACCCACAGGTATAAAAACAAGGTGGATCCAAAAAACATACACCTCAGGTGTCAAAAGCTAGGGCCTTCAGATTTGCAGCTGGTCCCCATATAGGATTTGATAGGATTTCATTTTCTCTGTCCTCACCAGGTTTGATTGGGCAAACTATTACAAGACAATATATTGAGGAGGTTTGGTGCTATAATAAAAGTTTATTTAATCAACTTTTCCAGAATTTTCACCTGGGCATTCTAGTTTTTAAAGTGAAACATGAAATGTGAGCGTCTTTAACTCTCTGAACTTAAAAATATAATTCACTCAGTGTTGTAAAACCTGAAGTTCCAACTTTATTCTGAAGGTCTGAGTGACTAAGAATACCCTTAATGTTTTCATTTATAATGTAATGAGATTCATTGTAATCTTCCTAGGAGACAGATCACAATCTGTTTATCCTGCTTGTATAACCAATATTAGCTAAATTAAACTATAGGGAGATGTGTGTCTCTGTTGAGTTTTGGCATGCTACTTAAGATGTTTAAAAGTTGTGAATTTGTGTATTCAGATAATTTTTTTAAAAAAGAACAAAATTGGGGTCTAATGGGCCTTGAAGTATAGTCAGGTCTGTAATATAGTATGCCCTATTGAGCTTTTTCTTTCGAGTAATATTTTTCTGTGTTTCACTTGCAAATATAGGGCAGAAATTTCCATTTTATTTTCCTGCCGCATGGTTACAACACTTCTCTCAAAGCTAAATTTTGGTTGCTTCCCAGTAACTGGGTGGTTAGGTGAAAGGTCAGAATCAAAACACTTCAATGTAGAGCTCTTTGTATGAGAAACCTCAATATATTCTGATTTCTGTCCTGAGGGGTTTTTCCCCCTCACAGAAATAGGACACATTAATGCATTTGACTGTACATACAAAGCACCTTTTGTTTGCATGTCTCTTGGAACATTGGGCTTTGTGTATGTTGTTGCTGACTCAGGCATTTCATACAATTAACAATAGCTAATATTAATGAATGCACAAACTGATGAAATCAAGTTGGCTATCTCCTGTTCCCTTGAAGATGGGTAATGATTTCTTTATGTACTGTTCTTGCAACAAGCTATTTATGCATGCAGATTAAAAAAAACACAAATAGACTGAAGATGATTCTAGTTTAAACTGAACAGCCTGAAAATACATGTACATATGTATTTTTTTTCTTCCAAAGATGCACGTTATAGCAATACCAGATTCACATAAATTGCTTTGAAAAGATTTAACTATTTTGGATGTATGACTAATGTCTCAATTAATTGTGAAGTTTGTATATCGAAAAAAATTAATTCACATTTAATTGCTTTTTTAGAAACTGTAATGAAAGATCTTGATGTAATAACAATCCCTAGCAAAGATGTTGTGATGGTACATGAACCCAAACAAAAGGTAGATTTAACACGGTACTTAGAAAACCAAACTTTCCGCTTTGACTATGCCTTTGATGACAGCGCTCCTAATGAAATGGTGTACAGGTATGTGTTCCTTGTCCCCATTTTGAAGTTTTTTGCTGTTTTCTCCTGTCAGTAAGCTGATGTTCTGTTTAACTTGGATTCCTGTGTGTTGTTACTGCAATTCCTATGTGTTTGTCTCTTTTTCTACTTCGTCCTCCCAAAAGAACATATTTTCCTAGTTATATTTAAACTATAATAGCTTTATCCATTGTGAGTGTTTTTGTGTCACTGTACTGGGCTTCCCGCTTCTATTGTGCTTCGGTGTCCCCCCCCCCCCCGCTTTTGGAGGCAGAAGATAATTACACAAAGGGGTTAAGACCTCATTTGGAACTTGAGAGGCAGGTCAGACTTGAAAGATCTGGGCAGAAGAAAAACAGACTCTGCTAGGGGTTTCTTGAGAAGCTGCTGGTATTTTTCCAAAGTCAGAGAGGCAAGAATAAGTCTGGAAATATGCTCCTTTAATGCCACTTCTCTTAAGCTAGTTTGAAAGGAAGGAAAGGCCTGAAAAATGTGCAAATGGGAGGGAGTAGGTGGCAGAAAGAAAGAAGAAAAGGTTAGTCCTGCCTACTTAGGACTGCCATCCTGCCTGCTGCTTGGCATGCAGCCCCTGACAGATTACCCACAAGTCAATGCAGCTCTTGGCAGAAACGGTTGCCCATCTCTGCTCTTCGTGGTACAGTTTGAATCTCAGTCTCCTTCTAGGACCAGGAGGATCCACAATTCCATCAATCGTTACCACTTTCCCACTCCTGCAATTAGTACAAACAGAGAATACAGAAATGTTCAGAAGCTCCAGGTCAGCACTGCAGAGCAAAAGGGCTCTGTGTGCATCATTTTAGGTCAATAGGGAGTGCTTGTTTCTCTAGAACAGGGGTGGGGAACATTTAGCTTGGGGGTCAGCAAACTTTTTCAGCAGGGGTCCGGTCCACTGTCCCTCAGACTTTGTGGGGGGGCGGACTATATTTTTTTTTGGGGGGGGAATGAACAAATTTCTATGCCCCACAAATAACCCAGAGATGCATTTTAAATAAAAGGACACATTCTACTCATGTAAAAACACCAGGCAGGCCCCACAAATAACCCAGAGATGCATTTTAAATAAAAAGACACTTTCTACTCATGTAAAAACACGCTGATTCCCAGACTGTCTGCGGGCCGGATTTAGAAGGTGATTGGGCTGGATCTGGCCCTTGGGCCTTAATTTGCCTACCCATGCTTTAGCCTATAAGCTAGTCTTTGTCGCCCAATGGGAGAGGTCTGATTTGGCCCACGAGGCCATATCAGTTATCTTCACTTGGGACATCAGCTGATTGAAGGCAGGATTCAATACCTCATTAGCTGTGAGTGTCTGTTGCCAGGAGGGTACAGGTATCTGCAGTCAGCACAACAAGATTCATCCCTCTGTTCGCTGGCTGATAAGTGGGGGTTTAATTCTGCCAAAGAAAACCTGTAAAATGCAAGCAGCTTATTTGCAGTTTCTGTAGCAGTGGTGACTGGGGTGGGCAGCAAAGGGGGAAAAGGTGAGTCTTTTTTGCTTTGGCCCACCCCCCACTGCTGTTGGAAGTGTGAGAAAGAAGCCTGCAGAAAAGAACTTATAGGAATGGAGGAGGACCTAAAGACTTCCTTTGGACTTCTGAAAGCATTATTTAGAAGGCAGAAAATAAGATCTGACTGCTGCTGAATCCAAAGTTGAATGTAATCTGTGTCAAAGTACTCTACTACTATTTTTGTTTGTTTGTTTAAACTGCAACAGACATTTTCAAAGATTGCTTTTGATGTTTTTGCTTGGATGGGGTTATGCAAGCTTTATTTCTTACGTAAAGTTTTAAAAAGCTATTATACTAGGCACTCTTGGAGGAAACTGATTTTCTAGATCCATTTCAGTCAAGGGTTTAGGCCTGGTTTTGGCACAGAAACTGCTTTGGCTAGTTAGCTTTTGTTCTTGCTTTTATTATGCATTTTGTGTTTTTATCATGTATTTTATGCTCTGAACCACCCTGAGATCTAAGGATGAGGGGCGGTATACATATTTAAAAAATAATATAATAGCTGTGTTTTTCTTTCTTTTATTTCTGTGCTAAAGGTTTACTGCAAGACCACTAGTAGAAACAATATTTGAAAGAGGAATGGCTACATGTTTTGCTTATGGACAAACAGGCAGTGGAAAGACCCATGTAAGTATTTCTGGTGAGCAATACATGCTATTGAAGTGCTTTTATTATAACCTGATAACTAGAAAAGCTTTGAATGTGTTAACAACATAATTGACTCTCTTAAGGGCAAACGCCTGTCAGGGACTGGTGATACACTGTAAAATTTTGTCCCAGGTCCCACTTGTGAACCTACTTTATGGAACTTTAAAGGCTGCTTGCCAACAAACTTCATTAGAGTTAGAAACACACACATACATTCTTAGAGTGTCCACTGTTCCCGTCACTACAAAATGCTAAAGTACCGTAATCTGTGTCTTAAGGGAGCAAATCCAATTATTGTTTTTACACAAAGCAGTGGGTCTTCTCATTGAAAATAGTTATTCATGCATGACCCTTGATAACGAGTATGTGATGTTTGATAGTTGCCGTTTTCATGCTGTTTATTTTATTGTATTATATTTGTCTTTAGACAATGGGTGGTGATTTTTCGGGGAAGAACCAAGACTGTTCAAAAGGAATTTATGCACTAGCAGGTATGTCCTTTGTCTTTGGGCTTGATACAAGAGAGTCTGTATCCTGTACGTATAGCTATACACTTTATGGTATATGGGTACCACTTAACATCTGAGATTGAGAGATGTAATACTATTCACTAAATGCATGGTTAAGTTGGAAGTTGGACCTGTGCGAAACTGCAGGCAGAAGGAAACTGTCAGCAGGGGACTTGCCTGCTTTTTCACCCCACTGCAGCTTCCTGCATTCCCAAAAGTTGTTTCTGCGGGTCAGGGCAGCCTGTGGATTGGGGTGTGAAGGGATGTTGGGTAAAAGGAAGCCACTGAAAATGGGGCCAAAACGTCTTGCAAGAGCAGTATCCCTCACGCAAGGTGCTTCTGTTTTATTTTGACAGTTCCTCTTGCACCCCATCCCACTTTGTTCTGGAGGCTCCTCTAACCATCAGAAGTAGCTTTTCTGGAGTTACTAGAGTAACAGAGGGGACGCGGGTGGCGTTGTGGGCTAAACCACAGAGCCTAGGGCTTGCCAATCAGAAGGTAGGCAGTTCGAATCCCTGTGACGGGGTGAGCTCCCGTTGCTCGGTCCCTGCTCCTGCCAACCTAGCAGTTCGAAAGCACGTCAAAGTGCAAGTAGATAAATAGATACCACTCCGGCGGGAAGGTAAACGGTGTTTCCGTGTGCTGCTCTGGTTTGCCAGAAGCGGCTTAGTCATGCTGGCCACATGACCCGGAAGCTGTATGCCAGCTCCCTTGGCCAATAAAGTGAGATGAGTGCCACAACCCCAGAGTCGGTCACGACTGGACCTAATGGTCAGGGGTCCCTTTACCTTTATAGTAACTAGTAACAGAAGGTTACTATGGGAGAGGGTTGGTGGGGAAGCATCCTTTCATGTCCTTTCTTGGAAAGCTTATAGTCTAACAGTCTAGCTTTCATCCTGTGAATCTCTTTGCATTTTATCAGCTTCTCTCCAAAACAAATGCTGTGAATTTTACCTGTAAATTTATGGCCTATTGTACAGGGTTCTTGCTTGCTTTACAGAAAGCTAATGCATGTGATGCATGTTAAACACACGAAAACGCTATATAAATGCTCCTTTTTTATGACTAACCACATGGAACAATCCATGCTACTATGTGAACATTTGTCACGGATGCTTTAGTGAAATTCTTGCATTATAGGGGGTTGACTAGATGACCCTCAAGGCCCCTTCCAACTCTACAGTTCTGTGATTCGAACAGCTGTACATTTAACACATTTTCTGTCACTCAGTCGATCTCTTTTTCATCTATTCACAGCTAGAGATGTCTTTTTAATGTTGAAGAAACCAAACTATAAGAAACTAGAACTTCAAGTATATGCAACATTTTTTGAAATTTATAGTGGAAAGGTATGTGATACATACACATATATCTATTTTAGAATAAAAGTCTTATCTAGCAAAGCTTTTTTTGTCAGGAGTTCCGAGTTTTCGTCTCTGTATTTAGATCTCTTTTTTTTTGCATGGCTGAATTGTTTTGTCAGACAGGACTAAAGTAATGTTTTAAAGACCCCTAAATAAAACAACACCTCTTCTCCCTCTCTTTCCCCTGCTCCCTGCATAAGGTTTTTGACTTATTGAACAGGAAGACGAAATTGAGAGTTTTAGAAGATGGTAAACAGCAAGTCCAGGTGGTGGGATTACAGGAACGAGAGGTTAAATGTGTTGAAGATGTACTCAAGCTTATTGAAATAGGCAACAGTTGCAGGTAGGATTTTTTTTTAAAACAACCTGGGAGTTTACTTGCCAGAAGAAAACTCCTGTTCTGTAATAGCTACTGAGAAATAGAATGTGTGTGTGTGTGTGTGTGTGTGTGTGTGTGTGTGTGTGTGTTTGTTTTAGGAGCAGTGTTGATTTGTGTTATCAGCTTACTGTCTTAATGTTTTGCTAATTTATTGACATATTGTTACACTGTTACATCTGGGTTTCCAACTAAGACTGTAACATTCAAGTTCAGGCTTAAAAGAAGTTATAACTAGTACTTGCATTGTTATAACTACACTCGCCCCTTCAGTCTGTGTTTAACATTAGAGTAAATTCTTTGAAGGTGGTCCAACGCTGATTTTTAACCCTTGTCTGACTAGCTCATATTGTAAGAGCCAATTTCCCTTGCGCTGGTGTGGTTGTAAGGTTCAAGGAACGTATTGACACATGTATTGGGAGTGTAACTAAGTACACATGTTCTGGAAGGAGGTTGTAACAGTGATTGGTATTGTTGTTGCCAAACAGGGGTCCCTGGACGCTAAGTTATGTCTCTTACCTACGGTATTTTTGATGACACCAATATTAACCTTACTCATCAACACTTTTTTCTATATCTGTTGGTTGCTGCTTGTCTAGTGATCTCTCAAGGATGGAAGGGCACATCTTGTTATTCTACGGATCTATGGTTTTAAAAAGTAGTGTTCATTGCCTTTTTTTGAAAAAAGTGACTCATAAAATATGTGCCACCATGAGTGATTTGGACTTCTCCGACTTTGCTTCAGCTTGGGGGCTCTGTTTGTGACTTAACATGACCAAACAATCTCATGGTTGGCACATTCCCACTAAATATAAGTATTTGGCAATAATCATGATGATTTAATATGGTTGGTATTAGTATGAACCCTGTATTCCACTATGGAATTTATTTTATGCCGCTCATTCTTTTTCAAACTTTCTGTGATTATTATGATTATTATGATTTTATTTTTTATGACTGTTTTATTCTTTCTTTTACCTTGATGCTTCGCTTTTGTTTACTGTAAAATAAAAATAACTAGTACTTCCTACTAAGATGTAAAAATATTATTAAGTGAATTGAAACAAACGTGGTTCAATGAGTGGTATAAGAGGAAAATACAGATGCTCTTCTACCTCAGTTCATGCCATAGTTGAAGATAGAGCGTAATTGGCATATGTGTACTACAAATGAGCCCCTTGTTTGTTTTGTATTGGAATAGAACCTAAAGTGTGCTTTAAACTACCAACAGATAGTGTAAGCCTGACAAGCCTTGTGGTGATGTGTAATTCAGTTGCGTTTCTCTCCTCCCTTTGCTACAGAACATCTGGTCAGACATCTGCAAATGCACACTCATCTCGAAGCCATGCAGTGTTTCAGATCATCCTCAGGAGAAAAGGGAAGCTGCATGGTAAATTTTCATTGATTGACTTGGCTGGAAACGAAAGAGGAGCTGACACTTCCAGTGCCGATAGGCAAACACGACTGGAAGGTGCTGAAATTAACAAGAGCCTTTTAGCACTTAAGGTAAAAAAAAAAAAAGCCTCTCGTTGTATTTGTACCAAAGACCCCCCAGTTTTCCATATTGCAGCAAATGCAGAAACTTCTGAAGGTGATATTTGCCTTCCATGTTTAATATGTGTGTTGTTACATTTGTACATTCAAAGAGCTCTGAGCATTGCTTTAGATTTGTGGTTGATTTGAGAGCTAGGTTAAGCTGCAGGAGACTGATTTACCCAAAGCCAAACACCCAGTTTGCTTCCTAGCTTAGCAGTGATTTACTCCTGGCCCTCCCACATTCAAGCTACTGAAATACATGGATGCTGAAAATTTTCATAAGGTTAGGTAGCTTTGTAGACCTCTGCCTATACTCATACATGGTTTGTGATTTATGATAAGAATCTTGGACTGTTCAAGAATTGCAATAGGTAGCAGTCAAGTCCTCTAGCAGTTGATGGTCAGGCACAGACTGAAACTGTGGAGTCGGACCACAATGCGGAGGGCTTGCTCAGCAATAGTAGGAAGCCAGAACTGTTAAGCTGATATAGGCCAGGGTCTGAACATAAAGCTTGGTACCACTCAAATGTTGTTGGACTACACTTTCCATTAGCTCCAGCCAGTATGGGCTGTGGTTAGGAATGGTGGAGGTTGTAGTTCACAACATTTGGAGGGTATCAGGTTTTGGAAGGGCTGCACTTGGGTGCTAGCTGTAGGATTTTGGCATGGGGCTTTTGATGCTATCTGTCCATTGTTTCTGGTAAAAGACTATGGTCTCTTTGGGTAGTTGACTCTACATGTGTATACACATGTCCATGTGTGTGTGGAAGTGGTATGGGAATGCTCCCATACATACTACATCTCTTTCCCTCCCTTTAGTCTGCAAGTATTTATTGATAATATTTATTTCTAGAAAAAAATTATCCTGCCAGTGTTATACAAACTCACCTTTTTTGTCAATGTACGTAGATTTTCTGTGTGTGTAAACCAGCTGTTGCTTTCTCTCTCAAAGAAAACCCTGTATTGGTCTTACTAGATATATATCAACCCTAGGGAAATGTCAAAATGTAGGATGAGCCATCACTATAGCATGGAAAGAGGCAGGTAGAGCAAATAGGTGCAGCTCTGCTGTAAGTTTCCTAGGGAGTAATATATGCATAAAAACGTGGTTCTAAGTTTATGGTTGTGTAATTAACACAATTGCGCATGGGAGAAAGACAGACAAACAGTGTGGACTTTGCCTCTGTTTTGGTTTATTGTGCATATTTGGTATGATTACAAAATACACCGATACATACTGCATAACTAATATTTAACAATACAATGAAGACTCTTGTGACACTTTAAAGTTAGTCCTCTAGAAATAGTGACACAGTTAGTCCTCTAGAAATAGTTACTTGATAATATAGTACAGCTGCCCTCAGACATGCCTAATTTGACTAACCAAATAATAAAACAGAGCTTACACTGATTTGTGCTAACAAAATACAACCAGTGCATGGCTTCACTGTGAGAACAGGTTGTTTTTTAGACAGGACAACTTGCAATTAGCACAAAATATATACCTAATGGAGACACACCAAAATGTCTTATCCTGCTTTATAACCCTATCCCTTGTTTTGCCCTTTCTTCTTTTAACATTTTGCAGCTAGATTCAGTGAATAAATTGGGTCTGAACATAAACAACAGCTTCCTCCAAGAAAGGCCAAATTTTAAAGCTCTTGAAATTTAGTCTCACACATTTCCTCCTTATCTGTAATGTAGCTATTTTGCTAGTATGCACTTCTGCAGTTTGTGTAGCAAGCTGAAAGATTTAATTCCACATTAAATATCTGTAATGTACATATTTGTATTAACCTTTCACCTTTAGAGTCGCTTCAAAGCCAATTCTTACGCCGACTTTTAAAACTACCAACATGCGTAAGTAATGCGGCTATTCGCTTAGAAATGAAGATCCCCTCAGTGGAGTTAGTTTTATGGAGGAGAGTTTTGATTTATTGGATATCTCTATGGCATAAACTACCGAACCACTATCTCATTCAATGCATGTGGCGGGATGACTTTACAAATTTGTGGTCAGGAAAAATCCATGCCAAATTGCTGTCCTATGAGATCTTGCCCACGGAATTGCTCAAACTGGATCTAAACGCGGCAAAAAGGTGTATAAATCAAAGGCTGGATGATGTGGAGCTATACCAAAATTTCTTACCTGGTGGTGGAGCCTGCTCCCCGTTAAATCTCGGCATAACCCCTATCTATCGTGCTCCGTCCTACTTAACATCGCTTATAGCCGCATCTCACCGATATGCCTTCATTAGAGCCAGGTTCAATGTTTTCCCAACAAACGTGCTGAGACATAGATTCACTAAGGGCCAAGTCCCTTCAATGTGTGCTTGTGAAATGAAAACATCTGAATCTTTACATCATGTTATGTTTATCTGCCCTATGTACAGTTTAGCCCGCGCTAGTATACTAAACTCCATAATCCAGCCTATGGCTGACAAACCAGTAGACCTACAGCTTGCCTGGGTTCTTCAAGATGTAGATCCTTATATTACTCTACAGGTTGCTAAATTCCTAACAGCCGTTCTCTCGTACAAGAGACGGAATGGAATGTTAACTGATTATTGATATTTATAAGAATTTTTGATATTGACATCAGAAATTGATTTAGCGTAGTGCCCACATTTTTAACTTTAATCTTAAATTTCTGTTTTGATTTGCCAATATTTGTCCTTGTGAGCTGTGAATTGTGTTATATTACTTGTGGCTTGTTCGAGACCGCTGTTTTATTTGATTTGTTTTGTGTGTTGTGCTTTATGATGGGCGTAAAGCCGAATAAACATTTTGGTACATATTTGTATTTATGTGCATTGCAAATTCAGTGCATGGAAAGTATCCAGATTTCGTGTTTATTTTTACTTAACTACTGTGAACTGTTTTGCTGTTGCTCTGCTTTGTTTGTCATCTTCTAAATGTCATTAATTATATAGGGGAGCAAGAATAAGCAAGCAGCTACAGATGTTCCAAATTACTGTTGTCAGGAATAAATGGAATATTTCTAACCAAACTACTTAATCTTCATTTTCTGACAGTCTTTGTATCATGAGAAAACTGAAGGAGTTGAAAATCCTCCAGTTCATTTGTCAAAACATTTCAATGCTTTTGAAATGTGGGCTTTGCCCCATTAGAAGTTGTCTGTGATGAGTTTCCTATTGTTGAAATATTTCAGAATCTGTTTACTGTAACCAAATAAGGGTTGCATAGTCAAATACTTACCAGTATTACTAGTGAAGAAAGAAGAATTACTTAAAAGTCATATTGTATTGCTGTTTCATAAACCATGTCCTCTTCTGGGATTTGATATTTAATCCTAAATGGAATGTACAGTCACACCTCTAGTTGCGTTAGTTTCATGTTGCGAATTTTCGGGTTGCAAACACTGCAAACCCGGAAGTGGATACATGCAGAAGCGTTCTGCGCATTTCGTGCATGCGCAGGAGCTCTCTATTGCATCACATTCATGCGCAGAAGCGGCACCCTACTTATGGACTTTTCGGGGTGCAAACGGAACCCCGGAATGTATTGCGCCTGTAAGTAGAGGTACCACTGTACTGTAAATGGCTGTAGCTCCATGGTAGAGCATCTCCTTTGTGACCAGAAGGTTTCAGGTTCAGTCCCTGGCATATCCAGGTAGGTTTGGGAAATACTTCCTGCCTGAAATCCGGGAGAATCACTGCTTGCCACACAGCTGTGGAACTGGGGAGCCCTCAGTCACTAGCTGGAGCAGAAAGATATGAGACGGGGGAGGCAGAACCTTTTAAGTTGGTTAGATAGGCTTGGGTGGGTATGAAGTCGTCCAGGGCTGCCTTTTGAATAGGGTTTTTTGGGATTAAAGGGCCATTATTTCCAGGTCATTGAGCAGGATTGAAGGCCTATTCTGACCAAGGCAATGATTCCATTGAAATAGCCCAGGCATAGTCAAACTCGGCCCTTCAGATGTTTTGGGACTACAACTCCCATCATCCCTAGCTAACAGGACCAGTGGTCAGGGATGATGGGAATTGTGGTCCCAAAACATCTGGAGGGCCGCATTTGCCTATGCCTGAAATAGCCCTTTGTAAAAGGTTTTGAGAACCATGGCACAAAACTAGTCTGGTGTTCAAGCAATTTTATTTAACTTTTATTTAACTTTAGAAGATGTTCATACATTTTCCTTTAAAAGTATTTTACTTTAGAGAGAAATAGCCAAAAATAAAAATTATTAGGTGAGGATAAAAGTAATTAGTTTTTCCTTTCCTGGTTTGTTGCTCTATTAACATAAGCACTATCTGCTGGATCAGGTTAGCGGTGCTTTTAGTCCAGCATTCTGTTCTCACAGCAGCCAACCAGATTCTTATGGTTTCCCACAAACAGGAGCCTTCTCCCCGCCTGTGGTTTCTAGCCTTTGGTATTAAACCCTGCAGAATTAGAGCAGTGTTGGTAAGAACCTAACTAGCATAGAAAACCCTTGTGAGGCACAGTGGACACCCATTTCCCTTGGTTTACATTTTATACACAAAGAAACTATTAGCCTGGAGGATTTTTTAAATCTTTCTAAGCTGAGTACTGACCTAAAGATGTTTTTTTTTTACAGAATGCCGAACAGCACCTACAATAACAAACAATGTCGCATTAAGTGCTTTCTTCCTTAATCTCTGTTACAAGTAACTTGTCTAGTGCTGCAAGGCTCCAGAAGTAGTGAAGAACAGTAGCAATTAAAAGCACTTGCCTATAGCTCAACATGTCCATGAGAGTCTATAGTTAATATTGTGCTCGGACTTAAAACACAAACTCTAGCAATGCCTAATTACAGTGCTTCAGTAGACTTAAGGTTTATTTGCATTTTTCTTAATTAGAAATACTGAAAACTGATGTAATATTTTAAGACTGGCTTAAACGAGAGCAACATGTCATCCAGTGTTTATCTGGTTTTGTTGGTTGCGCTTATATTAATATTTTTGCATGTGTCCTGTGGAGCACGAAAACATAAACATGTTTACTCTTACAGGAGTGCATCAGAGCCTTAGGCCGAAATAAGCCTCATACTCCATTCAGAGCGAGTAAACTTACTCAGGTCCTAAGAGATTCATTCATAGGAGAAAACTCTCGCACCTGTATGGTAAGTTTAGTGTGTTGCATTGCTGTAGAAAACAACAACAATCTATTTGTAGTAGATCAACTTAAATACACCATAGGCGACATACAATAGGGATGGAAAACCCTGTATTCTCAGGTGGCACGCTAATCTTTAGATAGCACTCCTTAGCTGGAAGTCAGTACTGCTTCATAACCAGACCCATTGGTTCTCTCCTAATTATTTCCTTGGTCTTAAGCAGTGCTTTTTTTCTTTAAAAAATGTTTAGGGGTACTCCCATTTTGACTCAAAAAAATCACCATTTTATAGTTCAAATTGGGAAAAATAAAGACAGTAAATGGACAAAAGTAGAAAGATTCACAAACTGTTTAGGGGTATGCGTACCCCAACGTACCCCCATAAAAAAAGCACTGGTCTTAAGACTTGGATTTAAAAATACCATAAGAGATGTTTATAACCAGTGTGATCTTTCCCTTTGGGGCAATTTGAAGATGGCTCCTTGATATGCTCAAGTTTCATAATATGGTTCCAAAAGCTACTTAACAGAATTAAGTTTATTCTATGGGAAGTGTTTATAGTTCTTAAGATTCCAACAGATTCCATATGTTGTTTTTGGTAGGTTCTGTTGGAATAACCTATTAGTCAATGTCATTTTATTTGTGGAAAAGGTTATTCTGCCCTGCATATGCTAGTATCTTATTTCCAAATATGCCTTGTGCAAATTACTCTCCTGGTTACTTGTACATAGAATAATACTGTTCGCTCCAGCCCAAAATTGCGTATGTATTTGTGACTGAGACGGTGGGGTTAGAGAGACTGTGGTTGCCTCTTATGTTTTACAGCAGTGAGACTACCAAGTGTCATGAGAATTTGATATGGAAGATGCTAACTTGGACAGCTGAACTTTAATTTTTCAATATTCTATATCCAAAGTTAGTTTACTATTTTGTGTATGGTACGGACTGCCGTGTTGAAACTCAACTATACATTTTATTTAAATTGTTAAAGTTTGTGATTGTATTTATTTTGTTCCTGTTTTTGATAGTATTGTTATGGCAACTTGAATAACTAGGCCCTGTTTGTTTAAAACAAAATAAAGATGGCTGCCCATGCTATCTTACCTTCATCATTTTGATTATTCTGATTTAGAATTAATACTATCTTCTTTCTCAAGGGTCACCAAATATTAATAATGGTAAGAGGTGAAGAAATAAGTCAAGAAATAATAATTAAAGTGGAGACATGTATTTATGTTTATTGCATATATCAATACCTGCTGGAAAGCTGTACTCTTCCCTAATTAGATTGGGTGGGAGAGATTGGAAATATAATATATTAGAAAGATACCATATGGTATGGATAGGTAGGTGCTCTAAAATGTGGATTCATTTAAAACTGAATATAGGTTAAACACGTTATATGCATCACTTGGATATCAAGTGCTTACTTGAACACAATACTTAATATTTTCAGTGTGCATAAGTTTAATAAATATTTCCTTCTTTTAAGTAATACAGATTTGTGCATATGCTCTTGACTGTTGTTGTCCTTGAAAAATAACTTTTGATATCCTTTCCTCCCAGATTGCTACTATTTCTCCAGGGATGGCATCTTGTGAAAATACTCTAAACACACTAAGATATGCGAACAGGTATGAGAATTTATATTTATATCATTGCATTCCCTAGCAGCATTCGAAACCTAGAAGTCTTTTTTCAGGCTTCAACTTCCTTATACTTTCTAAATTGCTATGAGGAACTACATTTATATCAGTACAGTTCACAGTTGAAGATGGCTGGCCTAACTTTATGCAGAAGGTCTGAAGTGGAGGTGAAAACAGGTTCTCCCACCCCAAATTTCCAGATCACAGCTGAGCATCATCTCAGTTTGATTAATCTATCCTTTCAGTCTGGAAAGAGGAGTATAGATCTTGAGGTTATGACAATAATAGTGTAGAGTGCATTAGTGAGTAAATATCTGTCGGTGTCCTATAAATATAGCAACAAGCAGACTAAAATAAAAACCTATTTTTTAGTTAGGCTGGCATTTTAACTGAATTCTGATGTTAGTTTAAAGCAATTATTATTTTCATTGTGTTGCATTTCTTGTACTTCTTACAGACATTTATAACCAAGCATTATATAAATTGTTCAAATAAATAACAATTTAAAAGGCAGTAATAATTATTTATAAATAATGCCGTTGATATATGTTTAGCATGTCTTTCTCTAAGGCAGCAGTGAATATTTGACCCTTAAATGCTGGGTTGTTTTTTTTTAAAAAAACCACTTCTTCCAAAAGAAGAGCAGTTTATCTCTGGATCAGTCCTTGGATGGAATAACTGCAAATGTCAGTTGTTTTGTAGCAGGGTAGACATGTTGTGATGTTCACCAAGACACTGGGCTTATATAGAAATACTGGCTTCTTTGACATGTCTTATAAATGTTCATGGAATTTGCTTATGTATTACACAATTTAGCTAGTAAGTAGTATAAAAATCTTTTGTTTTTAATATACCACATTCTGAGCATTTATATTAATAGTGGGAGACTTCTATGAATGAGCTGCATGACCACATAGTTCGTAAAGTGTATGATTAGAATAATACAATGACCTGGGTCATAATAGTCTGCTAAAGCTGCAGTGAGTTGTTTTTGTTCCTGAAGTTGTGCAAAGTAAGCTTAGTTTCGAGGCAATCCGTATGATGCATTATTGGGAATGTTGAACCTGGAACAATCTCCTTGCATTCCACCCAGCTCCATTCCACTCAGCTGTTGAAGGATGACCTTGCTTAAGCCAACATCCTTTGACTTCAGTTTCCCATCTTGTAGTAATGACTATTTTCTCTTGGAGGATTTGCCAAGGTTTATTTATGCCCTAGCAAGCGTGTTGCATAACTGACTGATTAAATATTAGAGGTTGTGATTTCATTGTCCTTACAAGAACACTTTCTTTTAATTTGCTGCTGTATCTTGCTGCTGCAGAGTAAAGGAATTTGGAATTAGTCCTTCGGACATTCCCTTCTCACAGGGTAGTGGCAGTCGCTCTGATCTCTCTCCTTCCTATGAGTATGACGACTTTTCTCCTTCAATCACCAGGTCTACTTCATTCTTTACATGGACTCTCTATTTTCTTTTAGTGTTTTTCCCCCCTCTTCAGCTGTGTAATTTTACAGACAAACCTTCACCTACTTTCCCTGTCTTGAGTCATCACCGCCTTTTTGTTTCCATTTTGTTTGACAGGTGGTGACACTGCATGGCCTGCAACTCATTTTCCCAATTATTATTCATCTTTTCTTCTTTTCAAACATTTCATGCCCAAGCTTGTTATTTCCCCTCATGTGTAAGATAGTGGTGATGTCAACTTTTGTAGTACTAGCAATTCTACATCTGAATAATTGAAGTGCAACAGTGATTCACTTTTAAATGCATGTGAAATAATTATAGTATAAAATAATAAATGATTCAAACTCTTGCAAGAGCACAATGTTTAATATTGTAATCAAGTATATTGTGTTTGACTCCTCATATTAAGGGTACACTCCTATTAAGGATACATTCATTCATGATGTTGACATCACCATTATTTATGTGAATTGCCTGTGAATTGATGAAGGGTTTTTTTTTTCTGTACTAAATGAATGGTACTCATTTTAAAATGAACACCTTCTTTGCAACTGTAGAGTAAAGGAACTGACAGTTGATCCCACTGGTGCTGGTGATATCCGTCCAATCGTTCATCATGCTCCAAATCAGATTGATGACTTGGAGGCACAGTGGGGTGTCGGTAGTTCACCTCAGAGAGATGATCTCAAACTACTTTGTGAACAAAATGTGAGTATCTGGCAAACCTCAGTGGCTCTTATTGCAGTAGAAATGCAATGCAAACATTTAGCCGATTAGTATATGTATATAAAGTTGCTTGGTGTGTTGTAAGGATAGTCTAGACTCTTTCTCTATTAAATAAAAACTGAAACTAATCATGTTGCATACATTATTCTCCTGCATTATAGTGTGTTGACAGAAATGTCTTTCTAGATTTTGTTTCAGGTTTTGGAAGGGGCAGATATGACCAGCCAGACATGACTCTAAAGAGCATTCAGGATAGCTTATATCCATAGCAATAAAATGAATATAAACAAGTATGAAACATCCACTTATACTCTCAATTTTGTTCATACTCTCAACTTTAATAAACCACTATCATGTTATCCTCAGACATTACCTTCTAAACTTAAAAAACCCCAACTTCTCATGCTTTGCCCTCCTAAGCAAGGTGATCACAACCTTCTGACTATATACTTCCATGTTTCTGTATTTGAAATGAGAAACCAATATATCCTTAGTGAGATGGGGCTCCCTGTCTTGGGCTGCTTTCTGGGGGTTTTCCTGTTGTTATTGTGTCTCTCACAGCTACAATAAACCTACCATTAAAATTATGGACTGGCCATTTCTTCATCAGAGGGCAAACGGGCAAATTTAGCAGCGGATCAAATACTTCCCCCTCTCACTGTAGATCCCACCTTAATTCTGTACATCCCACCTGAATTCATGGAACTCAAGGTGGCCCATGTGTGGCGGTCACTCATCCAGACACTGTCCAAACCTGCCTAGCTTCAACAAGGTGGTGTCCTCCAGACCATTCAAATAATTTGCTAGACAGCTCTTTGGAGCTTCTTTCTCACCATTTATATTTCATGGGCAGATAAATGCTATTGCTTCTGTATGGAAGAATATTTTAGTGGCCCTTTGGAGTAGCAATATACTATTACTGAACTTGGCATTTTAGTCAGTAAACAAAGGGCATTTGGGGCAACCATCAGTTTTTGCTGTTGTGTGGGATTCACTAGAGATTTTATTTTTGTTAGGCTCTCCTGGAGATGCCTTGCCTATACAAACCAATCTCTTTCTCTGAATTGATTCAGGTTACCATGTTTTGTTACCTTCTTTTTTCTCGTTTTGTTTCCTTGTGTATTCTTGTAATTGCTCATTTTTTTTTGTTTTTCTCAACTGAAGTGTATCCCAAAACTGGACTGCACTCCATACATTGTAATAAACTTATGAATTAGCCTTGTTCAAGAGAACATAAGCATTTGTCTTGCCGAGTCATGGATCAGTGTTCTTCAACATGCTGCTTTCTGTTAGCTTCTGTTATCAAAATCTTTTTTGAAAAGTAGAATTATATTGAGCCTCATTGTTTTTAAAAGGAGGAAGAAGTATCGCCACAGTTGTTTACTTTCCATGAAGCTGTGTCACAGATGGTGGAAATGGAAGAGCAAGTTGTAGAAGACCACAGAGCTGTCTTCCAGGTAAACGTGGAGCACTGATTAATACAGAGGCTGGGATCCGAAGAACTGTTGAGCACTGTGCAACCATGGGGCCTTTGGGCTTGTTTTTCTGAAGCTACAACTTCTCTCATCCCATAGGGCAAGGTTCCATTGACACTGAAGAGATTTTCAGAAACAGTTAATGATTGGGCATTGGAATTGGCACTGGGCATGTTCAAGCCCTTAGAAGTGTTTAAGTAGTATTTTTTATGTTGGTCAAACTTCCCAGTTGGGGCAATAAAAATGTTTTGAAAAGAACTACAAACAACTTGCGGTTTTTGTGCAGTTTTCCTAATGCTTATTTTTTCCACAGTGTCTTTGCAGCTTGATAGTTGTATAAACTGCTTCATCCCTGTTTCCTAGTCCTTATCTGAAACACACTGAAGCTTCTTGGAAATCATTGAAACAGGAAACTGTTTGTATTTGATATTTATAAAAAGGTTCCAGCATAGGAATGTCTGTTGAACTTATCAAAATTCTTTTGTTAATTTTGGCAAGTTTGGCATTGCACTCCACAATTTGTTGCCTGCAATTTGATTGTTGTATGTTCTATCTTTGGTTTTTATTAGGAATCTATTAGGTGGCTAGAAGATGAAAAAGCTCTCTTGGAAATGACAGAAGAAGTAGACTATGATGTGGATTCATATGCTACACAACTTGAAGCAATCCTAGAACAAAAAATTTACATTTTGACTGAGCTTCGGGGTAGGTGTTTATACCTGCTTAGATATACTTCTTAGATATTGAAGAATTTGTTGAAAGTGACAAGTGGCTTGTGTTAGCAGTTAATGGGTTTCAAGATTTATATATTTTTCACAGGCCAGTTTTAGTAGGGGGAGAAAATCAGTTGATATTGACAGCCATATAGTGGTTTATAAAGCAAATCTGAGGAGCTAAAATTTCTAAGCATTTCGATATGTAAAGTATAGTAGTGTAGCATGTGATCTCATTTTGATTACTGCTGCAGAATTAAAGGATAGCAATGCATCATTTATTTCTATCTGCTGTGGTCCATTGCAGCCTTTCTTTTGACTTGCTTTTTAAAGAAACGCCTGGTTTCTTAAATCTCTAGTGAGCAAATTTCAGTTTGCATCTATTGCTGCTTCTAATTTCATTACTGGTCCTGATGAACACATGTTCTTCAGACTTTAAATCTTGATCCAGACATTGGAAGAACTGCTGAAAGAGCATACCAAGCTCTTTTCCATTTGGTGCAGTTGTCCTGCTTTGATTGTATCTGTCTTAAAACAAAGTTGTCAGAATGGGAAGCTCAGTTTCCACTTGATCCAAAGTGGAATTGGTACTGTGTGTTGCATGATTACACCTCTGTGTGTTCTAATATGTGTTTTTATTTATACAGTACATTACTGAAATTGCATGTAGTATTTATTTACACATAATTTTATATGTTGCCTTTCTACGTTGTCACATTCAAGGCAATTTCCAATAATAAAAGAGACTATGCCTCAAGGTCTGGGTACAGGAATCGTGCTAAAATTATTCAGCTGATAACTGACTTTCCTTTCTTGTTTTAAGATAAAGTGAAATCCTTCCGCACAGCGCTACAGGAGGAGGAGCACGCCAGTAAACAGATCAATCCGAAGAGACCACGTGCCCTTTGAGGCAATCTTCTGCTGCTAAAGGATGCCTGAGCCTTCATTGCTGTACCACCCCATTGGTTGGAAATGAAGCTCTAAGAAGTCAACTACTTGAAAGAGCGAAAACGTTTGAAGTGTCTGTGGAAATGCCCCGTTTCTTCTTCCCCTGGCTGACATTTCAGTTGTGTGGAACACTCCTAAGATGTCTGCAAAATGCTTCTAGACCAGATAGCACAACCAGGCAGGTTTTGGAGATGGGAAGCACTTTTTGTTTCAAATGTTTTAACTTACTCAAAATTGTGAATTTTGTTTTGGAAATATTTGCCAATTTTTTAAAAATAATGAAGTAAAATGGTGGACTTGTAAAAAGAAAATTCACAGTATTTTGTTTCACTTATGTCAAGTTTTGTTGCAAAGAACAGCTGTGCAGTTTTGTATTTGCATGCATGCCCACCTCATCCGTGATTGTATATACCTCCTCTTCTAGACAGCTGTGCTCACCTCTTCCCATTTGTGCCTTGACCAAGGCGACTTGACCCTATACGTCCTCTCTAAAGCACAGCCTTAATAAATGACATTCCTTATTTGTCAATGTAAATTACTTTTATTGTGTGTACATTTTAATGTGTGTTTAGGTTTTCATTTTTCGTGACTAGTTCTTCATTTCACAGTATGTGCCATATCATTGACCTGGAATTAAAAACATGTTGGTGTGGATTGACGGCAAGCCATTCCATTTCCCCCTGTAAAAATCTGGAATCATGATTTATTTCAGTTACCATGAAGAGTCTCTAACATTTTCTTTGTAAAGAACAAATCTATAAATTAGTGGATGTATAATAAAAGGTAATTGATTATGAAGGAGAGTTGTATCTTAGGATAATACAGATATACGGTATGTGTGCTAGTGTGATGTCAGAATAAGGTGCAATCGAATCTCTGCATATGGGTAGGAAAGGTATCCAATGACTAGGATACCAAAGTAACCCTGTCACGTACTACTAAAATTGGCTTCTGATGCATGGGAGTTTACATGTGCATTAACTGTAGTCCGCAGGTAGTTAGTACTGTTGCTTTAAAAGAAAGTAGCTAATGCATATTTTCCATTTGTACAGTGCCATCAGCTGAAAAGTGAGGTGAATTTGTACCATTTGAGGATTTGCACAATAAACTCCACAAAACTTTTCTGATGCTGAAGAAATTCCACAATGATGCCTGAAAACTTCACAAATGGCACTATGTGTCCAGCACTTTTTAAGATGGTGGCACTTCAATTATTTTTGCAAATTGATATAAAAAAATTACCCTTTATATGTATTTTTTTTTTTTTGTCAGATGAATTGTAGACCTCTCTAGGAGTTCTCCCTATTCCCAAGATAGATTCCAGGTGCTCATATCAACAACAGACATTCCTTGGAACTGTTTCATAGTTTGTTTCTGGAACATAAGCCCATCTGTGCTGTGGCTGAGGGAAATAAAGGGAAAGCAATGAGAAGAGAGGTTAAATGAGCCAGAGTTTCTCAGTATTCAACATAATCCCCATAGAAAGGTAGCCCCTTGCCATATCATGGTGACAAAGCACCTGTCTGTAAACATGAAAACTGAAACAGCAATGTAGATTTTACACAATGTGTTTAATAAATTTAACTGAAATATAAATTAGAGATGAGAATTTTACTTCTATACAACTTTTTGTAAAACGTCTTCTTTTGTAGCTGCATCCTACTGTTAGGATATTTTAGAAAAGATTCATGGAAGATCCTTGCTTCAGGAAATTGTGATTCTGTTCAGCTTTGCCTTACATCAAGCTATATCACTGGTGACACGCTACCTCTTACAGCGTATTGTAAAGATGCAAGCTAGGAAATGCATGTCTATGTGGGAAAGTATGTGTCCCCAAAAGAGATGCAATTCCCCAGCTGCCTTCAGATGACACCAAAATTAGAAGAGGCACAAGCTTTTCTCTTACCTCTAACCCATCTCTCCTTAAAAAAGCAGATCTGCCTGGAGCAATTGACTTGACCCTATCTGCGATATATAAGAAGGAAGTCTTCCTTGATCTGAAAGGACACTTATTAGTTCCTCTGAAAAGAAAATTAATGAAGTAAATGTGCTTTCCAAAGGGGGAGTTATCACTTGTCATGTGAATATTCTGCCTTGAAATCACTTATTGGAATGGAATGAGGTATTTTACTAGTCAAATGTAAGACCAGCTGTGAGGACTATCAAATGCTGGTGGTGCCATGATAATCTTATACAGTGGTACCTCGGGTTACATAAGCTTCAGGTTACCGACTCTGCTAACCCAGAAATAGTACCTCGGGTTAAGAACTTTGCTTCAGGATGTGAACACAAATCGGGTGGCGGCAGCGGGAGGCCCCATTAGCTAAAGTGGTGCTTCAGGTTAAGAACAGTTTCAGGTTAAGAACGGACCTCCAAAACGAATTAAGTACGTAACCAGAGGTACCACTGTGCAGTTTCTACATAAATTCCCTACCACAAGGAAGAACCAAGCCAACTGGTTGTTCATTTATAATTCTTTCTTAACCATGGATGGAATATCAAGTTGCACTGTGTTATTGGTTTCCACAAGCCGCCTGCATTTGACTTGGTCCAGATATATAAAGCCTCAAGGAGTTGTATCTTCTTTTACTAAACTGCATATTCAGGGTTCACATTAGGAATCTGAAAGAGCATGGATACCTTTTGATGTGACTCATACACACATCTACTAAACTTGTAAGTTTATGCTACTTCAGGTAAGAAACTAGGAAAATGGAGATGAGTCTTGAAGCCAATGTGCACAACCCACCACATCACAGATCAGTGGCTTAGAGTTGAGGTGCTTGTAAATGTTGAATGTTTGTGGAAAACACTGATACAAAAGCATTTTTATTGCAATGCACCTTATAGGAATGACTACAGAACTTGACACACACAAAATCTAAGGAGTGGGTTTGACAATTAAGAGAACCTAGTTTCCATCTTGGATCATGAATTCTTTAATAAAGTAACAGTATCTGGGTTGTAATATCAAATATAACAGTTATTCTTGGTCGGGATGGTTTTTGTTGGGAGCAGGTGGTCACTGTGGCTTAGGCAATGCAATAAGAAAAATAAAAGGTGCATTTCAGGCGACCCTGAACATGGCTGGAGAGTTTACACTCTGCATCACATATGTTCTCTTAAAAAAACACACCAAATGAAGCAGAGCAGAACAAAGGCATGGTGGTGATTGGCGTTGTCCTTGAGAACCCATTTTGCTCCAATGGGGTAATTTAAACAGCTGGATGTGCATGTGCAGCATGATGTACATTCATCTTGGGTGAAATTCTGATACCACCTTTAGATAGTTCAGTTCATCCTTGCAAAAGCATTGCTGCTCAGCGTCTCTTCCATCTTATTCTTCCCTTTAGGAAAAGTGGATGCCTTTTGCGTTGAAGCCATGCAGAACACTGGAAAATGAAAACATTCATATCTCACTGACATTTTATATGACATTAAGAGTGCCACTTGTGGGTGATCCTGGGTCCTTTTGTGTCCAATTTCCAAGGCAAGAGAAAGTTCTCTCCTTTTTTCTGAGCTCCTGCTTCGGAGATCTTGGAACCAATAACTCTAAAACTCCCAATTTCACTACCGCACCTACTTCCTGCTACCCTCGGAACAAGATCTGTGGCAATTTTGTTTGTTTAGTCATTCAGTTCCTGCTCCCCCCTCCCGAAGGAGTCCAGTTGGCATTGGAAAAGCAGGTAGGGGTATGATTTAAGAGCAGTTGGCAAGATTTAGGATATGGGCTTGTATAAGACTTCAGAAGCAGTAAAGAACCATCCAGGATTTCTGGCTTCTGCTTGGAGCCTGAGAGAAAACACCTAGTCCTCCTTTCCTCCACTGAAATCACTGCAGCCCAGTTCTATGGTTGGGCCAAGATGGCAACTGTTCCTACAGCCATCAGTCCAAAGGACCAGATGACAAGACCCCTCCCTCTCAGCCTTGCTTATGTGGTCCAAAGGAAAGCAGAAAAATACATTTGGCACCAGCTTGGCTGCAGGAAGGTGTACAAGGCAACATTCAACCATCTTAGGGTCACCACCCAGGATCTGTGTAGGGTGCACTTAGCCTTTTATTCTCTCAAAGATGTCCCGCAAGGCAGCAGATGGCACCTGTCAACCTCCAGAGGTACCCCATCTGCCCCTCACTACTCTCTACAGCACATGTAGAAACCACCTTTCTGACTGTTACACCCACTATTGGTCTCGTCCACTCAATCTGCCAGAGCCTGTCCTAACTCCCCAAGGGTTTGAGAGCCACTGGCTACCCTCATCTGGGCTTGGAAAATAACAGCCTGCCTCATTTGCAGCTAGTGTGGCAGAGTAGTAGGCACAATCGTAAAAGCTCCCTTCCCAACCCCCAGGATGTACAATTTACACATTGGCGTCATTCATGTGTGCAGACTGGTCTCAAGCGCACTTCCTCTGACATTGCATACGTGGTAGGAAGAGTGGCCTGCCCAACTGGTAACACACTGCAAGGGAGGCAAAGTGTAGAAGCATCTAAGGTATCAAGGGGAATCTCTCCCACCCCTGCCCTCCACATTTATTTTTCTTTTCATTTTGGAAATAGGAGGCCTCTGTTTAAAGGAGAGCATGCAATGCACCAAAGCTTGAAAGAAATGCCCTTGGCTTCACCTGATGAAGTCATCAATATCCATGACTCGTGCACGTTTTTCTGCATAACCAGTGTCTTTTAGGATTCCTTGTATGAAACTTCCAATACTGAAATCTTCTGGAATTTCCTGTCAGTACAAAACAGAAAGCAGAGAATTGTGCTTATGTAGCATGTATCAAACAAGTAGCAAGACACTGATGCTTACATGGAACTTGTTTGAGGGAGGTGGAGAATGCTTGAAATGCTTACCAAGTTATTTTGTGAACAGTGAATCCGATAATTCTTTTCCAGCAGCTTTTTCACAGCATTTGAACTGAGAAGAAGAAGAAGAAGAAGAAGAAGAAGAAGAAGAAGAAGAAGAAGAAGAAGAAGGAGGAGGAGGAGGAGGAGGAGGAAGAGGAGAAAGTTAGACATACAGTGGTACCTCGGGTTAAGTACTTAATTCTTTCCGGAGGTCTGTTCTTAACCTGAAACTGTTCTTAACCTGAAGCACCACTTTAGCTAATGGGGCCTCCTGCTGCCACCGCGCCGCCGGAGCACGATTTCTGTTCTCATCCTGAAGCAAAGTTCTTAACCTGAGGTACTATTTCTGGGTTAGCAGGGTCTGTAACCTGAAGCATATGTAACCTGAAGCATATGTAACCTGAAGCATATGTAACCCAAGGTACCACTGTATAGATCTTTCGGGATGAGGATGGGCAAATACAAAATTCCCTTTCCAAATCCATTTTCCTCCAGCTGGAGCCCAAAACATCTGGAGAGCACCAGATCGTCTCCAGCTGTTTTGGACTACAATTCCCATCATCTCTGACCACTGGTCCTGCTAGCTAGATATGATAGGTGTTGTAGTCCAAAAACAGCCGGAGACTCAAATTTGGGAAACTCTGCTCTAGTCTATATATCCATGAGGAGCCCTGAGTGCATTCTAATTTGTCTTGGTGACTTTTGGCTCTCAAGCTCCCTTCTTCCACAATGATTGAGGTGGAAGACAATGCTGAGAAGGTAGGCCCACCACCTTCTCCCTCCACTCCTTGCTCTTAGTTAATGAAAGATGGAGGGGCAGGACAATTCTTAGCAATCGAGTCATCTGGTCTAGTGCTTCCTATTGTCCATGAAACACACACACTTCTTCCAAGGTCCAGAAGAATAACACCCCACCCAGTCTCAGTCCACAATGGTCAGCATGATTAACAATTCAGCCAAGGAGAAACGGTTGACTCTTGCAGGAGGAAAGAGACTGCCTAGAAGCAAACCAAACATTTCCTCCAATATGAGTTAACTTACTTAAAAACTGCAGCGAGTGTCTTGTTTTTCCTGACAAAGACTATCCTTAGTAGACCATCCCATTCCTGAATAAAAATTAAAAACACACTTTGTTTAAGCAACCTTTTCAGAGGAGTTTACAGAGCTCCTGCTACCCACCACGCCTCTCCATTGCCCATTTCATTATGTTTGGGTTCCCATACATCTCTCAAGTACCCCAATCTCGCCTCTTCATTTTCCTTCTTCAATCTGCAAATTAGCTATGTGTCTGCCTGTTTTCAAAATTCTACATCAAGGACGGGGAACCTGTGGCCTATCAGAAGTTGTTGGACTTCAAATCCCCTCAGCACCAGCCAACATGGCCAACCGTCAGGGATGAGGAGCGGTGTAGTCCAAGCAACAGGTTGCCCATCCATTTACCTGCTAGTAGGATATGGCGGTATTCAAAATGTGTTTAAACCCGTGAGAGAAGCCACTATGAAAAGCCCCATTCAGGTTTTACAAATTTCTCCCAAGTCACAAGGAATGTGCTTTCAAATGCAGTATAATCAAGGCATACTTTGACAGGTCTCTACATGGATACTCAATATTTAAAGACTTACATATCACAACAGGTAGAGCAGAGGCTGACGAGGAATCTGGTTTTCAATGTACCACCCTGCTTTAGCCTCAATGGAAACTATGAAGCCTTGGCATCAAAGCTTAGCACCGCTAGAGCTTTACATTCAAGCTAATAAAACCTGCCATTTTACCACAAGAGATGAGCCCTCCTCTTTCCTCTCTAAAGGCTAAGCTTTGTTTTGCCAACACCATTCCAAATCACAAAATAATGCTCCGAAGAGGCTCAGATGCACTCAAAGTTTCCATCCTATCATCTTACTTTCTTATTAGTAACTGATGTTAACAAGGTGTGAAGCAGGGATGGGGAGCCTACGAGCCTATTGAACTCTAACTCCCATGATCCTTGACTACTGGCCAAGTTGGCCAGGGCTGCAGGGAGCTGGAATCCAAAACCATCTGGAGGGTCATAGATGCCCCATCCCTGGTGTAAAACGCTAGGCAACCTTCATAACAATGGTTGCTCAACTGTTGTTTAGATACCATCTTGGGGAGAATATCCAAAACAATACATTGAGGACCTTTACACATTAACTACGAAAGTTGTTTTCATGCATATTATATTATAATCGATGAGTCTCACCTGAAAATTGATTGGCGGTGGAGGGTTCCTTGGCTCTATTCTCACAACACTGGATTCAACTTTGGGTGGTGGTTTAAAATTATTTTTCCCTACCTGTTAATCATTTAAAAGTTAGCTCTCAGGAAAAAAGAAGAAGAATTTTCAACCTCTTAAAAGCTTGCTTGCCCACCCTAGCCTTTGATCCACAAACCCAGTTTTGCTATTGCTTATTTTCCTTACCTTCATCAGATGATCGACACGAGCTAATAGCTGAGTATTAACAGAGAGTCTGCAATATAAGGGAGAGCCTGGCTTTGCAACCAAGCGAAGAGCAAATTCTCTTTGAAACATGAGGACTGCGCACCTGGAAGTTAAAAATGAGTTGCAAGCATTGAGCCATACAGCCTTTAAACAAGGCCAACAATTTAGCAACACTTGTTCATCAATAGCCTACGTACAATTATGACTATTAAGAGGATACAGACAACAGTGAATGTAACAGAAGCTCTAATTAAACCCTGATTTCAAACAATTTCCTTTATTCATTTACTGCCTCCTCGCTATGTTTAAGGCAGCTGATGACAATATAATGGCAACAAACAAATACCTGACATGTCAACGACAATGGAGATTCATTTGACTGGCACGTCAGGTATTTATTAATTGCTTCCATCAGATTTATATCTGTTAATTACTGATATAACTAGAAACTTTGTGTCAATATCTATACCCCCCACCCTGTATTGGAAAAACATGTATCTTTTTCTGTTGATCATTGTTTTTAGTTGTCCCCCCCCCCAATAGTATTGTTTGAGAGAACTGCAATGCATATAAAGATTTGCAGAAGAAATCTAATGAAAACTCAACTTGGGAAATGGGATGGAAGGGCAAAAATAGGACAACCACCTTCAGTCTCCAAATGTCAGACTCCTTGGGGAGATGTAAAGTGACAATGCTTAGCTGTTTCGATTTCAAGAACAAACAGCTATTTGCGCACGATCCACATAGACACCTTGCTTGCATCTTAGACATGCTAATCATAACTCTGAATGTAAAAGATGAAAGTGTTTTTAGCATTCTAGCTTGACAAATTGCTCATCATTTGTTTTCTAGATCAGTTGGTTGCTAATACCAATGCACTGGGTTGAAACCAACAACACATGAGTAGATTCCTTCTTGCTTAATAGGACTTTCCCTTCCTCTTCATTTCCTGTACTCCCAACCAACACCTTTTGAGCAGAGTGGGGTGGGGGAGAGCATGTGGGGTCTGCAGAGAGGAAGGTGAAGTCCTGTTGCTCTGCCCAGTGCTCTGCCCAGTGCAGACACACCATAGGATACAAGTCATTCTCCATAGTTACCGTATTGGCCGGAATATAAGCCTCACTTTTTTTCCAAATTCCTACCGTGAAAAGTTAAAGTGTGGCTTAAATTTGCGACCTTACAGAAATTGGCTTTTATGATATCGCTGCTGAAACAGACATACGGTAAAACAGAACAAAAGAAAATTCTTGCCGATTTGCGCGCTTGAGACTATTCATTGAGTAGTGATTTGTGATTTTAGCGATTGTACAGTAACTTTTGCGGGCTTGCAAGATCAAAGGCTTAAATTGGCTCAGAGTTACAATTCTACCAACCGCAGTGATTTTCAGCCTCTAACCCAATTTTAAGGGAGCGGCTTATATTCGGGTATTGTCTTTTTTCTTTTTCCCTCTTGAATTTTAAAGGTGCAGATTATTTGCAGGTGAGGCTTGTATTCGAGCCAATACTGTAATTATGTGTCAAAGCACCTAAAATCTATTAGATACAATATAGTTGTACCTGAAGAAAGGCCGGTGCAGCAGTAGCTTAAAAACAAAGGGAGAAGAAATCTGAAAACAAAGGAAGAAGTGTTAATTTCCTGGTAGGTTTATTACTGCAAGCCATAAATTATATTGGCCCTTTCCCCAAATCGGTTGGTTTTGCCCTTACTTGATAAGGCAAGTTAGCCACACAAGCATCAAAGAAGGGCAGGTCACTTTTCAACACGTCTCCGATCTTTATTTCAAGTTTGTTAGCCAGAGGCCTGGGACAAAACAAAATTATTCCATTAATACATTTCCAGGACAGGTTCTAGGCGAAAAAGAGTGTCATTCCACTGCTTTTTGCACTTACGTGCCCTGGACTCTCTTCTGAAGTTCACCAGCAAGCTTTACGTCCAATTCACAAGCAATAACCTGAAAAAGAATCATATACAAATGATTGCGTATATGATCCATACACATTGTAGGATTTTGTACCTATGTAGAATCATGATGGAGCGTGAGCCACATAAGAACCAAGTGTTTTATAGAAGCATTTTCATTTCATTTATTTTACCTGATTTCCCCTCTGAAATGAAGCCCAAAGTGGCTAACAGCATCATTCAAAAAACAAATCTACCGATTTCAGCAGATAACAAAACTCTATAAATCTGCCAATGAAAATGTTATAATAAGCCTATAAAGAAAATTTATAACCAAGACAATTTCAGTGAACAATCCAAACAAAATTCAGTAACATATCTGTAAAGAGGGGGATAAAGAAATACAATACAGAGTTTGGACAAAAAGATACACATTTTTTATCACCAATCCAGCAACTAGACCACTAATTTAGTAGAATGAAGCAGAATGGTAGAAGATTCAGAACAGACAAGAGGAAGTTCTTCACACATTGCAGAGTTACAACATTTATACTCTGTGCTTTAGCCAAAAGATTCTCTAAGTGGCTTACAAAAATAAATTCTAAAACCATCGTCACCATCAGGCTCACAAAAATACATGACACATGAGGAAAAACTCAAGCATAGGATCTAAGAGTTCTCTCTATAGTGCAGTTCTCTTCCCAACTCCCCCAGTAGCCAAATGTGAATAAAAAGAGAAGAACATCTTTATTACTTGGAAGTTCTTTACCTTTTTCACTTTTTCTAACATTTTTACTGTCATGTTTCCAGTGCCAGGACCAACTTCTAGAACAACATCAGTAGGGTACAAGGAAGCCTGAAAGTAAATAACATTGGAAAACTACATTAAAAACTGGTTTTAGAAAAGCAGCAAGTACAGTAGTACCACCAGTTATGAACGGGATCCGTTCCGGAGGCCTGGCCACATCCTGAAAACTTTGTAACTGGAGGCGCCCTTCTGCGCACGCGATTGAGCACTTCTGCGCATGCGCACACGGCAAAACCCGGAAGTGTGTTTGCCGCGTTTGCAACCTGAGGTTTATGTATCCAGAGGGATACGTAAGCAGAGGTACGACTGTACTCAACAGAAGTACTAGCTGGGCCAATATCAGATGGCACATTAAAGTAGCTCTGATCCAGTAGTCTGTGGAGGATCAGGACAATGAGAAGGGAAGTCATCATCTTGGCTTCCACCTGGTGTTCAAGAGCCTGGTGCGCAGACCTAGTTGTCACGTCAGCCACAGACCTTCATGCTGATCTGGACTGGCCACAACTACATGCCTGGCTTGTGAGAGGTGACACCTGAAGAATATTGAGGTTCAATGACAACCTCGACCATTCTGGCTTCCCATCCACAGGCTTTCGTGTGATAGGCATGGAGGAAAGAAGTTGAAGGTGTCGGTTGTCTTGGCCTTTTTGTAGGAAGGCCTAGAGCGGGGTCTTCAACCAAACATGTTGAGTAGACAAGCAGCCACCCTTAGAGCAATCCCATCTAAGCCACTCTCCCACCCTTATTAGGTTCTCATCATCTAGCAAGGTGATTTTTGAAGCGGACGGTGCTTTGGAGGACACCACCTGTTCATAAATACCCAACTCGAGACCTACACAGAGTTTTCAGGATCTGACCAAGCCTTCCCCTGAGCCTCTGAATAGTAAGGCTGCAAGCTGTTTCACTTATTATTTGGGGCACAGACACACAAATCATTTAAAGCCATTTTACACTAAATGAGTGGCATTCAACTGAGTTTTATTCAGCGAAGAAGTATTGAAATTAATGAACTTAGTCATATTCATTAATTTCAGTGACTAAGTTCTAAGTAAAACTTAGCTGAATACTGCCAGTGTTGTTAAACTTAAAGGTATACTTCATTATTTTCATACTGATGCTGTCTAATTGTTCTTCTCAATATCGTTCTTCATTTCTCGAAATCAAGCGATAGTGTTTCACAGTGTAGTCATATACATGTCTACTTAGGAGTAAGCTATTGAGGTTTACTCAAAGGTAAGTGGGCATAGGACTGCAGCCTTAGCCATTCACCTTTAAACACTTCTCCTTATACAGCGGTGCCCCGCAAGACGAATGCCTCGCAAGACGAAAAACTCGCTAGACGAAAGGGTTTTTCGTTTTTTGAGCTGCTTCGCAAGACGATTTTCCCTATGGGCTTGCTTCGCAAGACGGAAACGTCTTGCAAGTTTGTTTCCGTTTTCTTAACACCATTAATACAGTTGCGACTTGACTTCGAGGAGCAACTCATAGAACGCGGTGTGGTAGCCTTTTTTGAGGTTTTTAAAGACTTTGGTGATTTTTGAAGCTTTTCCAAAACCTTCCCAACACCGTGCTTCGCAAGACGAAAAAAATCGCAAGACGACAAAACTCGCGGAACAAATTAATTTCGTCTTGCGAGGCACCACTGTATCAAAAATGCTTATTACCTACCTTTTCTATAATGCTGTTAACAATGAGGGGATTTTTCAAAACATGTTGACCGAGTCCAGTGTTGAACCTGATACCTATTAGTAAAGACAAAATAGCAGACAAACAAAAAGAAAAGTTAATCACCGTGCTGTTTACATTTGTTAATGAACTGCAGCGTTTAATAGTCTTCAACTTTATTATAAAGCATAAATCAATCATCCACTACCTCTTCCCATCTATAATTTAAGAGAGCATGAAAGACCAGCTGTTGAATCTTAGAACTGGAATCATAGCGTTGCAAGGAAGCTGTAAGGGTCATCTAGTATGAACCACTGCAATGAAGGAACATACAGGTGGCTAATAAAGCCTGGGACCTTGGCGTTATAAACACCAAGCTCTAAACAACTAAGCTAACTGGTGTTTTGCTCCTGCCTAAGCAGCCAACATGGATCACTTCCTTGCCGTGGCGAAGGGGCTTGAATAACTCAGAGAAGCTATGAACTATGCCGAGCAGGGCACCCAAGATGGACCAGGTCATAGTGGAGAGTTTTGACCAAACGTGATCCACCTGGAGGAGGAACCGGCAAGCCACTCCAGTATCCCTGCCAAGAAAACTCCATGGACAAAGACAACAACAACAAGAAGCCAACAACACAGCTACCCTGCTTGGTACAGGTGGCAATCCAATTTACATGCATTTATATGCCACTTTTCCTCCAGGACGTCATACAAAGTTCTCCTTCTACCCTTTACCTTCACAACAATCCTGCGAGGTAGGTGAGGCTGAGCGATCACGACTGACCCAGTGACACTCGGCGCACTTTGTAGCTGAGCGAGGATTCAAAACAGGGTCCCTTCCTACGCCTAGTCCAACTTTCTAACCACTACCTCACAACTCTGTTTTTATCTAGTACACGTTTTATGCCACCCTTTGATCTGATACAACAAATTTCCGAGGCCGGGCTAGACTGGGAGACGGCGGACCCTGGGCCAGCGTCACCCTGGTGAGTCTGATGGCTCAGCAGGGAACCGAACCCCGGTCCGGCGGCACTCTAACCACTACACCGCACCGCCTGCTCCCTGTGACAAGATCAGGAGCCAGGAAAGAAACCGGGGGAAAGTCAGTTCCTGTCTCCGTCCCTGGAGTCTTTCCTCCTCTCACCTGGCGCTTTTCCTTCTGGGCGCTGCTGCCTCGAGCGCGGCTGCTTCTTTACCTTCGGCATGATCAGTATCGCGGCCAGACCCCCACCAGCCCACGTTGCTTTCCTCGCTGTCGCGGAGAGTTCCGGGGAGGAAGCCGTCACGCGCACTGCCTGCTGGGACAAGTAGTTTTATTTACTCATTGGCTGAACGAGGCCAAGCCTTTCTGGCGACTACATTTCCCGAAAAGCACCGCGATCAAGACTCTCCCATAGAGATAAGGCAAGTGGTAGACCGTGGGAAGTGGGTCGAGAAATTGGTCCTAGGCGCCTTCATGAGACGCCACCTGGTGCTGGAGAATCAGTGGCAGAGCTTTGTGGCACCTCGAAAAACTCAGCATGTTTATTATGGCTGAAAGCTCGGCCCACCTCCTCACTACACGTGGCTGGGGAGGGGACTGTGACGCGCACGTTAGGATCATCACACTTGGTGCAGGAAGTGGACGACAGTAAATGGAAAGTTGTTGGTGATCTTTAAGGTGCCGCAAGACTTCGGGCTGGTTTTGCTGCAGCAGGCGAACAGGTTGCCCGTCTGAACCTCGGGGTGCTGGCCAAAGCTACTAGGGATGATGACACACAGCCTGAAGAACGCCCCATAAAATGCGAGCGCCGTATAGTTCTCTCCCAAAGATATAAAGGGTAAAGAGGGACGCATTCACTTGTCTTAAATTACCGTTTCGAATAGACCTTGTTTGTTTATTAAATTTGTACACCACCCTTCACCCGAAGATCGCAAGGTGGTTTACCAGGTAAAAACCAAAAAAAATACATACTGTAATAAGTCACATTAATAATAACACACACCCCAACCCGGAGTTCAAGAGGCCACAAAGATATGTAACGAAGGCGGCAGGCAAGTCTCCCTGGGGAGGGCATTCAGCACAGGGGGAGCCACTGCAGAAAAGGCCCCTCTCTGGTCCTCTCGTGGAGGAGGCACACGAAGAAAAGCCTCAGGTGACGATCGTAGAGACCAGATCGCTTCCTATCCGGAGAGGCGGCCTTCAGGCGAGTTTTAATTTTAATTTTAATTTTCCTTTCCCCACTTAACGCCCCACGCTCCCCCGAGCAGCTTGCAGGCCTCGGTAACCACGGCGACCCGAGGGAGGGGAGGGGACAGGGAAGTCGAGGGCGGCGGCGAGCGGCGATGACGTCAGTGGGCCGCGCCGCCTCGCCCTGGCACGGTGTGAGAGCCCCGGCTAGTGGCGCGAGCTTCGGAATAAGTGGGATCCGCGTGCGCGAGACCGAGATCGCGGGTAAGGAGCTCAGCCCTGGGCAGGAGGAAGCGGGGCCGCGCGCGCGCGCCACATACCCACAGAGAGCGAGCCTCCCCCGGCCCACCACTCCGGGCAGGTCCACTTGCGTGAGGGGGCGGCGATGGCGACGGCCGGCAGCCTGCCATGCCATCCCTCGAGCAGGCGAGGAGCCCGGGGGCTCCCAGATGCGAGTCCTCTTCCCACCCTGCTCGGGAGTCCGGAGCACCTGTTCGCGTTCCGGATCTGGAGTAGGAAAGGGGGGCTTGTGTCTTGTGTCAGAGCTGGACACACTGGGTTGCCTGTACCGGTCGACCTGTGGGGAGGAATCGGGGTGGGAGTCACGACCGTGAGGCAGGGCTGCCAAGTGTGGCAGAAGAGGACACGGCCGTCGCACCTGTCCTCAGGTAGGAGCTTCTTCCGTGTCGACCTGCTGCCCTAAAGTCGTCTGGTGAATGCTGAGAGCTCCCTTGCACTGTTGGTCCGCAAAAAGGTTCAAAGAGCCTGTTGGATCATGCCAGTCCGGCATCCTATTCTCACAGCGGCCAACTAGATGCCTGTGGGAAACCCGCAAGCAGGACCAGAGCTCACAAGAGCAGCTTCCACCCCCCTCCTGCGATTTCCAGCAATTGCTATTCTGGAATTGATGGTGGAGGCACTCCATGCATTTGTCTATTTTTTTAAAGCCATCCCACGGTCTCCTGTGGGAGAGAGTTCTGCAATGTAACTACAGTGGTACCTCTGGTTACATATGCTTCAGGTTACATACGCTCCAGGTTACAGACCCCGCTAACCCAGAAATAGTGCTTCAGGTTAAGAACCTTGCTTCAGGATAAAAACAGAAATCGGGCTCTGGCAGCGCGGCAGCAGCAGGAAGCCCCATTAGCTAAAGTGGTGTTTCAGGTTAAGAACAGTTTCAGGTTAAGAACGGACCTCCAGAATGAATTAAGTACTTAACCTGAGGTACCACTGTATACACTGCGTGAAGAAGTGCTTTCTGTAATCTGTCCAACGTTCAGCTTCAAGGGATGTCCACAAATTCCCATGTTATGAGAGATAACATCTTTTCTCTATCCACTTCCTCCATGCCATGCATAATTTTATAAACTTCTATGGTGTCACTTCTCATCTTTTCTCTAAAGCATTGTAGCTTTTCCTCATAGGGGAGTTCCATCTTCTAGCTCAGCATTGTCTACGTTGACTGGCAAAGGATCTCCACGGTTTCATGCAGGACCTTTGGGGGGCAAGGGGGAAGCCACAGTTCAGTAGCAGAGCATCTGCTTTGCATGCAGAAGGTCCCAGGTTCAATCCCCAGTGTCTCTCGCCCTGGAGAGCTGTTGCCATTCAGTGTAGGCATTGCTGAGCCAGATGGACCAGTGGCCTGACTGTGTATAAACCAGCTTTTTATGTTCCTGGAGTAAGCAGAGATTGAACCTGGTACCTTCTGCGTGCAAGACTTATGCCCTACCACTGAGCTACGGTCCTTCTCCCAAGAACCTGCAGAGTTCAGTTTCTTGGCAATGAAGGGGAGGGACTGATTTTTTTTGTAGTAGCACCTTCTCTTTGAAATCATGGCCTTTCCAAATTAAGGGGACATGTCCAGTGACAATACTGTTCACTGGGTCACACAGGCTTATGTGCATGGGATTGTTTCTGGAATAGACTGGGCTGCAGAAGAATAACTGTCACTGGGGAAGCAGAGCCTATTGCATTTTCAGTGGGTAGAATTGTTAAACATTTTTCGATACACTTTCTATAAATGATGCTTTTGTGTAGTATTTTTATTACTAGCATTTGCCTTTTATTCATGTGCTCTTTCCTTAAATGCTAAAATACGCATCTCAATGAATTGTTCATTAAACATTAACCAACAAGCAAACACATGTCTTTAAACATTTTATAGGGCCAGTTCTGCTTCAGGAGAGTTCTGTCTGAGTGTAAAGCATTAATGGCATTATAGATGCAATTCAGAATTATTTACAGAACTGGGAATTTGGTCTTTTTAAAAACCTTTTTCTTTTTTGCAATTTAAAAACTGACTAGTTTTTTTGACAACCAAGTATACTACAAGGGCTCCTTCTCCTGTAAGTTCTCTGTTTTCCCATTCAGCTGCTCATTTCTGAAGATTTGCTTTGCCTGAGCACTGAATTGTTATTGTTTTCTGTTATAGTTATATTTCAACTTTATATTGAGGACACACTATGATGGTAAATTTTGTCAGTGCTGCATTTTTCTTTCTCTATGAGCAAGTCCTTATTCACAGTGCAATCCTAATCATGTCTACTCAGAAGTAAGTCCTATTGAAATTAGTGGAGCTTTCTTCCAAGCAACTAGGTGTTAAGACTATACCCCAAATCACTTAAGCTGCAATCCTATCCCCACTTAACTGGGAGTGAGCCTCATTGAACTCTCTGGAACTTACTTTTCAGAAGATATGATGACTCTAACACTAGAGACATGGTGTGCAGAATTGCAATATAATAGCATGATTGAGAACTCAGATATGTACAGTAGTACCTCGCACGACGAATGCCTCGCAAGACGGAAAACTCGCTAGACGAAAGGGTTTTTTGTGTTGCTTCGCAAGACGATTTTCCCTATGGGCTTGCTTCGCAAGACGGAAACGTCTTGCAAGTTTGTTTCCTTTTTCTTAAAACCGTTAATACAGTTGCGACTTGACTTCGAGGAGCAACTCATAGCACGCGGTGTGGTAGCCTTTTTTGAGGTTTTTGAAGACTTTGGTGATTTTTGAAGCTTTTCCAAAACTTTTCCGACACCGTGCTTCGCAAGACGAAAAAAACCGCAAGACGAGAAAACTCGCGGAATGAATTAATTTCGTCTTGCGAGGCACCACTGTATGTGGAAAAGAGTTGTGTTTGAAATTAGCCAGGTGCTAGGCGCATTTTGCACCTGGCTATTGACCACTTGCAATCAAGTGAAGATGCTTGCGTGCCAGGATGATGCCTGACATCTCCACCATCTGGGGATGCATGCATTGGATTATGACTGCTTTCACACACTATTACCATATCCTGTAGAATTCTATCTATTATATTTTAGCTGCACAATCAGAATGAATTTCAGAAACCCAAATGCTTTTTCTGTGCAGCCTGAGCAGGGGTGAGCCAAGGCTTGCACCCGGGGAGGTTACTTTGGTGCTGCTAATGCAAATATTTTACTTCATTCCCTGCCCCCACTCCATTGCCTTGTGTATAAGCTTAACATATTAACACCTCAAGGACAAAGCTTGCTGCTTCTGCCTCAACCCTGAGTCTGTAAGGACAGCAGGGCTCTGCAGGCTGTGTTGTGTAAGTTTACACCTTTCTTTAATAAAGCACTAGAACTGACCATTCTAGCGATTTTGACATCCTTTTGTATCCCTGCACAAGCTCCTCACACAGTCCCTACACAACTGCAGATGTGTGCATAGTCACCTGAGAATACATCTCATTGAACTCAGTAGCACTTGCTTCAACAGTATAGAGGTATAAATAAGAAAGCTTGCATAACTTTTTTGAATAGTTTTCTGTAAATGTTTGCCTTTTGTATACATTGTGAGCCTAGTAGGACAGTTTTGTTTGCTTCCCAGTTTACTTTTAATTATGCTAAAATTGTTTTCCCTTCTAAATTTGACAAAGTTGTATTTTTGCAATCTTGTTAACGAAACATTGAGGTTCTATTATTTCTGTTTATTTGTAATCAGATATTTGGGTCACTGTAATTCACATTTAAAAAGGGGAAGACTTTTGAGAACAAATTTATGTTCTGTGAAAAATAACTAATTACAATTCTCTGTTCAGCAGAATTGCTTTTTTGTGCCCACTGAAACAGATGCCTAAAAAAATGCAAATATGCCTGGAAAATTCCTCCTTCTGTGTGTTAATGCTGAAGTTCTGTAGTCCAGGCTTTCATTGAAACATAGAACATTTGGAGAGCAGATTGGGAGCTGAAAAATTATAAATGGAACTACAGTGGTACCTCGGGTTACATACGCTTCAGGTTACAGACTCCGCTAACCCAGAAATAGTACCTCGGGTTAAGAACTTTGCTTCAGGATGAGAACAGAAATTGTGCTCTGGCAGCGCAGCAGCAGCAGGAGGCCCCATTAGCTAAAGTGGTGCTTCAGGTTAAGAACAGTTTCAGTTTAAGAACAGACCTCCAGAATGAATTAAGTACTTAACCCGAGGTACCACTGTAGTTTCCTTAAGAAAATGTAACAGGGAAAGTATTTGATATTGTGATTGTATAAGTAGGTAAGATTTCTGTTTGATGTTTTTGGAGTTGAGGCAGCTGCTTCTGATTCAGATTTTGCTCTGTGTATTGTGCTTTGGAGGAGAGCATTTTTTAAAAAAAATATTGGTATTTGTAAATGCTTTTCATATTTGTTAGCCACCTTGAACATTTCATGGAATGGCAGAGAAGTGTTAAGTGGTGCAGGATGTTTCAGTGTTTCAGAGGCTTCTTGCTGCGAGGGAAACTTGAATCGTTTGCTTATTTTCTCTTTAATATGTGTGACTCCAGTTCTAAAAAACTGCACGTATTATTTGTCTTTGTGGAATTAAACCAATGCCCCATCTGTACCTTACATTTAAAGCAGTATCATACATGTATCCATGGATTTCAACAAGTCTACAGTAAGCATGTCTAATGTTGGCTTTCACTCTATATTCTCAGTCTTCATATGATATATAGTGGTTCAATTAAATATTGATTTAAAATCTTGGGTTCAGTGAATACTTAAATTTCCAAATACAGTAACAGGTGAAGTTGCCATATAGAAACTCAGATATATAAGCTAGGCAGCAAATAGCTCCTTAAACTAGGGTTAGTCACCAAACAGGAATGCCTAGTTGCCATTTTTGGGCAAGACAACTTGAAAATTGTATTTTTCAGTATGACTTTTTGGTTCCTGAAATTTATTCTGCTTGTGCAGATAAGATATCATGGATAGAATTCTACAGGATGTGTTTCTAGTGTGTGAAAACAGTCAAGATCCAAGGATCCCCAGGCATGCATCTCCAGATGGTGGAGACATCAGGCACTATCCTGGTGAATTTTAAATGCTGCAATATAGAATAGTTAAATAGTGTATATACTTATGCTGATGGGTTTCTCTTGAAATATCTTTGGCAGATTTTCATGGATCTCAATAGTGCCAGTAGCATTGTTCTTCAGGTCTTGACCCAAGCCACCAGTCAAGATACCGTTGTGCTGAAACCGGCCGAGGAACAACTAAAACAGTGGGAGACACAACCAGGGTTCTATTCAGTATTGTTGGTAAGTCTTAAGTCATTATTGCATCCTTCCCCCCCCCCCCCCTTCACTCCTCTGACTTCTTTCTTGGTCAAGATATATATTGCTCACCCCAATGTATAGATATATATATTTAAAGGCAAAGGTGCTGTTTCTTGTAGCAGTTAATCAATTTTCAGCAGAGTTTTAGCATTGGGGAAGGTAGACATTAGGGCTTATGGAAGCTATTTTGTCTTTTTACTAGAACCTCAAGGTCCACCAACTGAGATGCAGAATTTAATTATTTGTTTTTGCAGATTTACAGGATACCTGCAGTCCACTCCTGCTGATTTGGAGCAATTATAAGTAACTATTAAATGCCTGCCATTTGTGGACTGGATAGGAAGTGGGCTGGATAGGAAGGAAGCTTCCTAACTTATTGTAAGGTTTGAGGCTGACACAATCACAGGCAAGAGGGCTCAGTACTTCTCTTTCCTCTACCTCTGCACTCAATGTGACACCATCCCTAATTCCTCATCTTCAAGGCTGGGTATGTTTAACCTGGAAGAGAGGAGATATGATAGCCACCTCCAAATATCTTAAGGGCTGTCACATGGAATAGGGAACAAGCTTATTTTCGCCTGCTCTGGAGGGTAGGACTCGAACTAATGGCTTCAAGTTACAAGAAAGGAGACTCCAACTAAACATATGGGAAACTCTGGCAGTTAGAGCTGTTCGACAGTGAAACAGACTCCCTCGAGAGGTTGTGGACGCTCCTTCCGTGGAGGTTTTTAAGCAGAGGCTGGATGGCCATCTGTCATGAATGCTTTAGCTGAGATTCCTGCAATTCAGAGGGTTGGACTGGATGAGCCTTGGGTGCCTTCCAACTCTTACAATGCCATGATTCCTTGATAAGACTGACATGGGCCTTGAAGCTAAGGAACAAGAGGGTGGGTAGCAGTGCAATCCTGTACATGTTTACACGTGAGTAAGTTCCAGTGTCTTAAGTGGGGCTTACTGCCAGGCAAGTGTGCATAGAATTGTGGCTCAGTACATATTGACATTATTTCTACATATATCTATATACAATGCTTGGGCCTCACTCATTCACTGACAGAGATATCAAAGGGGGGATAATTTTAAGTCTGAAAACAGTATCTTTCTTTTACGCCCCTTGAAATTCAGAATACACCTGCCTCATCTAGGGATCAGCAGTGAGCATGTCCAGCCAGACCTGAAATAGAACGGTGGGCTTCAGAAGTTCAGTCTTCAGCAGATGATTGAAATCGGCATTAATAGCAAGTGGCACAGTGGCTCCACTTGCATGTAAAACTAAAGCATAACTCATGGTTTATTAGACAATGCTGTGTGGGCTAGTGCACAAAGTCTGAGCTTTCCAGCTTCACTCCTCTGTTCTGCAAGTGGGTCCACAGACCATGCAGAGGGTACCTTAGCGTTGCATCAAAACATAGGCTCCTGGCTTGCTTTGCCCTGACACATCGTTATTGCTAAGCCAGTGTCAAGGCCATGGCTTCAATTTGGCTTGCGGCTGCAGTTTGTTTGCCAAAGCAAACTGTGGTCTCAGGTTCAGACATAATGCTGAGTTCAGCTCTTTTGGAAAGGAGGAGGGAAGCAGAAGTATTTGGCTGCTTGCACAGCCTTTGCCTACCTGGTGCCCTCCAGCTGTTTTGGACTACAACTTCCATCAGCCTCAGCTAACACGGGTGTCCTGGCTGGGGCTGATGGGAGTTGTAGTCCAAAACTGCTGGAGGGCACTAGGTTGGCTGATCCTGTCTTAGCATTATGTGCAAACATGACCAGTCTTTCCTGCATATTTAGATACTCCTTGGGTGAAACAAAAACCTACAGTTGCAAAAACTGAAGGTGAGGAAGGAAGCACACTTGCTTTTCTAGTTTACTCTGACCTAAGTCCTTTCCAGCAAATGAGGGAATTTATTTGTTTCCAATTAACAAAGCTGAATTTGCCCTCAGACCTTAAAATTTGAATGTCTTTCTACCTCTTCTAATTAAGAGCAGCTCCAAGGCTACTTATGTTAATTCATTTAATTGAATAAGAATTTAACGTGGCTCACATTTCATAAGATGGAAACAGAGTTTGGACAGATGATTTATTGATGTGATAGCTGATGGCGTGGAATATTAATTTTTAGCAATGTTATATAAAAGACAGAATTTAGAATCATACACCTCACTGCGTGCAGACATAATGATAAACTGCTGGTGCATGCTGCTCTCTTGCGCCTTGAAAATTGGATATAAATAAACTTGACTTTACATTGCATCCAAACCAGGGATTGTGGCTTGTTTCTGCCTAACAATCCCCCATTTACTAGTCATCCTTAAGCCATGTTGCTTTAATGGACTCTGACTTGTTAGTATACTATGATCTTTATTGAGGTGCAATAGGTAGCCAAGTCTTCATGGTTTGTTATTCCCACTCATACCTGGGGAAGAGTGAGAGCAATTGGGCAGCATATACTAATGTGTTGCTTGATTATAGTTAACCATGAAAAGTCAGAAACCCTAGCATATTTTAAGTGTTAACTTGGTCTCTGTGTGCAAGAATCCTAATGTTAGCAATGCTCTCCTTAATTCTGTTAAAATTTCATTAGGCAAATTGATGAAATGGATGGTGGCGATTTCAGCCCAACTCAGTTACTAATTACTGAGTGTTGTGAGCTTCCTTACAAGCCAGGATCTTAACTTCAAACCATGGTTTAAGATCCTGGCTTGTTCAGGAGCAAGTAACCATAGTTTCCCGGTTTGAATGAAACATGAAGCTGTGGTTAATAAGAGACTTCCCATTTTAATGACAACTGTGCTGAAGGGGCTGTGTGAGAAAGAGAGCTTAATATGCCAAGGTACTGTAGCCTGAAGCAAGCCTCTGAATTTGTTTAACAAAGCTTGCTCATTTTGCTGAATAATGTCTATGTTCTCTCCTTTTGATGTGCAGACTAATGGTCTTTTGATAATTCTGCCTTCTGATTTGGAAAGTGCTGGATATTGGGCCTATTTTTGCCACATTTGATAGGAATTTATTTGTGGTTGCTTGTATGAGAACTGGGGGATGTTTCCATCCTTCTCATGTGTGATTATATAGTGGATGGATGCATAGGCTGCATCTACACTGCTGTGTCTTCAAAAGCCAGCAGGCAGTTAGTGCTTCACTGCAGAGCTTACAGCCTGGGAAAATTCCACTTCACACTGAGATGCTTGTAGTTGATCTAGTTTTTGGAATTAGTCCAGTGTTGTGTCCATTAAAACATGATGGCCGGGAGAGAACATAAACCAGCTTGTTGATGATGCTGAGTGAGGAAGGGAATGAAAGTGTTGGCCTTATTGCTTTGGCCACATCCAGTATGAATTGGTTTCCATTATAGAGTCCCCCCAGCCCTTTTAAATGCCACTGCAGTAGATTGGATATTAATTACAGTAGGCATCTGTAATATGAGTGAGGAATGAGGCAGAGACTGGGGCTCTCCATTGTTTTCCCCAGCCTATGCCATGTTCTCAGATATTCTCTTCCCAGAGGTATTGAGTGGCATACAGCAACTTAAATTAAAAAAAAAAAAATACAATGCTTAAACTCTGCATATTCTTCTGCTGGGGGTCAGGCTAAAATGTAAAAGCAGATTATGTATTTCCTGGTCAAAGATGATGACTAAATTCACATTACATCCAATATTGCTTGTGTTAAAACCTTATTTTCTATCAACACAGTTTAGTATAATATGGAGGCTTCCAACCATTATGCCATTCTCCAGTGCTAAAATGATGTGTACTATAGAGAGAGAGAGCTATGTTTAACTCTATACTTCTCTTCCAGAATATCTTCACAAATCACACCTTGGATGTAAATGTGAGGTGGTTAGCTGTGCTTTACTTCAAAAATGGAATTGACCGCTATTGGAGACGTGTGGCACCACAGTAAGGAACACATTACTGTGCTCTTATTTTGCTATATATATTCTTTTAAAAGTTGCAGTTATGAGAAACGTTTGTGGTTCAGACCAGATTGAAGACTTTATAACAGGGGTTGGCAACCTAAGGCCCATAGGCCAGTGGCAGCCCATGGGGCTTGTCTATCCAGCCCATGGTGACCCCTGCAGCCCTCTGCCACCCGCTCTTACCGGCGCGGTGTGGTGCAGGGACCGACTTCCGGGTTGATGGCGCCTGTGCGCATGTGCATGGGTGCTCCTCTGACCTGGATGTGAGCCAGAAATAGCATGTGTGCACGCATGCGGGACGGAGAAGCGCCCGTGCACATGTGCGCACGCTATTTCTGGTGCACATCTGGGTCAGAGGAGCTCCAGAAATAGTGTGTGCGCACGGGCGCTCCTCCGACCCAGAAGAGTGCATGTGTGCACACGCTCCGGCCCATCCTCCGACGGACGGAACGTGGGCCGGCCCATCGTTTGGTAAGCTTGCCAACCCCTGCTTTATATCCTATCCTGTATATCCCTTTATGCAGTTTACCAAGGGAGAGATTCCTCTATTCACTTCAGAATTCTCTAGCTCTTTCTGTTCTGAACCAGTGTTAAGACTTGTGTGGAGATCAATGGCTAACAATAATTAGGGCTTGCTTTTACAAAGGGTTTGGACACCAACTTCAAACCCAAGTTAACAATAAGCTCTGGTTACGACTGTACTGATGCAAGCCTGTGCCATGTTTAATACAGGGCTAGGGGCAGGGGGAAATTGCTGCAGAGACATTAGGCAAATGCCATCACTATATTCTTTTAGACATTAATTGAAAACTTTTCTGTTTTGGCAATCCTATGATTTAATTGATTATATATTTTTTTAAAGTTTAATTGATTTTTATCTGTGTTTTTAATGATTATGTATCTTTGCTTTAAATTTCTTTGTGGATTTTAACCATTTTTCCCCTGCGATTGTATTTGTATGCTGTTTGGAGAATTCTTTGATGAAGTAGTTTTTACATTTTATTAATAAATGAAAATTAGCTTCTCCTGTTTGTTTTTTACATCCTTGTTTTCATCCGTTCCTATAACTTTAGGTTGGTATCTTTCATAGGACTAAATATTTAATGCAACTTTATGCACTTTTAACTTAATTTGTGACATGTATATGGGGGAAATATGTTGGTAGAAGAATTCTGACATTTTCTGAAGGTAGTTATAGAACTTGGTGCAAATATATTTTATTACTACATAGAATTTATTTCTCTTATTTCATGGGTTTAGATAGCTTCACAAATGTTATCTAAGTAATCAGATTTTTTTTAGTGGTGGAGGAAAATGGCTAAATTATAAACCTGTTTGTGTGACACTCCTGTGTGGGGAATAAATATCACTTCTACATTCCTGCAGATGTCAGTATTGCATCACATGAGCAGCTTCCCAAAGGCTTTTTAGTTTTTGTTTCTTTCATTTTCAATATCCACACAAACCCTTATGCTTAAAGTGCTATAGGAAATATTGCACCTGGTTATACCTGTAAGGTGAATGTATCCTTTTCCATTTTCTGTTGTGTTATGCATTTTCACAGATGGAAAAATATTCCGCTTGCCTAAAAAGTGACAAATCTCTTAATTCCCCATGGACTTCCACAAATGTATTTATACACGGCACAGAAACATTTCTTAATGCTAACATTTAAATATGACCCCTAATGCTAGTTAAATTCCTAAAATACTTTGATAGTTTTTGAAAGCTTGGTTTCTTAGCTACGATCCTGAGAAAAATAAGGGGGGAGCCACATAGAGTGGAAGTTTCTTTCTCAATAGCAGCTACACCTTATTCCACGTTGCCATCTGATTTTAAAATTCATCTGAGTCTTTTGTGCGAAAGTTTGCAGACATAGCCCAGGAAAGAAAAAGAGACTGGCCTCTTGAATAATTAAGCTTTTTATCAACTTCATTATGTTACAGATTACTGATAAAATGTAAAACTTTTCAACTGTCCCTTCAGTTAATCAAACAATCATATTATTTGTATGCGGCCTTTCCAAAGTTAAAAGCAGGCTCAAGGTGGCTTACAACATATAAACAATAACAGTGGTACCTCGGTTTTCGAATGTAATCCGTTCCGGAAGACTGTTCGAGTTCCGAAACGTTCGAAAACTGAAACTCAATAGCCGACAGCTAGGCTTCAGGATCTCGCACACAGCGGAAGCCGCGTTTCCTGTTCGACTTCAGAGACGTGTTTGAAAACCAAAGCATTTACTTCCGGATTTACAGCATTGAGAGTTCCGAAACGTTTGTCAACGGAGACATTCAAAAACCGAGGTACCACTGTAGATAACTACAAACATAACATAGTCATAACCAAAACTTCAAAAATACACAACCAAAGTAATAATAATAATAATAATAATAATAATTTATTTTTTATACCCCACCCATCTGGCTGGGTTTCCCCAGCCACTCTGGGCAGCTTCCAACAAAACACTAAAATGCAATAACCTATTAAACATTAAAAGCTTCCCTAAACAAGACTGCCTTTAGATGTCTTCTAAAAGTTTGGTAGTTGTTGTTTTTTTTGACATCTGGTGAGAGGGCGTTCCACAGGGCGGGTGCCACTACTGAGAAGGCCCTCTGCCTGGTTCCCTGTAACTTGGCTTCTCGCAGCGAGGAAACCGCCAGAAGGCCCTCGGTGCTGGACCTCAGTGAACAATTTCTACATCAATAATAAGATCCAAAATAAAGATACAGCTTTTATTCTCACTTGCTGACCTATATGAGCATAGCAAGCGAAACCTGTGCATTCCTCCTTGGGTATCGTACAGTTGGATCTGAAGGTATCTTCCACTTCTGGAAGGACTGTTTTACTCTTGCTGCTATTCCAGGGGAAAAGTGGAACTACACCCAACTAATATTCTTCAGCTTGAGCAGGAAACATGTAAGAACTGCAGTGGAACCTCTTGCGTCAACACTTATGCAAGCTCTTGTACAAGTCTGTAGAATAGTGCTAATAGCTATTTTCTTTCAGCACATGGTTCTTTGGATCCAATCTGTAGACTTTAGGTTTGTCTCAAACATTACTGGAAAATATGTGTCATTCTTCCAGTATTCTTGCTAAGCAGAAGAAACTCTCAAAACGTTTAGATAGTAAGAAATGAGAAGTTGCATCTATTATGTGTATTTATTTCTTTAAAAACAGTGCTCTTTCAGAAGAGGAGAAATCTACATTACGTGCAGGGCTTATTGCCAATTTCAATGAGCCAATAAATCAGGTTAGTGATTATTATAAAAAAAAATCATATTAACACTCTAAGGCTGTATCTTGTAATTTTAAAGTTTAACATTAGAATTAAGTGGTTTTGGGATGATTATTATTTTTATAAAAGAAGCCTATTAAATGAAGAAATAATTCCTGCTAAATCTCAGAGAGATGATATTATTAATGGTGGTAAATTAGCATAGCCAGCAAGTGTATCCATTGTGCATGTAGAAGACAAGTCAGAGATTTGTAAGGTTAATCATTTTTACTCTTCGTTTTCTGTTCCTAATTTTCAATAGAATTGTTGGCAGAACAAAACCTTAGCATCTAAGTGACTTATTTTGCAGGATGATGGCCTACTTTTATCAGATTTATCACCTGATCTGAGAAAGTGGCAGCTGTCAGGTGTTAGGTGCATTTCTAGACAATTGAATGTGGGGCAGCACAGCCTTATCTGTGGGGTGAGATGGGCAGGATGATAAAGTGTTCAAGCTGGAGATAGTTGAGTGTGAAGTTTGTTGGAGCAAAGATAGGCAAGAAAAGACTCTTGCAGAAAAGGCAACCAAAATTATTAAGGGGGTGGGGCAGTTCCCTCATGAGGAAAGGTTACAAAATTTGGAGCTTTTCAGTTTTGAGAAAAGTCATGTAAGAGGCAACGTAACAAAAGTGTATACAATTATTCATGGTATAGAGAAAGTCGGTAGAGATAAGTTCTTATAATGCTACAACTCATGGACATCACCTGAAGCTGAGTGTTTGAGGTTTGTCTATGTAGATAAATTGTGGAATTTGCTCCCACAAGAGTAGTGATTGCCAGCAGTTTAGATGGCTTTCAAAGATTAGACAAATTCATGGAGGATAAGATTACCAGTGGCTACTAGCCCTGAAGGCTATGTTCTACCTCCACAGTCAGAGGCAATATGCCTCTGAATATCATTTTTTGGGGGAATCACAGGTCAGGAGAGTCCTGTTGTGCTCAGGTGCTTCTGACAGGCTTCCCATAGGCGCTTGGTTGACCACTGTGAAAACAGGATACTGGACTCAATAGACTTTCCAGATGAGGAAGGAAAAAATCCTATGAGCTGGGGAGACCCAAAAGACCCCATGAGGACTGAGCATGCTCAGTGGCCATAGAATACTGACTGACTTCTGGTGCAGTGGAAATAGGAAACTGGATCAGAGCAGGAAAGGAATGACTGATTGGAACATTCCTTGTTCTTAAATCTTAAATTTTGAATTGAGTTAATTTATCAGCTTTGCAAAATGTTGGCTGAAATTTCATCAGATGTGTGAGGCTATTTAAAATGGAAACCAGTCACTTTAACCAGGACTGACTCCCTTTTGGATTGTGGCCATATGCGCCTGCTGTCTTAACTGCGTTTCCTTTGGTTGCCTTTGCAGATTGCCACTCAGATTTCTGTGTTGATTGCCAAAGTCGCGAGGCTGGATTGCCCTAGGCAGTGGCCGGAACTCATTCCCACTCTTGTCGAATCTGTTAAAATTCAAGATGATCTTCGACAGCACAGAGCTCTACTTACCTTCTACCACGTCACAAAGACTTTGGCATCTAAACGGCTTGCTGCAGATAGAAAACTTTTCTATGATGTAAGTATCCCTTCCAATAATACAGTCTTTGAGTCAGATTAGTTTCTCCTATCAGGCATGCTATTTCATTTCTTCTGATCCCCACATTTTAGAAGAGAGTAATATGACAGCAGCATGCAACTGGGAACACAGGAAGCTGCTGCCCAAGGGAACTCCAGTTTGAAAGTATTTCTTTTTAACCTTTGTTGTAGTTGATGACAGCCTGCTGGCAAAATGTGTCATTTTGATCAAGCGCTCCTTTACAGCGCAATATCAGACAACTCAGTCAATTTAATGTAATGTTTCCCAGTCTCCTGACCACGATGAAACGATCCAACCTCCTCCTCTGCTGTTGAATCCCCCTACTTCCACTGTCATTATCTAGTGGTTAAAGCAACGGCCTAGACCCTCGTAGACCAGGGTTCAAATCTCCACTCATCCATGAAGCTCTCTGGGTGATCTTGGGCCAGTCATTGTCTCTCAACTTTACCTACCACACAGGATTGTGAGGATAAAATGGGTTGAGATATACTGTATTTTTCACTCTATAGAACGCACCGGACCATAGGAGGGGGAGAACAGGGGGAAAAATTCTCCCCCTCTCTGCTCGGCGCCCCTTCAGCGAAGCAACAAGAGAAACGGAGCCCCTTCCATTTCTCCTCCCACTTCGCTGAAGGGGCGCTGCGCAGAGAGGGAAAACTGTGCAGCACCTCTCCAGCGAAGCGAAGCCTGGAGAGCATGAGGGATCGGTGTGCACCGACCCCTCTTGCTCTCCAGGCTGCAGGCGGCTATCCGCAAGCCTTCGGAGCACAAGGGGAACTCCTGCTGCGTTCTGAAGGCTTGCGGATAGCTGCCTGAAGCCCCCAGAGCGCAGCGGGAGTTCCCCCTGCGCTCCGGGGGCTTCAGGCGACTTCAGCGAAAGCAACGCGAAGCCTCCGGAGCGCGGGGGGAGCTCTCCCTCTGGGCTTCGGAGGCTTCGCGCTGCTATCGCTGAAGCCAAGGAGCCTGCATTCGTCCCATAGGACGCACACACATTTCCCCTTAATTTTTGGAGGGGGAAAAGTGCGTCCTATAGAGCGAAAAATACGGTAAATGTAACAAAGAAATAAAATTGTGTCTGCACCTTGGTTAACATAAACCAGCAGCTAGCTATAAACCGTCATTTGAAACCAGCTTCAAACTATCGTTTTCTGTTCCACTGTAAGTTTTTCCCCTCACTGCAGACGTAATGCCACGGTTGCTGTTGAAGTGGAATTGGGAGGAGACGGCGCACAAAACCCTCAGTGCACTTTACAATTGCTGCTAAGAGAAATGGGAAGGCTTGCATTATTTTCAGGGTCAGGGTGAATGTATTTGGATTTTATTTGTTTCGTATGTAAAGGATGCACCCTTTTCTTTCTAATACACCTGGTGTTTCTTAACTAGGAAAGCAGCCTAAAATATTTTAAATGAATAGCTAAATAAATCATCTTCAGATCTTGAACTTCATACACACCATACATTTAAAGAACATTCTCTCGCCTCAAGAATCCTGGGAACCAGTTTGTTAAGGGTGTTGGAAATTTGTAGCTCTGTAAGGGGATAAACTACAGTTTACAGGATTTCTGACAGGGTGTGTGTGTTTTAAATGTGTGGTGTGTATTCAACCAAAGAACACATCTTACTTTGCAGGCAGTCCTCAGTCATGGTTTAGATTCAGATGCAGCATAACTAAGGAAAACAAGCCAGGTTTAGGTATTATTCTTACACACATTATACCAGTAAAGGTGATCTTTTCTATTTAATAGAAACTGCGACGTGGTTCTGAATTAAGCATTAATAGTTATGATATTGTATGCGAGCTTATGTTCCTGTTCTGTTATTTGGGGACTAAAACAAGCCTTTTCTCTGGCTTTATATTTCTTTAACCGTACTTTTTCGAAATGATAAACCCCATGTAAGAAGCTTAATTTTGATGAGCCCAACACAAAGGTTTACAGTGGGAATACATAATATTTTTTTAAGGGCAGTGATATTGAACAGTCTGGAGCACAATGTACAGGACAGCAGATGGGATTTCCTCCCATGAGAGGGTGTGTGTAGAATCTTTGATATGTAGAAAGCATGCTGATATTCCTGCAGAATAAAAAGAAAACCAATCTATTTTCTGGAAAAGCAATTGCATTTTAAGACAAATTGGGTTATGTCTGAAACAAAAGTACTTGCACAACATTTTTTTAATTTACAGCCATCTGTCTCCATCTTGCAGTGTTCTGAGATAATTTAAATAACTTTGGGTGGGGGGAAGTTTAATTAATTTGAATTTTGCTTAGCTGTGTTTCTGTCATTATCATAGTTTTAACACAGTGCTTATACCCGGAATATTTTTTCAGCTTGTTTAAGGACTAGCTTGTACTTTGTCATGTACATTTTGCTAATCACTACAGCTGTTTTCATAGTACAGCATATAGGCTCACCTTCAGAAATGTATATGTTAACGTCTGAGTTCTGTGTGTGTCATTGTGTACATGACTGAAATCTTAATGACAAAGGCCCAATTCAGATAATCATTTTCTAAACCATAGCTTAGATGATTGAGAACCACGTGTTCACCTTTCCTCCTTCATATGTGACAGGACAGAGCAAGCCACAACTTCGTGTCACAAACCATGGTTAGCCTTGCACTTCCATACTCCTCATCCCCACCCCTTCGCAGGTTAGACAGCTGAGCTTTTACTTTTAGAAGCCACGGTTTTGTGCCACATGTGAACTCAAGGAACTGTGGATTGTTCTGATCAAGTACAGTTACAACAAAACAGGATATCAAGTTTGATCCTGGTACTGTTTTAACTGATTATGTTTAGAACAAACCTCAACTCCCTGAATTCATGTCCCTGAACTCCCTGTCTTCCACTGCCTCCCGCAGTTTGGTCAAACTCATGCTGGTAGCTTCAAGAACATTGTCCAACCATCTCGTCCTCTGTCGTCCCCTTCTCCTTGTGCCCTCCATCTTTCCCAACATCAGGGACTTTTCCAGGGAGTCTTCTCTTCTCATGAGGTGGCCAAAGTATTGGAGCCTCAGCTTCAGGATCTGTCCTTCCAGTGAGCACTCAGGGCTGATTTCCTTAAGAATGGATAGGTTTGATCTTCTTGCAGTCCATGGGACTCTCAAGAGTTCATATGTGATGCAAAATTGTGGTTTGCTTTAAAACTGCAATTGGAACCTTTCACTCTCCTACCTGCAGAGGAGTGGGGAAGGGGGAGTGTTAAAGGCCAAGGCTCACCATGGTTCATTGCTGATCATCAAAACCACATGGTTTATGATGATCTGAACTGGGACAAAGTCTGCCAGTGAGTTTAGTAAAATGTCAAACTCAGTAGAAGTATTCACATACACTGATGTTTGTCTCAATTCTGTTGAAAAGAAAACATTTTCTCTCTCAATGTGAGACTGGATGTGGCTCGATTTTATTTGCTGTGTGCATAGGAATATGCATAATTTTCTTTGGCTTGTTTCAGACTAAGAACAAACTGACGTGTTCCATATTTATGTAAAAGCTCCAAATGTTCAACCATTGTTAAGTGATTGGAATTGATTCTCGTCACAACCATGTTTCACATTTCACTTTTGGGATCTGGTTAGTTTCAACAGTGTTTAAGATAGGTTGTTCCCTTAAAGGCATAGAGGAGACTTTAGTGAGAAGAAAGGAGCACATGATCAGAACTGTTTTATTTTTTAAAATATTTATTTATTTCCGATATTTATAAACTGCTTTTCACCACAGATGATTTTCCATCACCGTAAAAAATACACTATTAAGAACAGTTTCAGTTAAAACAGTCATGAGTGAAGCTGTATTCCAAAAAACACTTATTAATAAATAAACCCCTTTGAGCTCACTGAGACTTATTGTACTTTGCATTGTGCTGCTGTGTCCTAATAAATCCATTGGAACAAGTTAGTCATGACTACCTTAAACGCCATTACTTTCCGTGGGATTTAGGCATGATTAATATAGTTGGATTGGTTCACTGTGTTCTATTAACAAGAACTATTTTGACTAGTAATTTATTTATTTTTTACATTGCAGTTAGCTTCTGGAATTTACAGCTTTACCTGTTCCCTGTGGAATCACCATACAGATACATTCCTTCAACAGATTTGTACTAAAGATGAAACTGCTATGAGCAACTCGCTAGAAAGAACTCTTTTATCACTGAAAGGTAATTAACAAAATGTGTCAGATCAGTATGAATGTGCACAGTAAGGTGGGCTTTCAAATTTTTTACTAATGGAGTAAGACATTCTGTGTCTTCAGAGAGTTGCATTTGCATAGGGATCATAAGAGATTTTATTTTATTGGTGTCATTCACTGGTTGCTGAGGGCTATGCAAAATTCTTTCCAGCACTTGGTGCTTTTCTAGACTGGTCTCGGAATACAGATTTATGTTAATTTTGAAAGCCCAGGATTCCTAAGAGCATTTTGTATGTCTCTCCTACAGGGCCAGGTAAAATTGAGCCATTCATATTTATACTGGTAGGATGTTCCATCCAAACACTCTTTGTTCCAAACTGCACATTCATTATATTCTTGGCACTCTTTGTTTCAACTTGCATACATGTTTTGTCTTGAGCCGCAGCTTATCATAAAAATATTGAAAGAGCATATTGGATTCCTGCTTTAAGACATGAGAGTGTGGGTAAAAAAATCGCATTCACTCTTGAAACAGCAACCAAAATATTCTGTGACCCTTTGGAACTGATTTTGTTAGATTTTCTTCCTTTATCTGCTGCTGGTTTTGCTCATTAGTGGAATACTAACAATGTCGTGATAGAGTGAGAAGCCAAATGTTTAAAACTTCCAGTTTATTTGTTTATTATTTTTTAAAGAAATGTTTGATATTTTAAGAAATGGGAACATTTTGCCGCAGGGGTTGTTCACTGTGTTGGCTATTAGACCATGAGTGGCTTTCATGGGAGTAGTAATATTTTATGGGGCAGTAATATTACTATTACTTCATTTTTCAGTGCTTCGTAAATTGACTGTTCATGGGTTTGTGGAACCTCATCGGAACGTAGAGGTGATGGTAAGCAAGGCGGATCCTTTATTTTTATAAGTATATTGGGCCTCGCTCCTTCTTTCCCATTATGATTAAAATTTCATCTTCAAACTGTGACAGTGTTAATACTACAATGGATGTCTAGAAAAGATTTGTCTGGCAAGACGTTAGGAGTTGATGCTTGTACGGGTGCCCTTTGGACACCTGGCCATGCAGGTTTAGAATCAGCGTAGCATATTGTGAAAGGGACGCGGGTGGCGCTGTGGTCTAAACCACTGAGCCTCTTGGGCTTGCCGATCAGAAGATTGGCAGTTCGAATCCCCGTGACGGGGTGAGCTCCCGTTGCTCGGTCCCTGCTCCTGCCAACCTAGCAGTTTGAAAGCACGTCAAAGTGCAAGTAGATAAATAGGTACCGCTCCAGCGGGAAGGTAAACAGTGTTTCCGTACGCTGCTCTGGTTCATCAGAAGCGGCTTAGTCATGACCCGGAATCTGTACGCTGGCTTCCTCGGCCAATAAAGCAAGATGAGCGCTGCAACCCCAGAATCAGCCACGACTGGACCTAATGGTCAGGGGTCCTCTACCTTTACCTAGCATATTGTAGTATATTGCGGCATCTCCACCCCCATCATTCAGCCTGGACACTGAGCTCCGAGGCCCTTCTGGCGGTTGCCTCCCTGCAAGAAGTGAGGCTACAGGGAACCAGGCAGAGGGCCTTTTTGGTAGTGGCCCCCGCCCTGTGGAATGCCCTCCCATCCGATGTCAAGGAAATAAACAACTATCTGACTTTTAGAAGACATCTGAAGGCAGCCCTGTTTAGGGAAGCTTTTAATGTTTGATGTTTTGTTGTGTTTTTAATAAAGTGACCAGGGAAACCCAGCCAGATGGGTGGGGTATAAATTTTACTTACTTACTTATTTATTGAATTTGACTTGACTTGATTTGATTTTTCTGAAAGCTTTTAACGTAGTGACAACAGGTACAAAAGGAATGTGAAGTATGCTGCTGTATAGTAGCCTTGTTAAAAATGTATATATGTTGGGGAGAGGTCCCCCAGTACCTATTATGTTGATTAAATACTTTTTAGAGCAAATAATAATGTTGTGCAAAGAAGCATGATTGCTTATAGGTTGACATGTGGAATTCTGTACCCTTTTGTACTTTAAAATGTTGCTTTTACATCTTCTAGGGATTTCTCCATGCAGTATTTGAGCGGTTGAAACAATTTTTGGAGTGTAGTAAGTATTTGAAGTATTGTCCCGCCTTATGGATTATATTTTACACCTTAAGATAAATAGTGCCATCTGAGGTAGCAGGGAAAAAAATGTGTCATGCAGTGCAATACTTTGCTTGCTGGAAGTGTGTTCTGCTGTATCCAAAGAGACATGCTCCTTAGTCAGTTTAAGGTTGCAGTTTTAGGCTGCAATTCTATGCATGCTTACTTGGGAGTAAATCCCATTGAATTCAGAGGATCTTGCTTCTGAGAAGATCTGTTTAGTTTCTGTTGCCAAACGACAAATGCTTCTTAACCAAAGGAATTAATATTAGCAACATTTAACAGCAAAAAAAGAAGCCATTTAAGCAAGATGTTCACAAGAATGCATGTATGGGTTTTGAAATTTAAAGTGGAAACTTCCTGGCTCAGTCTCTTCACTATGTGGAATATCCGAATTCCTATCCATTAATTACATTATGTTTCTCTTGAGTGTGTTTTGTTCATCACATCACAGCTTCTATGTACCTAAAATGTGCATTTTGCTCAATTGGAGTATTGTTGGCACCAACTTTACTTTACAAAATATGGCAGTTTTCAGTTACACTTAAAAGGAAGCTTATGCTGCAATAAATCTGTTAGTCTTTAAGGTGTCACAAGACTTTTTTTCTTCTTTTGCATGTTTACTACAACAAACAAGCATGTCTTCTCCTTTGGCTGTCAATAATAATTGAATTTTTTTGCTGTTGTTTACCAGGTAAAAGTATAGAAGCAGATCATGTCTGCAGAGATCGCCTAGAAAAGACTATAATTCTTTTTACTAAAGTGGTAAGTTTCACTAAAGTGGTAAATTTCACTAGATTATTTTCAGCCAAATAATCTTAGCGAATTAGCTTCATGTGGTCAGTTTTAATACTGTCTTTTTTTTAAAAATGGATCAGTTCAGCAGAATAAATTAGTCACAATGAAGGGGAAGGGCCTGGGACGGAGGCAGACACAGAACATCCAACTCATCATTCTAAAGAACTGACTATATCAGCAAGCTGTTTTCAATTGCTTTTCTTTTTATTTGGTTTTTGTAATACACTTTCTTATTCACTGATCTCTTATTATTAACCAATTGTGTTTTTTGTTTGTATTTCTCTTATGATAATCCTGTTACTGTCCCCCTTGCTTTTTAGCTTTTAGACTTCTTGGACCAGCATCCTTTTTCATTCACCCCTCTAATTCAGAGATCATTGGAATTTGCTGTCAGCTATGTTTTCACAGAGGCTGGCAAAGGAGTTGTGTTTGAGCGATTTATTGTCCAGTGCATGAATCTGATTAAGATGATAGTCAAAAATTATGCTTACAAGCCATCCAAAAATGTGGAAGGTAATTTGGCTCTTTTCATTTTTGAAATGTTATATAAGTCTTGATAGTGATTTATTCCTTTTTGGACATAGGTGAATGAATTATCGATTTATTTCATGTGAACTATTTTACTGCAGATAGCAGCCCTGAAACTCTTGAAGCTCATAAGATAAAGGTGTCGTTCTTCACATACCCAACATTAACAGAGATATGCAGGCGGTTGGTCACTCAGTATTTCCTGCTAACTGAGGAAGAGCTAACAATGTGGGAAGAGGACCCAGAAGGCTTTAGTAAGAAGCTGTTCTTTATTTCAGCCTAATTTTAGTTTAAGGTACAATGCGTACTTTCCATTATTATCTAGGAATAATGTTGATGTTAGCAGCATGTGTAATGTTGTATGATTGTTAACTAATTCCAGAAACCCTTTTATGTACAAAGTTATACATTCTTATTTAACCAACATATGTTATTTAAAAACAATATGTACTTGATTGTGTAAAATTTATTTTTATGTTGCAGCTGTGGAAGAGACAGGTGGAGATTCTTGGAAATATAGTATCAGGGTAAGCATACTGCTTAAAATTCACGCCGAGATCTTACTACTTTGAATATGGACATTAAACTTGACATTTTGGGATGCAATCCATATTTTAGACGTTACTGTATGTACATCGTCCTGACAGGACCCTCTGGCACGCTACCAAAGAGCTCTAAATCCAGACAGACTTCAGGCTGTGCTACTGTTTCCTACATTGTTTTCTTCCTGGCTGGAAGCTTTCACACTTGCTCTGACCATTTGCTCCGGTGCTAAACCTCCCACCCAGGAAGAGAGCAGAGTGGCGATAATTGTGCAGTCTTTGAACTCTGCAGTTTTCAAGTCCCAAGTATTCCTGGAGGAAAGGATAGAAAGCGTGATCAGCACAGCGGAGCTCTTCTGTGGGTTCATGCTCTCTGTGAAATTGGTATGTCATGCTGATATAGATGCAAGTAATAACACCCTTGTTTATTACCGGATAGAAACCCTTTCTGAAATCTTTCATCAGAGTCGCCTGTGGCATAAAGCAAAGCAGATAGTTTGTGGCTAGGTGCAGATCTACTTGGTGGCCTTGGTCAGGGGCTTTGGCATGTGTGTGTGTACACACACACACACACACACACACACACACAGGCTTCCCCAAGTTCCTCTCCTAATAGCAGAGATTCTGCATGTTTTCAAGCATTTATTTTCACACTTGTTATGAGTCCTGTGGATACGTCATGGAGGGGATGGTTAGATCCAGAGGAGAAATGGGAGGAGCTCTTGGAGTTGGAGCTGGAAGGGTCCTAGCAGGATGCGGGAAGTGAAATCAGGATCCCAAGAAGTATCAGAGCCCAGGGGGGAGACCAGTAGTCTAGGGAGTGGAGATTTGGATCTAGGGGAGGGACCAGGCAGGTTGGCAGAAGAGTGTGACATTCGACGCCCCAGTTTAATACCTCCTGCTGTAGAGCTGCCTCCTGTCAGAGAGGAGTCTTCTTCTGGGGGAGGCCACTGAGTAAATTGGATGCTGAGCTGGCGCCAGTATTGCCTCCATTTGCAAGCGCATGAAGATGCCAGCGCCGGTGCAAACAAACCTCACAGACCCAAACCCTTAAAGGGACTGTCCACTTGCTTGCCAAGTCCTAGGATAGTAGACCAATATGAAGTAAGCAGCACATAAGCGGCACACAAAACACTACCAAACCATTCTACGTTCTAAGCACCCTGTCTAACTCTTGTGCGTAACATCACCGACACTTCGTTTGATCAAACTTACCTTTGTTGATATCTACAGGAGCCTGGCTAAAGGAACTTTAAAGACTGAATCTTCCTTTTGGACACAATTTGAATGAGTTTTCTGTTTGTGGCTAAAACCGTGTTCTCTCAATTTTTGGATTATTAATAAAAGATTTAGAACATAGAATGGTTTGGTAGTGTTTTGTGTGCCGCTTATGTGCTGCTTACTTCATACTGGTCTACTACGAGAATTGGCAGCATAGGTTCATTTTTTCAAGTCCTAGGATAGTGGCTGCTTGCTATTTTAAGAGCTGTGCCTGCCCTGCTTGTCAAAAAAGAAGGTGCAGGGAGCATGTTGCTTGTTGGATCAACGTCTTAGCTTGTGCTTAGCAAATAGTCCAGGCATGTCCAAAGTCTGTTTCGGTGGCCTAATCCGGCTAGCCAGTCAATTTAATCTGGCCCCCTTGGCAGTATATGTCCTGGGGTAAAATCCTTAAAAAAGCTCAGCAACTTCAATCCTTAAAAAAGCTCAAAAACTTTGGTCAGCCCTCATGCAAGTTCACTTCATCAAATCTGGCCCACTTTGAAAAAAGTTTGGGCACCCCTGAAATAGTCTATACCTCTTAAGTAACTGCTGCATCTAGTGCTAGTGATGGGTGAAATATTACGACATAATGATTGAAAGCTTAAGCCCTAGACAGCTATGATCATGGTTTCGTTTCAAGCGAATTCTGTACTCATTATTTTTGGTCAGTTGTGTCTATTTGGGGCTCAGTTGTATTAATTTACTTTGTAAATACTCAGTTCATACCTTTAAGAACAATTTCCCAATGTTTATAATTCCAGGATGTGTTTCACTTTTGCTGTCATGTCATATTTAGCTATTTCCTCAATAGTGCCCTTTTAAAATGAATTTGCTTAGCGTATTTTTGCCCTAAATAATAAACAGTTCTTTTCCTCCCCAGCCATGCACAGAAGTGCTCTTCATTGATATTTTTCACGAATACAATCAGACTCTCACTCCAGTTCTGCTAGAAATGGTTCATACTCTACAAGGTACCTTTTTTTTTAAAAAAAAAAGAGTTTTGTTTAAAATTATATATTGTGCGGAACGTTGAGCAGCACTTAACATTTTCATTGTAAAATAGTAGTCCTTCTAATTCTTTTTGTATCGTTTGTAGTCAAGCATGCGTGCACAAGGATGAAACTCTGAAACAGGCATAGGCAAACTCAGCCCTCCAGATGTTTTGGGACTACAACTCCCATCATCCCTAGCTAACAGGACCAGTGGTCAGGGATGAAGGGAGTTGTAGTCCCAAAACATCTGGAAGGCCGAGTTTGCCTATGCCTGCTCTAGAAGACTTTCCAAATCAGCTTAGTGAACTCAGTTTCTCTTGAGACTACCCAGGCAAACCCTACCCCGGCTGCGCTCCCCACTTGCCTGTACATTCAAACGTCCTTCTTCATGGGGAGGAGCTCCACACATGTATACTGGTGTGTAAATAGAACTCTCTGTTGGATGTAGTTGGAGCACGCAGACATGGGGGAGTGTAGAAGGGGAGACTTTGCTAATGTGGTCCTGCGACCTCTTTACAGTCTTTCAATACACGGAAGCAGGGCTTTAATTTCACTGCGTGCTGAATATTATAGTTGCTCTATACCTTCGCCTTATCTCACAATAAAATCAAAAAATTAACCCCCCAGTCCTGTTCTTACTCAAATCCTATTTGCGTTCTAACATTTTTACACTGTGTTTTAAAGTATTCGACATCAATACAATGTAATAAATTATATTGTTAGGAGAATCTCCGAAATACTTGTCCCTCATAGATTCTCTCTTCCCACTTTAAGGGGAAGAGTAAAAATCTTAATGCATCAGAAACCCTGCTTTTGCAATAAACAGTACATATTATTTATTTAAATACATTTTGCTGCATTATGGATTTACTTGCTTCTTAATTATTTATTTTCAGGTCCTACTAACATGGATGATACCCAAGCTCTGCTGATTAAAGATGCTGGTAAATTCCGGGGTTTTTTCGCATTTTAAATGGAGAGACTGGCAGTTGCTTGTTTTTTTAATCTGTTCTAATAACTGACAGCATTAGAATGTTCCAAGATTTTGAAAGCCAGTACTGGAATAATCAACTGAAGTTGGGAGGGCTGCAACAGCTTTGGAATACAGCTTTTGAGGTGTAGTTTTTGTGGAACTACTGTTCTTTTAATAAAGCTGCACTCCTATATCATCTTAACTGGGGAAGCCTCATTGCATATGGGAAGTGGGCAACGGCAGGAATGAGAGAAAGGTGAAGACCCATTGCAGAAGTCTGTTCTGACTGCGCACAGATATTGTTGCATTTGCATACATCTCTCTCTCTCTCTCTCTCTCTCTCTCTCTCTCTCTCTCCACACCCTTGCACCTGAGTTTCATTTCTTGTTGAATTGATGTATTTAAAAGACATCATTCAATTAAGTAGATTTGTTTTGCAAAAGAGGCTACAGTATTTTGTTTCATTTCCCCCCCTTCAGTGTACAATGCAGTTGGACTGGCAGCATATGAGCTATTTGACAGTGTGGATTTCGATCAGTGGTTCAGAAACCAGCTGCTAGCGGAATTGCAAATCACTCATAACAGGTACAAGCCCCTTTCTGTTGGCTGTCAATATGAATTCAGCAAGCTTTGGTATGAAGTCTTAACTCTTCCGTTACGCTTTGCAGTTCTTCACTTTCACATTGGTATTTGCAGTAGATTTCTCTGCTTTCAAAAAAGCAATAAATATGTAGTATCTTTTATTGATGCATCAGCTTTTGATCTGGGCAGCATGCCTGTTTTGAATTGCATAGAATTCTCCAATGGCTTTTCCTTCTTGTTCTAGATCTGGGTCCTGACACAGCTGTTGGCCCAGCCAGCTGCCTTGACTGCTTTGACTTCTCTCAGTTCTTTGTCCATGTTGTGTGGTTTGCTACGTGCAGGTCTTATGGGGCTTGAAATCAAGTAAATCGCCCTGTAGCACCATGTACCTTGGCAGCACTCTATAAGTAACAACTTCACTTGGGTTGCAATAATGCAAAGTATCTTAAGATTTACTGTATCATAATCCCCGTATTGTCAAGGCGTAGTGTTGAATATTCTTTGAATAGCTAACCGTGCATCATAATATAAAATTAAAATCTAAAAACTTGATGACCGGTCTTTATGAAACTAAGGTGTTAGTTCAAGGGCATTTATTTTTAAAAATGTAAAAGTTCTATCCTTGACACTAATGAATATTAAGAATTGTGAGGATTGTAGTGCCAAAATATCTTCCTAGAGACAGCAGAATCTGTTCCTCCAACAGATTTCACTCATGGAATGTTTTCAGCATTAATATTCTATGATTTAAATAAGCAAATTTACCTGTTTGAAATTATTGTGGAGACATTGTGTATTTTCTCCCATAGAAATAGACCTTTGGAATGTTTATTCTGCAGTATTCTGCAGGGGCTGAGGTGGAGCCCTGAGCAGTCTGATGTTGATTATAAAAACAAACACGTGTTCACACTTTGTTGGTAGAAATTACAGTATTGAAAAGCATTTTTTGTATTGACCTTTAAACAATTTAATGCAATACAGTCTTAAAAGCCCTATCTTCACATAATAATTTTTGTTATGTTTGAAGGTATAAACCAATCCGTCGGCGAGTGATCTGGCTAATTGGACAATGGATTTCTGTGAAATTCAAGTCTGACTTGAGACCAATGCTGTATGAAGCAATTTGTAATTTGCTTCAAGACCAAGACTTAGTGGTACGTATAGATCAATCTCTTTGACAAATACTCTGTACTGTATTTATTTTTCGTGTAACTGGCCTTTCTCTTCTACCTTGCAAATAGTATGTGCTTTTGTTCATGCTCTTGTGTTAGGAAGGTCTCTCAAGCTTTAGTTCTGTATAGGCTTACCTGACAGTAAGTCCCATTAATCTCACTTCTGAGTACATGCATAGCCCGAGCTGTTTGTGAAGTTTTATTATCTTTGATCATCTCTATGCCCCTGAAAGCTGTGGAAAAGTGAACTATAGTTTTGTATGGAAACTTTTCTAGACCGCTCAAGTCCTTACAGAGGACTAGTTGAATTTGTGAGAATGATCCGCCATTGTATATATTTGCAGAACATGTATGCATTAGATCATAGCTCATGCTGTATATTGGAGAAATTTTCCTACTTTGCCAGCAGGCCAGTATCTACCATCTGAGGAATCAGTCCATTGAGTCACATTTGTAGAGCTGCTTTAAATGTCCAGACCAAATCCAGTAAGCAGGCCTTGAGTTGCAATGATCAGTCATTTTCAATGGCCATCAAGTGAGAGTCTTGGATGGGCAAGAACAACCTGGATGAAAGCCTGATTGCTGTCTAGTGCAATATATCTGCTTGTTTGATGGGTGGCCATTGGGATTGATATCTTGTACAGTTCTGTCAGTTGATTTCATTTGTCTTCTGGTGTTTTTGCAGTGCACGTTTAGTAGAATAGATGGAGTGATTGCTGATCGTCTTTAGGTGATTGAGAGGGAGATATTGGAGTGATTGGATGGATGGTGGGATATTGTGTAATGGTGGATGTCTATGAGGTGTGGGAGAAAAGTAGGATGAGTAGTGGTACTGAATGATTTGTGTTTCTGTAGTAGTCAGATTGGTTCAGAATCTATCCACACCAGATCTGGGTGTTAGTAAGTGGTGCTGCATATTGTGAGTCAGGATGTGCCTTGGCAAGAGGGAGGGTGAAGTGGGAACGGATATTTGACTCTTAGTAGATGTTTTCAAGAAGTATTGCTACGTTTTGCTTCGGGGGGATTTTTATTGTTTTATTTGTTACTGCAGTTTTCCAGTTCAGTCATTTGTTATATCTATAGCTATTAGGGGACGCAGCTGGCGCTGTGAGTTAAACCACAGAGCCTAGGACTTGCCGATCAGAAGGTCAGCGATTCGAATCCCCGCGACGGGGTGAGCTCCCGTTGCTCGGTCCCTGCTCCTGCCAACCTAGCAGTTCGAAAGTGCAAGTAGATAAATAGGTACTGCTCCAGCGGGAAGGTAAAGGGTGTTTCCGTGCGCTGCTCTGGTTCGCCAGAAGCGGCTTAGTCATGCTGGCCACATGACCCAGAAGCTGTACGCCGGCTCCCTTGGCCAATAAAGCGAGATGAGCGCCGCAACCCCAGAGTCGGTCACGACTGGACCTAATAGTCAGGGGTCCCTTTACCTTTTGCCTTTATTGTGTATGTTATTTTTGTAAACTGCTTAAAGATTGTATTGGTATTAAATGGTGTATCAATATGTGAAACATAAATAAATGTGGGACAAAGAGTCGCCTTCCAATTTTGCAGCTCGGTAAAGAAAATATTTTTGTTCTTCTCATGGTTGAATTGCATAGGGTGAGAAATAGTGCACCATCAATAGACCTGCCAGTACCCAATGTCTATCTCTCATACAATAAGCACTTAAATATCAAACTATAAATAAAAAAAAAATATAATAAATTTTCAGTACTTGAAAACACAAGTACATCACATTTGATATATGGATTGGGCCCTCAAATTTCCGGACTGAGCTGATTAGTTTTACAAGAATAACTACACTGTTCACATTCATGCAAGCAAAGCTGATTAATGAGCCTTTGATACTTGACTACATCTACATAGTTTTGCTGTGATCATAAACTTCAGTTTCTTTATATTTTGATTGTGTAATATTTGACCCACCCTTCTGTCATTGAATATATATTTGCTCTGTATATCTTTAACTTGAACAAAGTATATCCATCTCAAAATCAGTTCCGATTGTGTTCCGTTATGAAATAAAAGATATAAAGTTTGGCTATAATTCCATTTACAGCAGCTGAATTGGTAGTTCTGACTGGCAGCTTGTTCAAATAGCAGGAAGAATAGCCTTGTAGAAGGATAAAATTTTAATAAGAAAGATAAGGCATACAGTAAGGCATATCAGTCTGAAGCAAAGCCATATCGCACTGAAATATTTCCACCCCAGACTTGTTACACAATATTAATTTTCTCTTTCTTCTCAACCAGAATATCTTCAGTAGCAAACAAAATAATCAACAACCTTCAAATACACTTCCCCCTGTGTCCTCAAGTTTGACAATTGAGTACCATTTTGAATTGTCAAATCTGAAACAAAGGTTGTTTGATCATCACATCAATACGCTCATTTTGAAAAGGTGAAAAACACTTGGTGAAATGTTTAAGGAGAAAATGGTCTCTCAAGTTCTTAAATATAAGACTCTCAATTAGTTGAATTTGTTATTCTGTGTCTATGTCGTGGGGCAGGGATCAGCCAATAGAAATGAAAGATATAGTTTGTTGGACTGTGTATCAACTTTGTGAATATTTTGTGAAAACGTTTTATAAACAAATCTAACTGACCAACATGATTTGTTCTTGTTTAATTATTTTCTTTCAGGTCCGTATTGAGACAGCTACAACTCTGAAACTAAATATCCTTTCCCTTATTTAAAGTATTCCATTGTTAACTGAATCGCTGAAATTGCTTTGGTTTAATGTTGCTCGTTTCAAAATATTAACTGCACAAAGATTTTGGTTTTCCTTAACTGCATTTTACCTGTGGATGACTTCGAGTTTAGGACTGATCAGTTTCTACCAGTAAGTGCATGTGACCCGCCCCCCTCCCTGTACCCCAGTTGTGTACTAAATTCAAAAGCAAGTAAAACCACTTAATTGAAATGCAATCACTTACTTTGGTGTGGTTAGAATTCAGTAGTGTTTCTTAAGAAGTGAAAATTGAAATTCCATTAGAATGTTGCGTGAAGAAGTAGGGGTAGAAATTGGGTGTTGTATCAAATGTTGTATGTGCAAGTTTTACTTGCACAGCACAGCCTTCCCTTCATCTCTTTCTGAAACCCCACCCCCAAATCTGCTTTAGAGAGTCTTCCAATCCTCTGGAGCAGATTTTGAAGGGGTGCTGGGGAAAGGAGGAGCAAAGTTGTCTCTTGTGCAAGTAGAATGGCACCATTGGACACATCCCTGGATAATAGAAATCATTTGTAGAATCTCTAAAATACAGTGCTACCTCGGGTTACATATGCTTCAGGTTACAGACTCCGCTAACCCAGAAATAATGCTTCAGGTTAAGAACTTTGCTTCAGGATGAGAACAGAAATCGTGCTCTGGCGGCGCGGCAGCAGCAGGAAGGCCCATTAGCTAAAGTGGTGCTTCAGGTTAAGAACAGTTTCAGGTTAAGTACGGACCTCCGGAACGAATTAAGTACTTAACCTGAGGTACCACTGTACTTAACCCGAGGTACCACTGTACACTCCTATTCTGTATATGATTAGCATCTTGCAGACCACACTGACATTGCATGGTGGGATTACTATAGTGTATTCTTAGCAAGGTAGTTATTTGGGCTGTTTATAAGTCTCAGCCTCACCTTCTTAAGCCCTTTCCTGAAATGCTGGACCTACATTTTGCTGCTTTACAACAGGAAGTCATTTTGTAGTGTGGCATAGCTGCTGGTGTTGTGCCGTTAGTGAAGTCTGGAGTAATTCATTGGGCAAATTGAATAGACTGAGAAGAAGGGGCCTATGGAATGGGATGAACAGAGAATGTACAGTGTGAGGGAAGAAATGGCAGAGAGAAAGTAATATGTTGAGGAAAGGAAAGACTGAGAAGAAAGGTGAGGCCTGGGGGCAATATGGTGTAAGTAGTGGGGGATAAGTCAGGATTTGTAGCTTTGGATTTGTAGCTCCCAGAATGAGTTTGGTCTATGGGAACAGAGAAGAGGGATTTAATGTGGCACAGGCCAGTATTTCCCATGTTGAACTGACACTAGCCAGATATTTTGTGGCTGGTCCCTAGAGGAATTGAATTAACGATTAAGAACTGTATCAGTGTCCTTACTAACTCAGACCCATGTTGTCTTTCTTTTGCAGTATCTGGAATCTATGTTTACCCTGCTCTTTCAGCTTCTTCAAGAAGTTAGAGAATGTGACACAAAGATGCAAGTTCTTCATGTTCTGTCTTGTGTAATTGAAAGAGTCAACATGCAAGTAAGTAGATACCTCAGAGTGTGGAAAAACTGTTGCACATCTAAATTCATAGGAACACAAGACTTTGAAACCATTAAATATTGGCCTATTTCTGCGTTTGCAGTTCCAACACTATCCCAACCCCCCTTTAAGCATTTGAACTGTTTGAACCAAATCCCTTTAGACATGTTGAATGTGTGGGGAAACCTTGATAGTGTCCGGCCACTCAAAGTTCTGTAACAAACCCGCCAGACATTGGAATGTTTTCTCAGGCATTCTTTGTGTGTCCCGATCCTGAACAAGCAAGTCAAAGTTGTTATCTTTAGTAATTTATCACTTAATTTACATGGGTTGTGAACGCATTGATGTTGATTTCCATACAGTTGTAGCACTCCTTATTGGGGGGTGGGGGTGGTGACGACAACCCAAAGCAACTAACAGTAACTGGGGGAAAAGAAAGTAAAATTCTAATTCATTCGTCCCTATGAAACCTTTTTTTTTCCTGAGGCTGTTCCTACAAAATCTTACATGGAGAGTTGTAATCTATGAGAACTTAAGATCTAACTATTAAAATTGTACCACTTTATTTTAACCACAGATAAGACCTTACGTAGGATGCTTAGTTCAGTATTTACCTCTCCTTTGGAAACAAAGTGAAGAGCACAATATGTTGAGGTGTGCTATCCTTACTACCTTAATACATCTTGTCCAGGTAAAATATCTGATGTTTTTTCTTCTTTCCCCTCTCTGCTCATTAGCTTGTGTTGTACCTTGTTAAAACTTTAGAGAGAACAAGTGGGAACCCACATCAAAACGTTGCAGTGTACCTTGAACCCCTAAGAAGTGTGCATTCCTCCAATGCTAATCCTCCTTCCAAAATATTTATTATAAGCTTTTAGGACCTTGAGCAGGCCGGCTTTGTCTCTCTCTCTCTGTCTCTGCCCCACTGCCCCTGCTTTCAGTTGCCTAACGTTTCACAGCTCAACTGCCTTCATCCATAAGTTTATACAAGATAATACTCTGGAATAGCTGCTACTCCTCTCCGTACTAATTATTTTCTTGGGTTAGTATTGGCAGTCAGCACAAAATCAACACAGAATGAGTTGAAAGACCCGTTCTTTAAACACGCTGGCAACACTTGCACAAGGTCGTGTCCTTTTACTGTCAATTAATGTATCTGGAGTTTAGTTTGGACAGAGCTTGCATAGAGTCAATAATATACTTTAACTATTAAGGTTATTACCGGGATTTGATGTGGGTCATTTCTCAGGACTTAGCCTTGGAATCTGTTTTCTGCACCGGTTATGAGTCCCTGGGATGTGTAACGCATCATAAGGAGGAGTCTGTCTGTAGAACTTTTACCTGAGTAGCAGTAGCCTGTCCACAAATGCAGGATTAAAATTTAGGGCTGCTTAGTGTAGATTGGCAGCTCTTGTCATATAAATCAAGCTCTTAGTGACTTCTAAGTGAAAGCCTGTTTTAGCTTAATTTTTTCTAATCTTCATTGGTGAGTATTATGAGGAAGTGTTCTTGGAGAGAGAAAAAACATGCCAGCCACATTGTGATAATTTTTTGTTCTTTAAGAGTCCATTTTCCTAGCAATGAGCCCTCCTGCCCAATCTTTCTCTCCAGTCTTCTGAACTGGAACAAGAAGGCATTGGAGTGTTTACTGGTACATGTTTTGCTCCCGTTGCTTCCTGGGAGTTTGATGTAGAACCATAGTGTGGAGACAGGAGAGTGGCATTTCAACAAAAGAAAGTTGTTCAAGCTGAGAAAGCTGCCCCTTGTCATATCTAGTCTGTGAACCAGAGAATACAGTATTGTATCTAATCTTGTTTCTCTGAGGTTCGTATCCCACTCAGCCAAGCCTTATCCAAAAAACTGACTGTTCTAATTACTTCAAAGTAGAGTCACTTGCCAGCTTTTTATAGTAGTTAGTTACTTATATCACTCTTTTCCTGAAAGCCTTTTCAAAAATTTCAATAATCTGCTATCGCTCCTGTTTGTAGCAGCAAGTACTCAGGTGTTCTGATCAATGTGTTATTATTTCTTCAGGGCTTAGGAGCAGATAGCAAGAATCTTTATCCTTTCCTGCTCCCGGTTATTCAGCTAAGCACTGATGTTTCCCAGCCCCCTCATGTGTATCTTCTAGAAGACGGACTAGAATTGTGGTAAGCATTTTGTGCCACTCCCTTCAGAAAACCAGAGCAATTTTATATTTGAATTTGGGTAAGGAATGTGACTGGGGTATGTTGAAGGATCTGAATGCATGGGGAAGGGGTGGTGAGCCTCTGGCCCAGGGGCCTCCTTATCTGGCCCTCAGGATTCGCTCTGCCCTGTGTCATTCAGTGCTTCAGTCTAGCTGGAATACTGTGATAATCTTTGTGAGGTGTGTGTGTGTGGCTTTTGTCTGGTTTTATATTCTGATTTTATCCTGTGCACTACCTTGAGGCCTGTGGGTGTATAAATTCTAACAACAACAACAACAACAACAATGATGTAGCCTGCCCTATGAAAATAAGAAAATAATTGTTTTGGCCAGGCCCACCATGGACAGATGCCCCCAGACAGAAATGTGGCCCTCAAGGTAGAAAAGATTCCCCACTCCTGATGTAGGGTATTATATTAGTAAGTCACTGGGGCAGCTACCATATTTTTTGCTCTATAAGACTCACTTTTTCCCTCCTAAAAAGTAAGGGGAAATGTGTGTGCGTCTTATGTAGCGAATGCAGGCTGCGCAGCTATCCCAGAAGCCAGAACAGCAAGAGGGATTGCTGCTTTCACTGCGCAGTGATCCGTCTTGCTGTTCTGGCTTCTGAGATTCAGAATATTTTTTTTCTTGTTTTCCTCCTCCAAAAACTAGGTGTGTCTTGTGGTCTTATAGAGCGAAAAATACAGTGCATTTTTTTTTAAAGGGGAAAAAAACTCCAGCATCTTTTAACCCCCTTTCCTGCATTCTGATCCAACAGTTTCTTTCCAGTTTTACTGCTGAATTTAAATTATTAGTATTGTTTTATTATTATGTTTTGTACACGACCATTATACTTTTGACTGTTGAGCATTTTATACATGGTTTTAAATAAATAAATTTATTTGTAGTCTAGATATCCAAGCATGCTTTTAAATATTAATTTTAAATAATATGTGTGACAGATTTGGAAACAGCTGACCTTGAGAGTTGACCAGAGTGGAAAGCTTCACTTTTAATAGTTACCATTGACTCTAGGAGCTACAGTATCATCACATAATGAAGACCTTTGTATGTAGTTTGACTGATAAAGGAGTTTAAAAACATAATAATGTTCATTGAGTTCTAGGGTATACAAACATAGAAAAGCTACAATACCTATTGCAGGTCTTTCATATTTCAGAATACAAAACATAAAATAAGATCTAAAGAAACATATTAATGGAAACAATGATAAATGAGTTTTGTTTTTTTTCCTCCCTTCCCTAGGCTAGTAACATTAGAGAATAGCCCTTGCCTTACCCCAGAGTTGCTGCGAATTTTTCAGAACATGTCTGCTCTTCTTGGTGAGTTATCAATATTTAAATCTAATATGAACTGCATGGACACCATTTACATTCAAAACTTATCTAGCAGTATTTCATGTGCCATGTTATTTACTATTTGTACTTGTTCATGTAAGCAGATGAACAAGTACATCGCTTCCAAGGAAGAGCCTAGTGATAAGATCTAACAATTTAAAAAAACAAACCCTGAATCATATCTTGTACACAATTTGCCATCTGTATATTTAATGCATATTCTTCTGCATCCGTAAAAGCCGCAATCCAGGGACAGTTAAGAAGCTGAAATTCCACTGGGATTTACCCAGTTTAAGTGTGCATATCATTGTAGAGTCCTTATTTGTATCTACTATATTTATAGCAATGTGTCGACTGCATCCTGTTTTCTTTTTAACACTCACTATTTTGTAGTATTTTCATTAACCAAGTAAAACCTTTATGGTTCATGTTTTGGAGAACCTTTTAATAAAAGTAGGTATTTCTTAGCTCTTATGAAAACGTATACCATTACACAGTTCTGTGACACTGCAAGCCTTTCTTCTTTGCTGTTTCCTGTCCCTGTCTCTGCACATATAACTCAGAGTGTTTTCTTTCTAGAGGCCCCTGCATATCAGTCTGGAGGGCATACATAGAGGCTTTGCCTCAGCTTGGAACCTCTTTTTCCCAGAAGTCTGCCAAAGCTCAGACTTAAGTATTTTTTATGGGAGACACCATAATCTTTTCAGTTCTCTAAAGGTCTTAGTCCAGACATAGGCAAACTCCAGCCCTCCGGATGTTTGGGACTACAATTCCCATTATCCCTAGCTGACAGGACCAGTGTTCAGGGATGATGGGAATTGTAGTCCCAAACATCTGGAGGGCCGGAGTTTGCCTATGCCTGTCTTAGTCCAACCCTGGGTGCATTTTATTTTTCGATCGGTTTTGAATTTGGCTCTCAAATTTCCACTATTAACAAATTGCCAGAATAATGATGACATGTAAAAAAATTTATCTCTAACATTGTTAGCACTTGTTTTCATAGAGTAACTATGGCTGCATTTAGACCAACTTCTGTTCTGATGTGAGGATTTCTCCCTTTTCTTGCTGTTTTTTGCACTTGGACAGCCACTGATCTAGGGGGTTCTTCCTCTGGGCAAGAGGGCAAAAGCAGGTGCAAATTACCTTTGGAGGTGATTGATTTACAGCTTCATCTGCTGCGTTTCCTCCAGGGCAGCACATTTCACAGCAGCATGTGATGCAGTGTAATGTGGGTCAAGGGAGGAAGGAGTTGTGAGAGTTTATCAGACATTTTCCCCATACTTTGAAGCCAGTCTTTTCATACACAAGTGATTGAAACATTTTTTTTAAATTTAAACTAGGGGAAGAGTTGAAAAGTGCCCATTAAACCTCCACTGTTTCCCTTTATCTCTGATGCACATAGATAATATGTGCTGATGCTTCTGTAGCTAAAGCAACAACATTCTCATACAAGAGGGAGGCACCGGCAGGCTCCAGAAAACCCCAGGTTTTAGAGAAGTACCTTAGGGAGGAAAGGATCGAGCATGCTCAGTTATCCTGCAGTGCTTCCTGGTGTTGGGAAGGGGGAAAACAGATGGCCAGAATGGAACGGAGTTTCGTGGAGGAGGACGTGGCTGGCTGAATAGAAAAGAGAATAGGATTTCTCCACACTGCAGCATTTCGCACCAGGTCCCCACTTTGGAAAATAACAACAACAACTTATTATTATTATTTATACCCCGCCCATCTGGCTGGGTTTCCCCAGCCACTCTGGGCAGCTTCCAACAAAGATTAAAAATGCATTAAAACATCCGTCATTAAAAACTTCCCTAAACAGGGCTGCCTTCAGATGTCTTCTAAACGTCAGATAGTTGTTTATCTCTTTGACATCTGATGGCAGAATGTTCCACGGAGTGGGCGACACTACCGAGAAGGCCCTCTAGATGGGCACACACAGTCATGACAATAACTCGTGGAAATGTACTCACCATAATCTATCATAGTGACAGTTTGAGTTGACAGTACAACCTTAAATAGATCCATGTAGATAATGTGGCCTCCAGCCTGAAAATAGACAGGAACTATAGTTCAGTAGTAGAGCAATATACATGGATAAAATCCCAGGTTCAGTCCTTGGCATCTCCAGGTCAGGCGGCAGGTAATAGGAAAGGCCTCTGCTCTACCCAGTGTGGTGTAGTGGTTCAAAGCGGTGGACTCGTAATCTGGTGAACCGGGTTTGATTCCCCGCTCCTCCACATGCAGCTGCTGGGTGACCTTGGGCCAGTCACACTTCTCTGAAGTCTCTCAGCCCCGCTCACCTCACAGAGTGTTTGTTGTTGTGGGGGAGGAAGGGAAAGGAGAATGTTAGCCACTTTGAGACTCCTTCGGGTAGTGATAAAGCGGGATATCAAATCCAAACTCTTCTTCTTCTACTCTTCTTCTAAGACCCTAGAGAGCTGCTGCTGACCAGAGGAGATGGTCCTGGGATAGATGGGCAAATTGTCCGATCTTGCATAAAACAATTTGCTAGTCCTCTAAATTATTTCTAGAATTCTCTTTGGCTGCATTGCAAAGTCCTTCTGCAGCATAACTTTTTAGAAAGCTTTTAGTGCCATCCGGTTGGGTTGGTCTAGGAAAAGAGCTCTGATTTAAGCAAGCGTTCTGTTTTCCAGAGATCCAAATGAGATGTTCACAATTAGGTCTGCGAATTAACTCAGTTATCCAAACCTACTTGGCCTGCTTTGTATAAGCAAGTTAATTGGGTCACTTGGATCAGTAGTTTGGAAAACCACCAGCGAGTAGCTGAGTTCAGCAGTTGAGTCTGGCACAATGTGGTTCTTTCACTAGAATTAATAGTTTGCTGCTGCTGCTCACCAGCAAACTCTCCCTCAAGAGCAGTTGTACAGTTTTATGTGTGCTTTCCAGCGGTAGCTGATGAAAGGAGGAAAATGCTCTTTACACATTGCAGTTACAAACCAGACTTGAGAAAGTAGCAGTTATCATGAGATACTTTTCACATGAACATTAACAAGAAAGTTTTTTTATTCATCCTGCTGAGCTGTGGCTGTAATCGTAATGTAACAGCCTTTCTGTTACATTAGTCCAAGGTACCAATTAAATTGTGAGATTTATGCACTTATTTCTAGGGCACCTGTCAGGGAACTGCCATCGGACGGAAGGGAGGTGAAAGGGCTCACACAGGTTGGGAGAGACGCAGCAGCTGAAGAGGGAACCAACAGGGAGGTGAAAGGGCTCACACAGGTTGGGAGAGACGCAGCAGCTGAAGAGGGAACCAACAGGGAGGTGAAAGGGCTCACACAGGTTGGGAGAGACGCAGCAGCTGAAGAGGGAACCAGCAGGGGGAGAGGAGCTGAGCTGGAGGGATGGCTCAGGGACACTTCCAGCGAAAACAGTGGGGAGGTTTCAGAACCTCCTGTAAGAACACCCACTCCTCGCCGGAAACTGTCACGCAGAGATTCCAGAAGACGTGTTTCCGTTAAGGAGCTTTTATGTTGGAAGCGATTACGAAAGCAACCACTGTCGGAATCTGCTAGTGACTAGAGTAGCCATGTCTGAGGGCTCCGTCACAGACAGAGGTTTGTGGACTTGAACAAACTCTGAGGGGATACGATTTTACGCACAAGCAGCTAATCATCCCATCACAGCATTCCGACAGTCTTTGAAAGCAGCTTGTGCAGGAGAAGGCATCATGAGCAACCCAGCCGGAACCGGAGAAGCAGGAGCTGGAGCGGGTCCAAGCCTGGAAGAAAGGTACCAGATGTTGGAGGTCCAGCTAGCGATGCAGACGGCGAGGCTTGAGGAGAGGAGGGCTCAGGATGCAGACAAAAGGGGAAAGCCACCCAGTTCGCCAGAAAGGTACCAGGATTGGTGCAGAAGTTTGGGGGGGAGCCCAAAAACTATCATGGTTTTCGGACAGAAATGCAATATGCACTCAATCTGCAGTTTGATGAATTCCCTGACGAGGAATCACGAGTGGCTTTCGTGATTGAGCATCTTGAAAAGGGGGCGAGAGACTGGGTTAGACCCCTGATGGCAGCGAATAATGATGTCTTAAAGGACACGATGAAGTTCTTTCGCGCCATGGATCTGATGTTTTCCAGCGATATTGAAAAGGGAGTGGTGCGCAGACAGTTAATGGGTTGCAAACAGGGGAGCCAATCTGTCCGTGAGTACTGGACTGAGTTCACCATGCTGGTTCACAGATTGGGGTGGGACTTATCGGCGGAACCCATTCAAATGCTCTTTGAAGAAGGGCTTTCTTCGGCTGTGAAAGACGAACTTTCCCGGGCGCCCAGGGCGGAGTCTATGGACCAGCTGACCAAATCAGCGCTGGCCATAGGAGCGCGCCAGGAGGCGAGAGCATTGGAGAGGCGGGAAGGGAAAGGCGAACGTTGGAAGGAGTTACGCATTCCAGACATTCCAGAGCCAACTTTCCCACCCGCAGAGCCGATGGAAATCGGAACAGCGCGCGCGCGCGCAGTTTCAAAGCCCAGTGAGGGGGCAAAGAAGGAGGGAAAAGGCGCCCGGAAATGCTATCTCTGCCAACAGCCAGGTCACTTTGCCAGAGTCTGCCCCCAGAGGAAAGAATGGCAAGGGATGGTAGGAGCTGTGGATGGAAGAGAGGAAAATATACCGGAGCAAGTAAAGCCAACGCCTGGCTGCCACTGTCAGGGCACAGCAGCCAGGCCAAAGAGCAGTGAGAGTGCCCACGCCAGAACCTCCTAAACCCGCCCTAGTGATAGAAGTGACGCTAGAGCTGCCAAACGGACACCCTCTAAAGATAAAGGCGCTGTTGGACTCAGGCAGCTCCTGCAATTTCATGAGCAAGGAGTTTGCAGCTGAACACCAGATACAGACAATCCCTTTAAGCAGCCCCCTGCAGGTGACCACGATCGATGGCAGGGAGCTGTTGGGTGGAGAAGTCAGCTTGCAGACCGTCCCAATGATAATGAAGGTAGCAAGACACACCGAACTGATAGCTTTTAATGTGGCCACCTTGGGAGGAGCTCCCATTATATTAGGGATGAGCTGGCTAGCGTTACATGATCCGCTGGTGGGCTGGCATCAGAGAGTGGTTTCTTTTGGTTCAGCACATTGCTTAGAACACTGCAAGGAGGGAAAGGGTTTGGCAGGGGTCCAAGCCACCCTAGCAGGGACTGAAGTAACAGAGAACGTGAAGGTACCACGACAATATGCAGATCTCCGTGACGTCTTCAGCGAAAGGGAAGCTGACCAACTACCCCCGCATAGACCCTTTGACTGTCAAATCAACTTACTCCCTGGAGCACAGCTCCCTGTAGGCAAGCTGTATGCCATGTCAGACAGAGAGATGCAGGAGTTAAGAGAGTTCATTGACAAGAACCTGAAGAGAGGGTTCATCAGAGAGTCCAGGGCGGTGGGGGGCAGCCCAGTGTTTTTTGTGGATAAGAAAAACACGAACAAGCCGAGGCTGGTGTGTGACTTCAGGGCCTTAAATGCAGTGTCAGAACCAGTAGCCTTCCCTATGCCCAGGATTGACGACATTTTGACAAGGGTGCGGAAGGGAAAGATTTTCACAAAGCTGGACCTAAGGGGGGCGTACAACCTGGTACGAATAAGGAAGGGGGATGAATGGAAAACCACTATGTTCACCCCTTTAGGGGCATTTGAATATTTGGTTATGCCCTTCGGCCTACAAGCAGGCTCCGCAACATTTCAATCGTTTATGAACCACGTCCTGGGGCCTTTGCTTTACAAGAATTGTGTGGCCTTTTTAGACGACGTGTTGGTGTATTCTGAGAATGAGGAGCAGCATGTGAGAGACGTCAGAGAAGTGTTGAGCAGGCTGCAAGCCAACCAGCTGTGGGTGAAACTGGAGAAGTGTCAGTTTCATACCAAGGAGGTGGAATTCCTGGGGTATCGCCTGTCAGACAAGGGATTGGCCATGGATCCCGGCAAGGTCCAGGCGGTGCTGGAATGGAAAACACCCAAAACAAAGAAGGATGTGCAGAGGTTCCTAGGATTTGGGAACTTCTATCGTAAGTTCATCCGAAACTTTGCCCACCTGACGGCGCCCATTACGGACTGTCTCAGCAGTAAGAAGAAGTTCGTGTGGACTGAGGAGGCGGAGCGAGCATTTGAGGAACTAAAAAGGGCCTTCGGCTCGGAACAACAACTCCTGCATGTGGATTTACAAAAACCGATGAGAGTGGAAACTGACGCATCAGACAGAGCGATTGGGGCGGTGCTTCTGCAGCCAGGCAAGAAGGGGTCAGAGTGGAGACCGTGTGCCTTTTTCGCGAAAGCTGAACAAATCCGAGAGGAACTACACGGTGTATGACCGAGAACTACTAGCCATTCATGAGGCGTTCCGGAGGTGGAGGCACCTGCTAATTGGCGCACAACATAAGGTGCAAGTGTGCACTGACCACAAGAACCTAGAGTATTGGAGGACGGCACGAGTGCTCAACCAACGGCAAGTGAGATGGGCCCAGGAGTTCTCCAAATTTAACTTTGAGATTAGTTACGTGCCAGGCCCAGAGAACATTAGGGCGGACGCTCTCTCACGCAAACCTGAATATTTGGAGGGGAGGGGCACCGAAGAGAGACATGTCATTCCAGAAGACCGCTGGGTGTGTGGGGCGGCATTGGTGGGACAAAGAGAACTGGTAGAGGAAACAGAGAATGATGAATACGCCCAGAATAAGCTCAGAGGTCTTAGGGGTGATGGAGAGGAACCAGGGGGTTTCGAGGAAAGAAATGGAGCTTTGTATTACAAAGGGGCACTGTATATCCCTGAAGGAGAGTTAAGGGGAGGGTACTCAAGCAGTTGCACGACAGCCCTACGGCGGGGCATTTTGGACAACACAAAACCATGTGGTTGGTCACCAGGGAATTTTGGTGGCCTAAGGTGAGGGAAGATGTACGGGAGTATGTAAGAGGGTGCGAGCAATGCCAGCGAGCCAAAGGGGAAAGGCGGGCGCCGGCGGGGCTATTAGAACCCTTACCAACCCCAGAACGACCTTGGGAGGCAGTGTCGATAGATTTTATGACTGATTTGCCGAAGTCCAAAGGGAAAACAGCCATCATGGTGGTGGTAGACCTACTAACAAAGATGTGCCACTTTGTAGCTTGCTCGCATGCAGTCACGGCGGAAGAGACAGCGAAGTTATTTGTAGAACACATTTTTAGGTTGCACGGGGTGCCATTGAGGGTGGTCTCAGACCGAGGAAAACAATTTACTTCCAGGTTCTGGAGGAAGCTCATGAGCTTACTGCAGGTGGAGGTCAATTTTTCGACTGCCCGGCACCCTGAAACCAACGGGCAGGCGGAAAGAGCAAACGGTGTCCTCCAGCAATACCTGAGGTGTTATGTCAATGACAGAGAGAATGACTGGGTAGATAAGTTGGCGCTGGCGGAATTTGCCTACAACAATGCCGAGAATGTGTCCACAGGGATGAGCCCCTTCTTGGCTAATTATGGGTGTCATCCCAGGGCTTTCCCAGGGGGAGAGGGGGAGAGATGGAGCGTCCCGGCAGCCGAGCATTTCGTGGAAGAAATGGAAGCAATCCATCGTCAGCTCCAACTCAACTTAGAAAGGGCGAAGGAAGAATACAAGAGGCAGGCAGACAAGAACCGAAGGGAAGGTGAAACCATAAGGGTGGGAGATAGGGTGTGGCTGTCAACCCAAGGGTTGCCGTTCAAAGGAGGTTGTAAGAAATTAAGACCCAGGAGGTTGGGTCCCTTTGAGGTCATTCAACAGGTCAACCCAGTGGCTTTCAGGCTCCGGTTACCCAACCACATGAAACTGCACCCAGTATTTCACAGGTCGTTACTGTCACCGTACGAAGGGGGACGAGAAGGGCCGGCCACTCGGGGACCGGTCGTAGAAGAAAGAGAATGCAGCAGCCATGTGGCAGAAATCCTCGACGCCAGGTGGAAGGGGGATCAGGTGGAGTATTTGGTAGCGTGGGAAGGAGAACCGGAGTCAGAAAACACTTGGGTAATGGCTGAAGATATCAATGACGAGGTATTGATAGAAACGTTCCATCAAAGGTTCCCAAGGAAACCTCAGCCTGTGGAGAGGTTCCGGAGGGAATACTTTGGGACCACTGATGAAGGGGAGGAGTTGGAAGGATTCCCGGACTCGGAAGGGGAAGGGGAGATGGACTCTGAGGAGGAGGTGTACTTCGAGACCAGGAACCGCAACAGGTTGAGAGAAGTGTTCGAGACATCGGAAGATGAAGGAAGTTCATTCCGAGGTTTTGCCTCCTCACCGCCCGTAGAGGAGGGGGCGAGAGGGGGTGAAGGGGGCCCTGGAGGGGAGGTGGATGTCAGGGAACTGCCATCGGACGGAAGGGAGGTGAAAGGGCTCACACAGGTTGGGAGAGACGCAGCAGCTGAAGAGGGAACCAACAGGGAGGTGAAAGGGCTCACACAGGTTGGGAGAGACGCAGCAGCTGAAGAGGGAACCAACAGGGAGGTGAAAGGGCTCACACAGGTTGGGAGAGACGCAGCAGCTGAAGAGGGAACCAGCAGGGGGAGAGGAGCTGAGCTGGAGGGATGGCTCAGGGACACTTCCAGCGAAAACAGTGGGGAGGTTTCAGAACCTCCTGTAAGAACACCCACTCCTCGCCGGAAACTGTCACGCAGAGATTCCAGAAGACGTGTTTCCGTTAAGGAGCTTTTATGTTGGAAGCGATTACGAAAGCAACCACTGTCGGAATCTGCTAGTGACTAGAGTAGCCATGTCTGAGGGGCTCCGTCACAGACAGAGGTTTGTGGACTTGAACAAACTCTGAGGGGATACGATTTTACGCACAAGCAGCTAATCATCCCATCACAGCACCAATACCTCATTTTTAACAATATATATATGTTTAGGTTTCTGATTAATTGACTTCAGAGCTTGTCACTTGGTTGCTCGGAGTATGAGTGGAGAACCTTAGGTCTATAATTTTTCATGTGAACATAAATATGCATGGGTGATGGTAGAATACATTATAAGAAAAAAATACAGATAAATACAGTGTGTGATAATATTTGTTAAGGTGGTTTAAACTGTGACAAAGATCCTAACATGATGTGATGTTTATTTTTTGTAGAACTAAGTTCGGAAAACCTCAGAACCTGCTTTAAGATCATCAATGGCTATCTCTTTCTATCTCCATCTGAATTTCTTCAGGTATGTATAAAGTCAGATTCATTGTTACATATTCTCTGAAACTCTCTAAGCACAGTTTTGCTTTATTTATGGTAGCTCACTGTGCCGGCCAACTTTGCTTTTAGGCAGAGTGAGCACCTCAATACTGTCTAGGACTATATTCAGAAATAACATAAAAGTCAAACCATAGTTTGGAATTATATCTAAACCTATACTGACTTACAAACCATGGTTTGCAGGAAGCTTCCAAAGCAGGATATCAAAACATGGTTTGAAGCTGGTGTGCTTTGTATGGTTTGTTGTTTTTGAGTGAGTGAATTTATGAAGTGCTCAGCAGATGGAAAATCATACAAGTAGCACTAAACCATGGTTTGCCTGCTCTACACCTGGAAGATCAGCATCAGTTTTAATACATTGCCCACTGCAATTGCTTTATTTTTAGCTCTGTCAAATTGTTTCCAGTGAATTGGTGGTGATCGGAGTCTGACCAAAAGAAAAATAATTTGGAATAGTTGAATTAAATCACACCAGACAAATGATGAAAATGTGTGGATGTAGCAGTAACTGAAATATAATAATAAAATTAACGTACAGATGGAGCATAGGTGAGTTAGTCATGGATAACTTAAGTCCATATACTCTGAGTATGATTTAGTATTTTTAACTTTCTGCTGTTTCACAAAATTTATATACTGCCAGATTGTAACAAAACATCTAAGAAATATTAAAATTACCACTAAACCAGGTAAACAGTTAAAAATAATTAAAATCAGCAGTAAGCTAAAAAGATTAAAACACATCAACATTTATGTGTCTCTAGATAGACCTGCCTAAACAGAAATGCTTTAAGCAGGCACTGAAAAGAATACAGCTTAGTAGGATACCCACCTGTATGATAAAAGCATCTGTGTACTATTTGCACAGCCAATTAAGTATTTTATTATTTTGTTGATTAGAATGGATGATTTGCTTGAAAACAGAATCTTTGTTCCTGAGTGCCTTTGTTAATTACTGCCGCTAATAATTCCTCATATTTATAGTTATGGCGCTAACTTTATCAACAATAGGCTGCCCCATAAAGCTTTCGTTTTAATTTGGGGGAAGCATATAATGCCATCTTTCCAAGTACCGTACTTTATCATAATATCATCAGGATTTCTGACTGCAGACTCCTCCAGTTTCAAAATCCCACTGCACATGGGAAACTTAGAGGTGGCAATTGAAGCTTGGAGCTCAGCTTGCTATGAGAATGGGCTAATGATGATCATAGGTGCTAGTGTTTCTCAAATGGTAAAGTATTTTCAGAAGATGATGATTTTCAGGTACTTCCTGCCAGCCCTGCCCCCCACAAAAAATATCTTCCTGGCTGAATTAGGATACTGGAGACGCACAAATTTCCCAGGCAGGTACTGGGCTTCCTTCTGTAGCCCCTTCTCCCATTGCTCCCTCTGGAGCAGTGTGCAATGCAATATGAAGGAATGACCAATATAACTTGTGTGTTCATCATGGAAGAGTATTCTCTGTTTAGGTATCGGTCTCTTTGAGTCGGAGCTGTAGTAAGTCAAAGCTCTTAGTTCTTGAACAATTTCTAAGCCTGAGATTATATTCAAATCAAATGGAGAAGGAACACCTACAGTTGGTAACAGGTAGTTATTATGATTATCTTTTCTCCAACGAGTTCAAGATGGCATACATGGTTCTCCTCCTCATTTTCTTCCTCACAACAACTCTGTGAGGTCAGTTAGGCTGAGAGATAACAACAGCCCCAAGGTCATTTGTTCATGTGAATGTCAGTCTTTTTGAAGTATAAGACTGATTACAGGATTGTGCATGGTGTGTGTATTGATTTGTGCTATTTGCACTTTAGGTCTATGCAGTGGAACTTTGCAAATCGTTTTGTGAGGTCTTAAAAGATATCAACATGGATGGTCAAGTTCAAGTTCTGAAGGTAAAGGGTTAATTTTCCAGTTTATTCTTAAAATATGTTTATGTTCAAGAACAGCCAAAATTACGGTGTGCGCACATTTGTTTTCTCCTATTTTCATGTCTGATTTTGTAGAATTTTTAAATAGTACAAGAATGAATTGCTTATAGTGCAGTAATTATACTACACAATTGAATCTGCTTATGAGTTTAAATTTTGCTGCTGTTGGGATGTAACAAAGTTTTAAAACATTAAATTTTCCTCTAGTAACTTCATTGAATATTAATGAACAACCTTGGTGAAGACTTTACTCTTTACTTGGTGAAGTTTATTGTTTTAGGGGAGGGGTGGGAAACGTTTGACCCTCCAAATGTTCTGCTCTGCAACTCCCATCAGCCTGAGCAAGCAAGGCCAGTGGCCAGGAATGATGGGAGTTGTGGTTCAGCGGCAGCTGGAATGCCAGAAGTCCCTCACATCTGTTCCTAGGCATAGGTAGGCGCTTACAGTTACAGTCATATACTATGTGTACTCATATTTCCAAATCATAGAAGGCATCTATTTGGGGAAGGGAGTATTCAAAGAATTTAGTTCCAAAGGCAAGAGCAAGGGAGGAAAAAACCCTCTTCCTTCTAAAATTATTTACAATAATTTATAAGCTGCTGAATCAAAGACTCCCTAAGTGGAGTATTTAGAATAGGTACACACCATATGATTATGTGTCCAGATAGGCTTGCCAAAACAAATATGTTTTCCCCCCACAAGGATTCCTGTGTAAAGTTAACTACAGTGGTGCCCCGCAAGACGAATGCCTCGCAAGACGGAAAAACCGCTAGACGAAAGGGTTTTCCGTTTTGAAGTTGCTTCGCAGGACGAATTCCCCTATGGGCTTGCTTCGCAAGACGAAAATACCTTACGAGTCTTGAGGGTTTTTTTTCGCTTTCCCCCCCCTTTATCTAATCTGCTAAACCTTTAATAGCCTTTAATAGCCTTTTAGCAGCTAATCCCCTAAGCCTTTAAGCCTTTAATAGCCGCTAAACCGCTAATAGCGCTAATAGCGCTAATCCGTCAATGGGCTTGCTTCGCAAGACGAAAAAACCGCTAGACGAAGACTCTCGCGGAACGGATTAATTTCGTCTTGCGAGGCACCACTGTATAATATTAAGAATAATATTAAAAATTCTCTTTTTATGAAACCTGTAAATATTTTAATGGCAACTTTTAATGGAAACAATTCAAGCTTCAAGCTGTTGAGGATACAGCAGCTACTGCTAAAAGCTTTTGTTGTTATTATTGGATGTAAATGGTAATACGTTGAGCATGTGTGTATTTTCTAGGAAACCAGAGGGAGACAATTGGAGGATGTTAATTAAGATGTTGGAATAGTGCTATTATAGCTTTGCAAATTAGATACTTTTCTTAGGATATCTTACTGCAATACTTATTCAATCTTTGTTGTGACTACTAATAATGGAATTTACATAATCACTCCTGTAAAAGTCGGCAAGCAATTAATTTTTCACAAAGCAGTGACAGCAGTCATGATCTTTGTGAAATGTATTGTCTGTGAAAACAAAAGTTTTTGAATCATTTCACATGAAACTTGAATAAAGGCATAAAATTATCACCCCTATTATACTCTATTTTTGTATTTTTTGCTGGTTTTAGTGCTTTATATTAATGGTTTTGTTGTAAAGTTTTGTAACATTTATGTTGCTACAATATATATGAATACAGCACTTACTGTATTTTTCGCCCTAAAGGACGCACCGGCCCATAGGACGCACCTAGATTTGGGGGGGGGGGGAAATAAAGGGGAAAAAAATTATTCCCCCCCCCCCCAGGCCCGGGGCTGGGGCGGAGGAAGCCCAAGCTTCCCCCGACCCCAGCCCCCAGAATGGGTCCCAGAGCGATGCCGAAGCTGCGCGTAGCTTCGGCATCGCTCTGGGAGCTTGCCGGGCTGGGGGGATAGCTTCCTGAAGCCTGCATTCGCCCCATAGGACGCACACACATTTCCCCTTCATTTTTGGAGGGGGAAAAGTGCGTCCTATAGGGCGAAAAATACGGTAGGTTTTTTTAAAAAAATATTATGAGGTATAGAAATGATATGTGTTTTGTGTGTGTATGTGTAAATATATAGTCACACATATATTACTAAATAAAAATATGTGGCTGCTATAGATGGTGGTCTGCTATCTTTCACACCACTCTGATAACATCCGTTTTCTCACATTCTCATTTCAGGGTAAAGACCATTTCTGTTGCTTAAACCGAAACAGCTCATTCTGAGTAGTATGCAAGTTTTAAAATAGCCTAATCATCTTTGATCACTAAGTGTAAACCACGGCCACTTAGAGCAATGGCTCTTGGGCATTGTGAATGTGCTTGTGTATGTGTATGTGTGTGTTCTCTCCTCGCACTCAACTTAATTCAATATTTCCTGTTTTAATCAAACTAGACCTTTCTGCTAGTAACATAGCAGCAAGCTTTGGTTTCATTAAAATCAAAAGTAATTAATTCAACCGTGCATGTGAGAGGAGGAGGAGGAGGAGGAAGAAGGAGAGAGCACAAATCCCCTTGTCAACACAGACACAGAGAAATGTGGGTACGGATAAGAAAATACATCTTATTAGTCATTCCACCTTTTCTTCCTGTTGACTGAACCAGGAATTATATATGATCATTTACTTGAACTGCTTTATAACCAAAATCTGCGTCATGTCTTTCAGGTGGTAGAAAATGTCCTCAAAGTCAATCCACTGTTAGGCCCTGAAATGTTTCAACCTCTTTTGCCATCTGTGTTTCAGGGAATTATAAATGGGGAGGTAAGAATTTCTTATTCGTGGCAAATGTATCTATCTATCTTTTTTGAAAGTGACATATATCTATAATGGCTTTAAGAAAGAAACATGTATATGTGTAATCGTAAGTGGAATGTTTCTTTGAAACATCCACCAACAAATTGCCAAAGAACAACAGGGGCTGAGGTGATCCTCTTTTTACCCTATGTTCAAGTTTGAAGGTGCCTGGCGCAAAATGCCCCACACTTATCTTTCTGAAATTCAGCAAAATTCATAAAGGGGCTACCATTCTTGCTAATTTCATCCAATTAGGCCAAGGGCCAGCAAACTTTTTCAGAAGGGCTGGTCCACTGTCCCTCAGACCTTGTGGGGGGCCGGACTATATTTTGAAGGGGGGGAAATGAATGAATTCCTATGCCCTACAAATAACCCAGAGATGCATTTTAAATAAAAGCACACATTCTACTCATGTAAAAACACGCTGATTCCCGGACTGTCCATGGGCCGCATTTAGAAGACGATTGGGACAGATCCGGCCCCCGGGCCTTAGTTTGCCTACCCATGAATTAGGCCAGTGCTTCAGATTTTTCAAAACTCCAAAACAGGATCCAATCTGAATATTTTCTTTTGTGCACACTCCTGCTGAAAAGTTCACCATGCTGCTGTTAGCCCTCTCTTAGCCCTTTAAGGCCAAGGAAAACTGCCACAGTAGCAATCTTGCTACCCCTCCTGGTAGTGTTGTTTATTTCTGGCAGTATGTGGCTTCCAGAGCTCAGCAGAAAACAGCAATGCAACGATACTCTGACTGTTGCCAAATTGCATCTGAAGATATGGCTACTGCTTTAAACCCAAAATAATATTAGCAGGTAGTATCATAGAAGGGACCGCGAGGGTCATCTAGTCCAACCCTCTGCAATGCAGGAATCCTGCTCACAGCCACTCCTGGGTCAGCTTGAACCACCAACCTTCTGGTTAACAGCCAGATGCACTGACCCGTTGTGGTACTATTATTATATATATATAAAATGCTTCTTGCAATCCTAACATTTTTCTGGACATATGTTCCCTTGAATTGGTCCCAAGTAGGCATGGATAGGATTGCACTGCTACTGTGGATTATTTCCTATACTAATTATCGTTTTATTTTTAATATAATTTTTACAGAAACCCTACTTAACATTCACTGGCATAATAAGAGAAATTACAATTTACAGTATATTGTGTGTTAAAATGTAGCTCCAGATAAAGTGTTGAAGAGATAATTTTTTGTCTGCATTTGAGTTCTTCATGAAAGAGGGTGGGTTTTTTTTTAAACCCATGAAAGAGGGTGGTTTTTTAAAAAATATATATATATATATGCATGCTATACTAAAAATTATACTTTCTCATGCTGTTTGGAAGGTATTCCTGCTTCTCCAGGAAGCGCATACCCTGGTGTTGCCTTGGACTTAGCAAAGCATTTGGTTTTTCCTAAAATTCTATAATGAAATACTTCCTGAAGGGTAGACATTATCCTTTCCTGTGATTAAAAACAGGAAATTGCAGCAATTCCTATTGTTTTAAAGAAAAAGAAATTGAGCCAAAAGGGTGCCTTCACACAAGATTATTTTGATTTCTTATTTGAAATTTCACATCCCATAATTGAAACCATATACTTGTAATTTTGGTTCATTTTTTGGTTGGGATTAGTTTTTAAAATGCAGCAGAACTACTCTTTCTTGTTTAAAGGGTTTTCAATCACTTCTCTGCTAAGCTGTTTCATAGCCCATTTTTCACACTCCAAATGCAACGTCCTCAAATAGCCCGTAGTTGATAATAGGACGTGTTAAAATAACATAATTTAACACATCTAGTGATTGTTTTTTCAGCCATTTGTGTCACTTCACTACACTGTTCCATACAATCTTGGCAATGAGAAGTGTTACCACTGAGAATAGCAACAATGAGCTACTTGTTGGATTAATAGCACTTTTTTAAAGTAGAGGGGGGAAGCCCTGGTTTATTAGATGGTGAAAACCTAACTGTTATCCATCTTCTTCATCTCCAAAATGGAGAAGGAGGCAGAATAATATACATTCCAGCTATAATGTACACTCACCAGTGATGAAAAATTTCGATTATGCAAAAACGGTCTAAGTTTCTTTTGCTTATAATTCTATCTTCCTCCAGCTAGGGGTGCTGTTGTATAAATCTCATACTCACTGATGAAATTCAGTACTTCTATCTCATATCTGAAGTTTTGGAACAAACTTTTCCTAATGATGTGTACAATGTCAGAAGCAAACTTTGTAACTATTCTGCTTGGCCTTTAAATGCAATAACATTTCCTTGGAAGTTTATACAGTGGTGCCTCGCAAGACGAAATTAATTCGTTCCGCAAGTCTCTTCGTCTTGCGAGTTTTTCGTCTTGCGATGCACGGTTTCCCATAGGAATGCATTGAAAATCAATTAATGCGTTCCAGGGAAACCGCCTTCAGACCAGGTCCGGGGACAGTCTGTCCCCGGACCTCTTCTGAAGGCTGGGGGGGGGGGCAAGGGCTTTTCTTCCCACCCCCAGCATTTTAAAAAACCCCGGGACAGCGGAGGACTTCTCCGCTGTCCGGGCGATCTTAAAATGCTGGCGGGCGGCATTTAAAATCACCCCGGGACAGCGGAGGACTTCTCCGCTGTCCGGGGCAATTTAAAGCCCCTGGGAAGGCAGGCAGGGGGACAAAGACTTTGCCCCCGCCAGCCTTCAGAAGAGGTCCTGGACCTCTTCTGAAGGCGGGCGGGGGCGAAAGTCTTGCTCCCCCGCCTTCAAAAGCCCTCCGGGACAGGCAGGCAGGGGGAGCAAAGACTTCGCCCCCGCCCGCCTTCAGAAGGTCTTCCCTCCCCCCGCCCGGCTCGGAGCACCGTTCCGAGCCGGGCGGCGGCGGAGGTCTTCCCTCCCCCGCCCGGCTCGGAGCACCGTTCCGAGCCGGGCGGCGGCGGAGGTGTTCCCTCCCCCGCCCGGCCCGGAGCACCGTTCCGGGCCGGGCGGCGGGGAGGTCTTCCCTCCCCCCGCCCGGCTCGGAGCACCGTTCCGAGCCGGGCGGCGGCGGCAGGTGTTCCCTCCCCCGCCCGGCTCGGAGGAGCCTTCCGAGCCCGGCGGCGGCGGGAGGATGTGTCCCCGCCCCGCCGCCGGGCTTCGGAGGAGGTCCGAGGACAGTGGGGAAGACGCGCTGCGCTTCCCCGCTGTCCCTGAGATTTCCCTATGGGCTGTCGTCTTGCGAAGCAAGCCCATAGGGAAATTCGTTTATGAAGCGCCTCCAAAACGGAAAACCCTTTCGTCTAGCGGGTTTTCCGTCTTGCGAGGCGTTCGTCTTGCGGGGTACCACTGTATGTAACCTATACTTTCAGTTATCGTTGCTGTCAAGTAGTATATTGCAATCCAGAGTGTGCACAGTGCCATTAGCAATAGTGTTATGGGAAGAGAATAATACTTATTATCATTTATTAAATTTGTATACTGCCCTTAATCCAAAGACGACAGGGCGGTTCACAACATAAAAATACAAAATGAAAACACAGAATATCTAATGTGAACAAAACCAAAACCAAACCCATAACCTTCTCTCCCACAAACACATTTAAAAAGCCATAGAAGGTTAATCATCCAGAGGCCTGGTTAAAGAGAAGCATTTTTGCCTGGCGCCTGAATATATGTAATGAAGTCTCCCTGGGGAGAGCATTCCACAAATGGGGAGCAACCACAGAAAAGGCCTGTTCTCATGTTGCCACCCTCCGGACCTCTCACAGACACGCACAAAGAAGGGCCTCAGAGGATGACTAGAAAAGAGATACAGAAATCTGTAGTAACCAGTGAATTTCTGTGATGGACTAAAGCTAGCAGGACTAGGAAGGCAGTCTCCTGTGCTTAGATATGATGGGAGGAGGAGAAGGACCCTCTTCCCATGAGCCCTAGGCACTGCAATCCAAAGTAGCATGGCAAAGGGCAAACTGGATGGAATGCCATACAAAGATAGTTCAGTGCTTTGGTTGTGCTATAGTATTTTTCATCTCCAATTTCCAGCATTGTATGTGCCTTTCATATCCAATAGTTGGGATTGTCTGCCAAATAGGGAGGATGTGGCTGCCTACTTTATCTCACAGGGTATTGTTTGAACATCAGTGACAGTATTTCAAGTTAGTGTTTACACAGCTAAACTGTGCTATTTGCTTAAAATAGGAAGTGATTTGATTATAATAGATGCCCATGCATGTTTATTGGTGGTGTGCTGTTAGATTTCTAACTTGTTTGATTTCTGCAGTACACTTTTATCATGTTTATATTTTTCTGCCTGATAGGAAAGCTAAGATTAACTGTTTTCATTTCAGAGGTACCCAGTTGTAATGTCTACTTACTTGGGAGTCATTGGTAGAGTCTTGTTGCAAAATAAAAGTTTTTTCTCATTGCTTCTGAACCAGATGGCATGTGAGTCTGGCCAGGAGGTAAGCCCTTACATTTTACAATGTTGAATTAGTTTTATATGCAGGACATAAGTTGGTTGTACAAATCATATTTCCTTCCACCACATAACCTCTCTGGATCCTTCTATTTTGCACTGCATTTGTTCATAGCTATGAACCATAGCTTTCTGAGTCTTCTGGTTTGAGGAGGATGGAGAATTATCCTGAGTGCATGCCATGGGCTTTTTAAGACTTTGAAGCTAAAAGCAGAACATCACATTGCTTCAAGACACCCAAGTCTACAGTTTTAGTGCTTAAGGAGCAAATAATCAGACCACTTCTGATTACTCATCCTTGTCTTGGATGTGAGATCCTGGTCCATTTATAATAGCAAAGCTCTTTCCTTCTGATGGTAGACCCTCGTGCCTCATTGGAGGCTGTTCCAGAGGGTTTTCAGTGTTCAAAGGGAGGGGGTTTCAGAGATGTGGGGAGCTGCCACTGAAAGAGAGAAGTTGCAGAAAGGCCACATTTATGCAGAATACCACCCACAATTATTTTGATTCCAGCTATAGCTCAATATAGGTAGCTATTTATTCAACAAAAATGTCAGTAATAGCACCTGGAGTCTTTAATAAGGTAATTGGAAGTATCATTCAGCTGCAGATAAGGAGACATCTGTGTTCACTTTCCCAGTGGCGTAGCGTGGGGGTGCAGGGGGGGCCGGCCACACCGGGCGCAACATCTGGGGGGGCGCACTCGCACTCGCAGCTCTCTGCCCCCTGCTAAAATCCACGGGTTAGGGGGCGCAAATTACTTGCCTTGCTCCGGGTGCTGACAACCCACGCTACGCCCCTGCACTTTCCCTTTTTAAAAGATCACCATGACTTTTTTAAAAAAAATAAAAAAATCATATGGTTCCCAGCTAAGTTAAATTAATTTTAATAGCAAACAATATTCTGTTAAAGCAAGTGTTTTCTGTGTGATGCTGACAAATACCTGGCTTGTTAATTTTCTACTATTTCTATCCAAGGAAATCAAGTTTCATGCAGCAAGGGATACCCTTAAAGATAAATGTTTTGCGCTGCTTAGCAATCCCATTATAGTCAAATAAATGACAAATTTGAATTGGTTTTTTAAATTGATTTCATAATGGATAAATATACAATCATGAAGCTACCGAAAATAAAGGATTTTACAAAGTCTGTGTTGGCATCCCCTTTTGCTATAGAGCTGATTCAATGGAGTTTTGTTTGAATTTATCCTTGTGAAATGGAACACTAATATTTAACACTGTTGTGTGTGTGTGTGTGTGTGTGTGTGTGTGTGTATACATGCACACACAAACACCAGTTATCATTATATATTTATATACATGTGTCTATATGATCATCCCAGTTATAGAGTTAGAATGTTATGCAAAAAGCTTTAGATCCAAGTTAATCATAGTAACAAGAACTTCTGTATAAGAAATCATACTTTTTCATTTCTACCTACCAGTTGTAAAATAGCTAAGTAGTTTGATTACCATATTGCTTATAAATAAGATTTTCAGCAATCTATTGTTTTTTCCTAGCCTCACCAGCTCCTTGGTCACATGATTGAAATGTGGGTTGACCGCATGGACAATATAACTCAGCCAGAGAGGAGAAAACTTTCAGCTTTGGCATTACTTTCCCTTCTGCCATCGGATAATAGGTAAGCAAAATTTTATATTTCCTGGAGTTCCAAACAGCAACGCTCCGTGTCGTATCGTATACTACTTTTGGAATCAGGTTCAAATGCGTAGGAAGTTACTGTACCAGAAATACATAAAAGGCCTCTTGGTGTGGAATCATAGAATTGTAGAGTTGGAAGGGACCACGAGGGTCATCTATTCCAACCCCCTGCAATGCAGGAATCTTTTTGCCCAATGTGGGACTCGAATCCATGACCCTAAAATTAAGAGTCTCATTCTCTACCAACTTAACTGTCCTACCAGCTAGTTGTATTGTGCTTAGCATCTTGGCTTCTTATTTATCTAAGTGGGCCTATATGAATGTCTTCTCTTTCTTTAAACCTTTGACACAGGCCGTCCTTTAATTGCTCAAAGAAATAAAAGGTTCTGTCAGTGCAATAAAATAGGAAAGAATACAGGCTGCATTACAAATTCTGCTGAAATCAGTTTAGATTTAAGTAGCTATGCAAGCTCTTTTGAGATAGAAAGATGAAATCATGCCTGTTTTCCTCTGGATTATACCAGTAATAAAGAATGTATATGGTTGATTGGTTATTTGATAAAAAACAATTGAAAATAGAATGTTATAAAGTGTTCTTACCTATTACTCACTTACACAAGTTGAGTTATATCTATCTAAACTCCCTATTGCACATTACCATTGGTCATTGTTCTTATCAGAGACATTTGTGTTACATGGTTGCACCTACCATGTGGTTTTCTGTGCAGTGAAGCCAAGAAATAAATTTAAAGTATGTTTCACTGTACTGTGTAAAATGTCATTCATTCATTCATTACATTCATATACCACCTTTATCTTCCAAGGAGCTCAAGGTAGATCAGGCTAAGAGGTGGTGAATGGCCCAAGATCACTCAGTGAGCTTCATGGCTGAGTGGGGATTTGAATCCTGCTCTCCCAAGGCCTAGTCCAGCGCTCTAGCCATGATAGGTCATAACAAGTATGTTTCCAAATGAAACTATGAGATGCATATCGTTTGTCTTAGCCTTACTGAGTAATATCTGTTAGGAGAACAGGAAGCTGCCTTGCACTGAGCCAGACCATTGTTGTCAGCAGTGACTGACAGCGGTTCGTCAGAGTTTCAGGCAGCAGTCTTTGCCAGCCCTCCTTCGAGACACTAAGGACTGAACCTGGGTCCAGCACTGAGGGCCTTCTGGCAGCTCCCTCACTGCGAGAAGCCAAGTTACAGGGAACCAGGCAGAGGGCCTTCTCGGTAGTGGCACCTGTCCTGTGGAACGCCCTCCCATCAGATGTCAAAGAGAACAACAACTACCAGACTTTTAGAAGACATCTGAAGGCAGCCCTGTTTAGGGAAGCTTTTAATGTTTGATGTATTACAGTATTTTAATATTTTTTTGGAAGCCGCCCAGAGTGGCTGGGGAAGCCCAGCCAGATGGGCGGGGTATAAATAATAAATTATGATGATGATGATGATGATGCATGCAAAGCAAAGGCTGTAAAGTTCAGCCATGGCCCTTCCATGGCTCAGGTGATGCTCAGGTTCAGGTTCTAGGCTTTGCCTTGGTTCAGTCATCAATCCCGGGTATGAGTGGGCATTGCAAGGCTGCCTCCTCACCATGCAGCCAGTCTCTGGGGTGAGTGCTGCATTAACGTCTGACTGTGCAGCAAGCTTGCTCACATACTTCGTGAAACATTTGTGCAGCATACCCCCAGAAGCAGGGGTCAGCATACTTTTTCAGCAGGGGGCCGGTCCTTGTCCTCAGACCTTGTGGGGGGCCGGACTATATTTTGAAAAAAAATGATGATGCAAGAGCACCACGAGCCCCGGTGGCTGCTTACCTGTGTCGTGTGAGCAGCAGGGGCCAGTGGTGGCGGGACGATGAGCGGCGCGCGAAAGGGCTCCAGAGAGGGGCTGCTTAAAATGGCAGCCACTCGAGCGCTGCTGGTGCTGGCACCAACAAAGCCCAGGCCCCTTCCTCCTCTAGGAAGGGTGGGAAGAAACCAGGACCAGGGAGAGGGAGAGAGAGGGAAAGAACGTGCGCATTGGCAATCCATGCAGTGATTCCCGGACTGTCTGCGGGCCGGATCCAGAAGGCAATTGGGTCTGATCAGGCCTGTGGGCCTTAGTTTGCCAACCCATGCCCTGAAGTCTATTTGTCTGCTTCTTCATCATACTGCTTGCAGTGCTTCTCTCAGCTAAATATATTAACTGGAGTGATGTTACAACTTTATTATAACCCCACCTTCCTATGTGCCTACAGATTTAGGATACCGGTGGCGATTTGTTTTGTTTTGAAGTCATTTCATCTTATAAAACCTACAGATACTGCATTAGATCTTCTGCTGATTTGCCAGGTTCTTTTCTAAGCCCTAATTCCTATTGGAAAGAGGGATTCACACATATCTATTTGCTATTATAGCTCAAAAGCCTCTGCTCACTCCCCAAGGACCTCTTACAGTAAATTTTATGTAATAGCACCGAGAGCTTATGGTACATTTTAGCTAGTAGCACTTTGATATCTTACCTTTTCTATAAATTAGAAATTGTTTCTTTTACAACAGTTTGCCCCATAAGGCAATTTATTAAGTCTCTTCTGCTGCACATTTCCGCATTGGTCACCTGAGGCTATTCCCTGTGTCAAAAATGTTTGTGCTCCAATAAAATACAGATGAAAAAATGTTTTACTCAGTATAAAACAAGTACTGTTTGAACTACAGTATTTGATTTGGTGGAATAATACTTCATAAGTGCTGGAGACAACTTAAGAGCATTGTCTTTTTCCTTCCTGTGAACAGTTGCTTTTACTGGTTATAAACTAGTTATAAACACATCACACATTACATTGTTTTTATACTTAAATTAGCTTAAGCACATGCAGTCTTTATTATACACAGTCATATAAAGCAAATACGGACTATTATCAGCACCGTGGGAAGACAGATAAATAAATCCAACTGATTTTTAGAGGAATGAATTGCAGCGATTTCCCCCCCCCCTCCCCAACAGTCCTTCAGAACTGCAGATAAAATAACTTCCTGTCTCTCAGTTTCCTGTATCCATGGTAACTTTATTTTAACCAGTCATTGTGGAGGAGCCAGTGGGGAAGAGTAGATGTTTCCTGTAGGAACAGTTGCAGAACCTGCAACAAAACGTAAGAAACTAGCCCGTTGTCTAGAAAGTTCTTAAACTCCAGCATATACACGTACTAATAATTTTACTGTGGTACAGAAGAAGAAATTTTAGCTGATAAAATGAGCATCACATTCTAGGTGAGAACCATTTTAATATACTTTAAACTTGGAACAGTAAAAGTGACATTAAAAGTTTAAGAAGTTACCAGTGGGATGAATTTAAGTGGGATGGCTCATTAAAAAGTCGTTAAGGAGCTTCTATCTCTGAAAGCTGTTATTTTTACATTACTTTTAAATTTTAACTGGTGAGATTGTTAAACCATCTTGTTTATAACCATCTTATAAACTAATAAATTGTAGACATAGTTACAAGCCAGAGAACAATAGTATAAGAGACAACATTCACAAAATAGTAGAAATAACATTATAATATTGCATGCTTTTATCATAATGAAATCGGAGAGTTCTGAATAAGCATTTTAAAACTTTTCTCCCTCCTGATAGCACAATCAAAGATGACGGGAAAACTCAAAATCTGGGATATGTGTCAACTTCACCCCTTTGAGTTGTTTTGGAATTCTCTTCCTTGTTTATTTCTGTTGCTGATCCAGGATATACTTTGCTGTCCATCTGTTTGCCAGCAGTGTAGAGGCAGACAAGCTGACTGCCGTGATTCAGGTCTTTCCATTGTTCCAAAGAATTTCCCACAACATACTGTCTTTGTATATTTAAGTGGGAACAACATATCACACCTAAATCCAAATGAACTGAAAGGCCTCCGGCAACTCGCTGTGCTACACCTGGATAATGCTAGCATTTTATATGTGTCCCCAAAGGCATTTTCTGAACTTAAGAAATTGTGGTACCTACGTCTGAATAATAATCAAATAAAACACTTGGATCCTGGAACATTTGAAGGACTTTCAAAGCTTCGCTCTTTATACCTGCAGAATAATGAAATAGCTTTTGTTCGCAAGGGATTATTTAGTGATCTTGCTTCAGTTCAATATCTGATGCTGCAAAGTAATCGTCTCAGGATTGTTGGCAGTGGCATTTTTGTCGGCATGATTAGTCTTCGGATTCTTAACCTAGCGAACAATAAGATTTCGTGGATATCACACTCGGCATTTTGTCACCTTGACAACCTTACATGTTTGTACCTTGACGGTAACAATTTAACACGTGTGCCGTCAAATGCATTTGCTGCATTGAGCAATCTTGAAAGACTTTCATTGTCACATAACCCGATTGGATCAATACCTCCCTTTGCATTCAGAGGACTTGACAAGCTTCAATATCTATCTCTAAAAAGTGCCAGAATAAAAGCTATCCATGTGAATGGCTTTACAGGTCTAAGTAATCTTAAAAAGCTACTTTTGAGCAATAATGATTTGCAAAACATCAATTCCAGTACCTTTGCACTGTTGGAGGAGTTAGTGTTTCTGCAACTTGATAGAAACAAAATAATCAATATTGCAGATAATACATTTGAAAAAATGGGATCCTCTTTGAAGATACTGAATCTAGCATTTAATAATCTTACAGACTTGCATTCTAAAGTGCTTAAGCCTTTGGTCTCTTTAACTCACTTACAGGCAAATCACAACCCTTGGAATTGTGGCTGCAGATTACTTGGGCTAATTAACTGGCTAACATCTTCTTCCATCTCTATTAAAATTCATTGCCAAAATCCTTCCTATTTGCATGGAAGGCACTTGAATTATGCCAACTGGGGTTTGGTTGCAAACTGTTTCAACACTACCACAAGACCTGGAATATTCAGGAACGTAAAGCCAGCAGGTATCCATCAAAGTACCACTACTTTATTGATGAGATCGGATAACCCCCCCTCAAGCAATGCAGTTTATGAACATTCAAAGGATGTGGAAGCAAATACAGTTACATTATGGGCAGAAGTGCCGACCTCATCAGCTGCTCAAAATCTGGATGGAACCTATTCCAGTAGGAAGCTGAGACAGGCAGCTATAGTGTTCTCAGTGCTAACGGTGCAAATACCAGCGCAGAATATACCTGTTAATTTGACCATGGAAAAAAGCAGAGCATCTCCACCAGAATCTACTTCTGTCTCCTTGAAAACATCTCTAATCTGCACACAGCAGGTCGAGAAACTACATCAGGCATTTGACATTTTATTAACCTTTTTTATTTTGGCCTGTGCTGTGATCTTCTTTTTGCTCTACAAAATCATTCAGTTCAGGCAGAAGCTCAAAGAGCAAAATGACACTGACAATGGAATAGAATACTATGGCTTTTATCAAGCTGGAAGCTACAGCATAGCGGATCCAACTCAGCCTGTACCTCAGCACTCACTGGGAAGTTCAGAACTGGACCACGGTCAGCCTCCTAAACCAGCAGCACTTCAAAGCGAAGCGCAGGTCATCTTATTTGAACATTCTGCATTGTAATATACTCGGCAGGGATTTTTGTGGCTGCATGTATGAAGTCTATAAACAGCAGCAGCGTGAGATATTTTGTAGATGAAAGTTCAACAACTGATACGCCAGGGGAGGGGGAAATATGGTCTGTTTTTTTCAAATATTGCCATATTTGCTGTCATAGTTTTTTTTGTATGAAACTTAAGTTTTTGTGTATTTGTGTGTGTACACATACAGACATGAGGGCCACTGCTTTCATCACCAACCCTGCTCCCCACCCCTTGTCAAACCCACCCACCCTCTAGACTTCACCAGCACTTCTTCACTCAGTACTAACCCATTAGACCAAGGCTCCAGCAGCATGGGCCACCTTTAACAGGCAGTCAGGGCAAGTCATCTGTCAATCGCATAGCACAGGCATAGGCAAAATCTGCCTTCCAGATGTTTTGGGACTACAATTCCCGTCATCCCTGGCCACTGGTCCAGTTTGCTAGGGATGATGGGAGTTGTAGTCCCAAACATCTGGAGGGCCGAGTTTGCCTATGCCTGACATAGCATACTTGGTGCATGATGGACAAGCGGGTTGCCCCACTTAACCTGTCCAAATCCTGACACCAGTGGTTGAAAGCCTGACTCATGCTGATCCTTCCAAGCTTTTGTGATCCTCTCCAGCTTTTCTTTTTGCCCCCCCCCCCCGCAATGTTGGAGGTGCAAAGGAGTGTCAGCCCCACCTACTGCCCTTGCGAATCCTCCCATGTGAGACTTCACCAAGCCTTCCTTGCCCCTCTCCCCAGTTAGATCTTTTTCCATGAGGAGGAGGGGACAGTGGCAAGTGACCCAAGCGAGTTATAGAGGAATAGTTATGACAGGCTGGGGCAACTCCATCCTGCTTTCCTGCTGCCCATTGAAACAGCTCCCATGAGGTGGGCAACAGTGGTGGCTGCCCTAGCCTGTAATGACTGTAACCTCTACTGCATGCCTGGGCTGGTCACTGCTACTGTGAAGGCCTGGCAGCTCTCAGAAGGCTGTTGTCACACTGTAGCTTCCAGCGCCATCTGTCTGCCACCAAGCTAACTGCTGCATGACAACAGCCTTAGGCAAAAATATCATGGGAGATATAGATTTCCATTTTGTTCTGTCTGCCTGTGGAAAATCATTCCTCAAGAACTAACTTTGCACCCCTATGTGTTCAGCCACCTATATCAGATGTTAAGTCCTTATCTATCAGGATCTTAAGAGTTTTCAAATATTTATTTGTATTAAATGATTCATAGGAGCACTATAAGGCTACTTACAAATGAGTAAGTAAAACTGAACTGTAGCTAGCAGCACCATGAAACTCAGTTACTTTTAGAACTAAATAGCTTTTATCGGGGAGAGACTGTGAGATAACAGCAACATTGTAATGCACCATGCTACTCAACAGAGCGCAGCAGTCTAACAGGATAGGTATGTTTGTTCTAATGAACTGTTTTATGTGTATTTAAAGTCTGTCGCCAATGTATCAACTGCCTGCATTTTCCCCATGATGGATCTTTGTCCAGGATACATAGACAGAACTAACTAAAGTTAGAAATTCATAAGAAAATCTGTTGATATTGTAGAAATACTATGTTTTGCAGTTTCTTGTATCACAAACTGAAGATATGTTTTGAGAGGTGCATTTTATCCTTGGAACTTATTAAACTGCAGTTGCTGGAAAAAATGGAATGGGAGAGCAACATCCTAGCACATATTTGTGTAGAGAGCTGAAAGAGCCAGTGCCAGCGTGGTTGTTTGTGATAATGGGATTCCATTCCAAATAGATGACATGAATCTTTGCAATGAATTATGCTTTAGTAGAGTAACTTAATTACCATTGACTCTGTAACTGTTGTTTGTTAATCAGATGGGTAAAGTGGATTAGGTAATTATAGCATCCAAAAATTATACTCAGATTGCCTTGACAACATGAAAAACTTGTGTGGCTACCCACTCTGTTTTCAGAAGGGCCCATGTACATGTCTGTCGTTGCATAAATTGAGTCGTGATTCCTGCATTTGAGCTAGATGAGTTGAGCTAGATGACCGTTAGGGCTGCCTCCCAGCTCTATAATTCTGTGATCTGCTGGACAGTTAAGTGTGCACACCTGTTTTCTGTGATCTTTCCAACTCCCTTTGAGGTGGAAGAATCACAACAATGAAATACATTCAAGATATCAATATACACATAACACCAGAAGAGCAGTGGTGGGCCTGTTAATACAAAATGCATTACTACATTTGAGGCAAGCCAGCACATATTTTCAAGCAGATCTGACAGTTCCTTTCCAAAAATGAAAGACACCTATCTGTACTACTGTACTGAGAGTATCTCAATCAGACCTGAGTGTGCAAACTTAACTACATAAAACCAGTTTTGTCTAGGAAGTATTTCAGAGTTGATTTTTCAAGGTTGCCAGCAGCATTCCCTAAATCATAGAAACCCAAATTCAAAGACTTATACAGTGGTACCTCGGGTTAAGAACTTAATTCGTTCTGGAGGTCCGTTCTTAACTTGAAACTGTTCTTAACCTGAAGCACCACTTTAGCTAATGGGGCCTCCTGCTGCCGCGCAACGCCGGAGCACGATTTCTGTTCTCATCCTGAAGCAAAGTTCTTAACCCGAGGTACTATTTCTGGGTTAGCGGAGTCTGTAACCTGAAGCGTCTGTAACCCAAGGTACCACTGTATAGGAGAAGAGGATCAAGCTTAATTGGTTAGAGTGTGGTGCTGATAACGCCAGGGTTGCAGGTTCTATCCCCATATGGGCCAGCTGCATATTTCTGCTTTGCAGGGGTTGGACTAGATGATCCTCAGGATCCCTTCCAACTCTGCAATTCTATGATTCTACTGCTACTCCACCCAGAATCCTCTACACATCACTGACCCTAGCCTTCTGATCAACTTATATAATGCTACGGTGTGCCTTGATCAAGGTGTATTCAGAACCAAAATATTCGGTTGTTTAGCACTAGGATCCGATTGATACTTTTAAACATTGTTTGGCTGAACACAAACCTCCTCGTGATCAGGAACCCTTCTAAAGGAAGCTTCTAGGTGCATCGAGCTGAATGTACTTAGAAACTGTCTTCAAACCTTCCTATTGAACCCACGAAGGCCTGAAGTCCAGCCATCAAGTGGGAACACAGGGGTTTCTTGTGCATGCTACTGCTCCCTATTTAAGCCCTCATGTGTTTGCTCAAATACCCAAATAGGGCTACAGTTGTCCTCTCCTTATATGTTTATTTTAAGCATTTTTACTCCATCTTCAGCTGAACTGGCTCTCTCACAATAAATAAAAGCAGGGCTGCCTCTGCCTCCAGTCTCGTGATCTAAAAGGCACGACCCCAAAGGGAAAGGGGATGTGAAAGAAAACAAGCAGACCTCGAGCACCAGTTCTCAAAGTTAAACACTAGTTCTTATAATGGCCATCTGGAATGGAAACAATTCACAGAGAGGACGTCAGTAAAGTTCATCTCCCTAATCGCCACTAAATAAATGTTTCTGTGATGTACAGGCAATGACCATTTCACGCAGGGGTTCTGTTCTCTTACAGAGCCAGATTTCCCTGGAGAGAGGGATTGATTGTTAAACCACTTGGAACTTCAGCCCTGTGAGGCAAAAAAGGGTCTTTTTTAACAACTGAGCACCCTTAGCAAGCTATAGTTCCCAGGATTCGTTTGTGAGAAGCCATGAGCATTTAAAGTGATATGATAGTGCTTTAAACTTATACTGCTGGTGGACCCTTACACTGTAATCCTAACTATGGCTAGAAGAGTTTGGATTTGATATCCCGCTTTATCACTACCCTAAGGAGTCTCAAAGCGGCTAACATTCTCCTTTCCCTTCCTCCCCCACAACAAACACTCTGTGAGGTGGGTGGGGCTGAGAGACTTCAGAGAAGTGTGACTGGCCCAAGGTCACCCAGCAGCTGCATGTGGAGGAAGCAAACCCGGTTCACCAGATTACGAGTCCACTGCTCCTAACCATTATACCACACTGGCTCAGAAATCCTACTGAACTCAATGGTGCCTACTCTTAAGTAACTGGGGTTGGAATTGCACCCATAACCTGGGCTGTTGCTTTTAAAATGAAAGATTCTGGAAAATTCTGGAGGGGGAAATATGTTCTTGAGATTCATTAAAATTCTTATGCTTCTAAAAGTCACCATCTTCTTGCATTGAATTTTGCTTTTATATTCCCCTTCATTGGCGAAACCCCTGGACATGAAGGAAGTGCAAGAAATAAAAAAAGGTCACCTTTGCAGCAGCCATAATAGATACGAGAGACGCACCCTGCAGGCATCCCAAGGTGGGGTCAGGCTGACAGATTAGGTCCTTCACATTCATTAATTCTGAGCTTTAACCACAAGTTGTGGACACTGAGCAACAATTTCAGAGATGAGTGTCTGCATCTTGAATTTAATTGTACGCAAGGCATACCAGTGCTATTACTAATTCAAGTTGCCACAGAGCAAGCCATGCATTTAAAGATTTTCCTCCGATCCACGGGGAAATCAGCACTTCAGATGAGGATTCCCTGTAAATTGATATTCAAGATCAGATCCTCAGTTATCGTTCCCGTCGATGGACTCCTCCATATAGCACTTGGGGCGGTGTACACATTTCATTTCTTCTGTTTTTAATTGGGTTCACTTGCAGGCATGACAGATGTTCGGTGCTTTCAGTTTTAACATTAACTGCTTGGGGCAAGAGGATTGATTCCAGCCCACCCCCTTTCCTCCAATATGTGATTGGCACTGTCAGAGCTAACCACGCCAAACCTGTTTGGCAGGTAAATGCTTGGAGCCAGTTATTGGGGAGCGGGCTGTGCAAGTGTTGTTTTCCTGGTGTGTGTTCTCTCATTTTCCCTATGGCCAGTTTTGCAGTTGCCTACGAGACAGAAACTACAGAAGTTTCTGTAGTTTGGAGTTGCTGCTTGCGAGTGTAAGCTCTAAATTAAAGGAAGTCGCTTTCCGGAGGTGTTCCCTTTAAAAAGTGCCGAGGAAATTTCCTGTTTAGTTAGTTGAGCTAAACCGTTTTCCTGTTCTTTTCCAGTATTATCCAAGATAAATTTTGCGGCATCATAAACATTTCCGTAGAAGGGCTTCACGATGTCATGACTGAAGACACGGAAACAAGAACTTTCAAAGAGTTAAGTGAAATGCTTAATTTGTTTGCGCCTGCTGCATTTGATAAGCTGCCAAGATCATCTTGCTCAACCTTGTTTACGAATGTTAAGATGAAATTTGTATGCTTTGATACTTAAAAGTGTGAACTAGTGTGGCTGTTCTAGATTGCCAATGCCTTAATAGAGGTTGGCTCACAAATGTAAGTACCATATTTTCCCGTCTATAAGAGACCTCCATGTATAAGACGCCCCCTATTTCCGATTTAAGAAAATGGGGAAAGATGTATCTGTGTATAAGACACCCCCAAATTTTTGACATTATTTTTTAGGGAAAAAACCTAGTCTTATACACAGAAAAATACGGTAATCATTTTGCATTCAAGTTTTATATACAGCCATTGACAAATGTCCATATTTATGTGTGCATACTTTTTTGTACAGATGATCAAGACTTGTTTAGTTTAGATCAACTTGCATTGGTATCATTGCTTATAAAGCCTGCTTAAATAAGCCTCTCGTTTGGATTTACGGAACTGTATGCAATTATTGAAGGATTTTAAAGTAGGCAATTAGGAGCATAGATTTTTAGCTAATGTAGTGCCAACAAACCATTCCATCAGCACAAAGATTTATGCTTGTGACACCCCCCCCCCCCCAGCACTTCAGAGAGCTTTTGGAGAAATCCAGAGCAGTTGTCCAAAAAGGAGAGGTGGGGTTCCTGCTGCACAAGCTTAAATTCCTGTGCAGATGGGACAGTTACTACACTGAATACAGGCCAGAAAAAACTGCCTTAGACCGAGTCAGGCCATTGGCCCATCTAGCTCAGTACTGTCTCCACTGATTGGCTGTGGCGCTCCAGGCTCCAAGCTGAGGTTGTTGGCTTGTTTGGTTGCATGATATCTGCACATGGATTCAGAAACGACAAAAAAATGTTCTCTTATGTGTGATAGCAAATAACCAGTGTGGCGTAGTGGTTAGAGTGTCAGACTGGAACCTGGGGGAGCAGGGTTCAAATCCCCACTCAGCCATGAAGCTCACTGGGTGGCCTTGGGCCAATCACTGCCTCTCAGCCTAACCTACCTCGCAGGGGAGGCGGAGAGCTATGTATGCCTTAGAGAAAATGGTAGGGTATAAATGCAATAAATACATAAAAATGCCTGCAGAGGAAAGCAGCAATTACAGAAGACATTGGCATGTTACAAGCATACTTGAGTCCACTCTTCACTTCCACCTGAAAGTATTGTTCTGTTGTGTTTCGATCCATGTTTTCTCTCATCCTCATCAAGAGATTTCTGGGGTTGCTGGCATAGCAATCTGTGATGATTGCTCTGGGTGCCTGGCTCATGAACTCTTTTTACACAGTCAATTTATCATGAGATTACAATTCTAGAGACAGGGAAGTAGAGCACTGATCAATGGGGCTTTTACATTCATTGCCTTCTGTTGCCTGTATCCAAAAGAATTTGGAGTGATGCTATAAACAGAGTTCAAGAAGCAGTGCAGGTTCCCTCTTGTGTTTATCTATTTGTGAACAACAGGTAAATGTTGTTTTTTGTTTTATACCCTTGCTTTGAAGCCCTCACACACTATGGAGCTTTAAAAGTTACAAAACAGATCTTTAAGGATCCAATCGCAGACCCAAAGATAAACATAACATTGCATTTGTGACCTTGCATTGCAAGCACAATTCCCTTTGTACAGTGAACCTATACGAGGATGCAACAAACAGTTTGAATGAGAAGACCAAAAAAAAAAGTATATTAGACTTTTAACTTCTCTTGGCATGCCTAAGTTGAAAGCCCTAATTTATTTGCATCCTGTTTTTTTAGTTGCATGCTGATGTCTCTTTCTGAAGAGCCCAAAGTGACGGAAGAAGAAGAGCCTCCCACAGAGCAGGACAAAAGGAAAAAGATGGTACGTGCCCAGCACTTCGAGTGCCGAAAGATGTAATTTAGCCATGCATAGACCAACTTTTTTGTTCCTCGGTTTAATTGCTATCATGTCCATAGTTCCTGAAACACTCAGCCCCATCCTGCACTGTGCAGTTAGGCTGTGATGTTCATGCTTCTACTGTTCATGTTTGTAGAAACAAGGCAGCATAGACAGGATTGTGATAGCTGGACTTCGGAACAGCATCTTTGGATTCTACAGAAAACTAGAACCATATTCACACACACACACACACACACAGAGAGAGAGAGAGAGAGAGAGAGAGAGAGAGGGAGGGAGAGGGAGAGAGAGAGGGAGGGAGGGAGACATATAGAAGAAATTAGAAGATTAAGCCTGAGGAAACTCAAAATTTACCCAGAGGATTCTTTAGAATTCCTTGGATTGTTTGACTTTTGAAGAGCAGACCAATGCATACCACATCACACGCTGCTTTTGAAAATCCCCTCAGTTTCAAAAGCAGTTCACTGCCTGGCACAGAGAGCCACTATTTAAGCAACATAAGCCCAGTGCCCCTTTGGAGATGCAGAACTGGTTGTGCATGTCGTTGGATCCTAGAATGCTGCCATTTGGCCCACCGTTCATTTGCTTGTTTATTTCATGAAATTTATACATTGCTTGCTTATAAAAAATAATAATCTCAAAGCAGTTTACAAAAAGATAAGACTAACATCAACAACAATTTACAACCTTACTTTAAAACTTACAAAAGTTAAAATACTAAAACAGATTAAAGTTACCTCAGATATTCTGTTGTAGACTTCAGTTTTCATGCAAAACTCTGGGGGCCCTTCCTCCTTTGCTTTCTATATACCAAATTGCCAGTATATTTTGCTCTAAAGATTTGATAATTAACACTGCCATTCTTAAAAGTTATTAAGACTTGGCTTTCCCCATCTTGTTCACATCTTAATTTAGCACCTCCAGTGCCTGTAATCTGGAGCAGGGAACTTAATAATCTAACCTTTTGCTTTTTAAAAACATAGCTCAGGGCAGTTTATGACAGACTGAGGAGTTATTCCTCACAAACTGAGAATAACTTACTCCTGCTTGGAATAACTGCTTAGAGCTAATAGCTTTTTTTAAAAAAATAAAAAATAGAGTGTTGAAAAAATGTGAAATAATGGCTTGAAAATGATCACATGGATAATTTAGTATGCAGTTGATTAAAAAAACTACACATATGTACACACACACAATATGCATACTTATATGTATATGGTCTGCAAAACTTGCAAGAACAAGATTATAAATGGGGGGAGGGAATGCTAGATAACTGGTGATAACTTTATTGACCAGTGGTTCCACATAGTAGGGACTGGCATTTGGTTCATTCTCCCTCCTCTGAGTGAGCAGCTGGTGTGAATTTGATGCTCCATGCTAGCAGAGACCCAGAAAACCTGATTCTGTCCTCTGACTAAAGCGGGTAGGAAGATCACATGAAGAAGTCCTTGTGTGTGACTCGGCAAGAGAGCTTGCTATCCTAGCAACTGAGTGCTAGTCCCAGCTCATAGGGCAAGGAATAGGAATGTTCATACTCCCGTTTGAAACAGATTAGGAAGTTCATCCTGAGGCTAGTTTGCTTTCATGCCCAGTTTTTAAATTAGTTTTATTTCAAATCATTTGCCTTTCCTGATTATGAAGTTTGTGGGAACCACCAGCTATAATGATAGGCTAATAGAACAAGGAAGGAGTCGGTGATTGTCATGCATGTGGGCACCAATGTCACTTGAGATTTGACCACTGGCCCCCAAACCATGGGTATCCATACGCTCTTGCTTCACTGGTCAATAATACTTCACAATATATCCAGTTCCTTTAAAGAATGTGTTCTGCAAAAGAAGGGGTGGGGAGTGTTCGTTTGTCATTTAATATTATCTCAAATACCGATGGTGTTCCTCACTGCTGAAAAATCCAGTTGTGTTCTCTCAACACAACTCTATCACCCACAAATTGAAACTCTGCTGTTCTAATTGGCCCTGTACGTGACAGGAATAACATTCCTGAAAAGTAGAATTTTAAAAGTTTTACTTGATAATCTAAATTGAGTTTCAGGGCGCTCATTCCTATATTTCCAACGGCTTCACACTACAAAACGTTACTGCACATAGACAATGATCAGAAATACGAGGGAAGTATTTTATTTTATTTTAAATAATATTTCTTAATTTTCAACCGTTTAGACACAACAAAATAGAAAAAACAAAAAAAGAAAAAGAACAAGCATAACAAAATAAGACATAAACCATTTAAAACACAAAACAATTTCATTCTCTTATTTCCACGACCTCCTCACACCTCCCTTTTTGTATTCCACTTCTGTTAATTGTTTCAGCAATTCCTTTCCATCTTCCTCTGTTTTCTATCCTATAATTATCTTAACATATTCTAACCTTATTTTTCCCTTTAATACTCTGTTAATCTATTTATACTTAATTCCTTTTAGCATTTCTACTAGAGCCATATAACTTCATTCCAACATTTTTCTTACATTCATTATTTTTACAGTATTTCTATAAATAGTCTTAAACTTTTTCCAGTCTTCTTCCACCGACTCTTCTCCCTGGTCTCGGATTTCTGCCAGTCGTTTCCGCCAATTCCATATAGTCCATCAACTTCATCTGCCATTCTTCCCGAATAGATAAATCTTGTGTCTTCCAGTACTTCACAATGAGTATTCTTGCTGCTATTGTTGCATACATGAGAAAAGTTCTATCCTTCTTTAACACCAATTGGCCGACCATGCCCAGGAGAAAGGCCTCTGGCTTCTTCAAAAGGGTATATTTAAATACCTTTTTCATTTCGTTATGAATCATCTCCCAAAGTGTCTTAATCCTTGGGCATGTCCACCAAAGGTGAACTCTAATCCTCAAATTCGTCTGTTTTTCTTTAAGTTCAGTCATAGCAAGCGTCAACTTATGTTCATCAGGTTGCCTCTGTAGGGCTGGGGCTCTCTTTCTCTTTCTCTCCAGTTGTGTTACTTTACATTCAGCAACAACAGCGAGGGAAGTATTTTAGGATTCCATAGTGAGACACAGCCATGCTTCCGTGAAGTGCATGTAGTTGCTCTAGATTCTGTAGCCACCCAATGAGTCACAGATGTCCATATTATAATTAAGCAAGTTACAGTGATTAAAACTATAAATTAATTCCAGGGAGGTTTATGGTTTTGTTTCTATGGGAAAAAATGACTCACATGAGAGAAGTAAATACTGTCTTTGCTGGTATGTCCTCCTAAGTTAAATGGAACTTACCTCCAAGTGGGTGTGCATAAGATTGCAGCTTCAGAATTAGATATGTTTTGCTTATAAGCCTATAGCTTGAAAATGTTACAGCAGTATGAAACACTAATCATCATTAATGAGGAATAGAAGCAGAAGAAAGACATAGTCCAACATGCAAGAATAAAAGACATATTTTGTATAAGACAGAAGTAAGGCAAAGGGAGATTATTTCCCTATATGAACGACAAGAAATAGAAAATTACTATCCAGGCTCATTAATGGAATTTTTTTTCTACTTATCAAAGGTTCTAATGAGGTTTGGGGGGTTTGCTGAAAACTTGGCTGGTTTACCTAGGCCTTACCTGGCTGCTAATACTAGGTATATTACACTTGAACTGCTGACACCAACACTGAAGGGATCAGAGAAACAGAAACTCAGTTCTGAAATGTCTCAACTTGTGAAGTTAGACTATAGTACTTTAAAGTTTGGTGAAGAATGCCTCCTATTGGCTAAGTGAAGAACTATCACAAACCCTAGGAATTAGAATGACAATAATTCCATTTTTCAATTTTTTTTGGTCACAAAGTTAAAATCATTTTTCTTTCTACAGAAGTAGATTTAGTGACTTCTGAGCCACTTAAAGTCATAACGCTTCTTGGGTTTTTGAGAGCTTCTTCTGCTTTCTCCTTGAATCTGATTAGTCTGAATGGCCTTGTTTGTGATTAGAATTAAGATTTGATCTGATTGGTGGTCCTCAGCAAAATTTCTGGGAGCCATTTTAGCACTGAAATCCTAAATCATCACAAATTGTATTCATACAGACAAAAAGACATTTGTGTGCTGTGAATGTTTATTATGCATTGAGGTAGCTACAGTGGTACCTCGGGTCAAGAACTTAATTCGTTCTGGAGGTCTGTTCTTAACCTGAAACTGTTCTTAACCTGAAGCAGCACTTTAGCTAATGGGGCCTCCTGCTGCTGCTGCATCGCCGGAGCATGATTTCTGTTCTCATCCTGAAGGAAAGTTCTTAACCCGAGGTAATATTTCTGGGTTAGCGGAGTCTGTATCCTGAAGCGTATGTAACCCAAGGTACCACTGTATTTTATTTCTATTCCACCCGCTTTCATTCCAAATGAATATATCATAATTTCAAATTTTAAAATACATATATCTTGCAGTCCATGAGCACACACCAAAAGGCCCTCAGCTACTAATGTGATTTCCAAGTGGATGGATTTAGATGCCAAAAACCACACAGTAGCCTCTTCGGAATTTTACTCTGTGGCAGGTACAACCATATGAGTAAGCAGTCATTCACAACCTCTGACTCATACAGCAAAACCCTATCATAGCTGTTCCAAAACACATGCAAAAAAAAAAAAAATGTGTTTTAACACTTAATCCATCCATGTTGTGTGATACTATTAGAACCTCTCCTTATGATAAGCACTTAAGGGGCTATTGCCTAACTCCCAGTTGCCTGAATACACTCTTTATTATGTGTTTGCAGTTGATTTGTAGTTAGAATTTTTCAGCTGGTTCAGAGTACATGGATTTTTATGCTGAGATTCTGAGGCGAAAACTAAACACTGGGTGCAATTGCACATTGCCATGGCTTGCTGTGAATGCACATGGCTTAGTAGTGCATGCTGCTGAATCATTCCTGTTTTGTTCCTCCCTTTCTTGGCCTGGGAGCCATGGCTTGAAGCACAAATCTTGGCTTGCCATGGTGTGTGAACCTGTGTTAATGGTTTGTTTCTCTGCAAACAAACCAGAGTGCCAGGCCAAGATTAGTTATTGGCTTACATGGTTTCTTTTGGAGAAACAAACCATGAGCATTGGTCCACATGCCCTTATAGACAAAGGCCAAGGTTTGTTCCTTCCAGTTCAGTGAAGGGAGGACAGAAGTGGGAGCGATTCAGCAACGTACTCACTGATTGTTCATGATAAACCATGGTACTTCACAGATTCTGTCATGGTAGGAAATGGCATAGGAAAGACAAGGAAACTCAGGGCTGCTGCTTTTTGTAAGCTCTAGTTCCAGTCTTACAATTCCTTATATTGTAGTAGAAAAAAATATAATCTTGCTTATTAGAACCAGCAATATATATTAAAAACCCTATTTTGTGACTTAATCTTTGTTTAGCGTAATATGCTTTGAAAATCTTTAAGAACATGCTGATTAATCATGAGTAATTTTTATTTGCAGGATGTAATAGCATTACATTATGAATTGTGGTTTGTTTAGTTTCCCCCCCCCCCCCCATTCTACCCTGTAATACACTCTAATTGAAAAATACATTAATGACTGAAACAATTTGTCTCTTTGTAGTGATTGATTTCAAAGAGTATAATTAGGTTACCTCTCATTTATTGACATGAGATCACCTAGAATAAGTTTTTGATTCATTAAGCATGAAATCAAATCTCATTAGCATCGTACTTCATTTGAATTTGGACGTTTTCGATACATTCTTCATTGAGTGTAAATGATATAAAATTATTATTCTAGCACTGTTTAATGGGGGCCAGTATGAACCGTATATATTAATGAAAGGATGGAGACTTTGGGGTAAGCGTATTGTTGATCTCACCTGGGGCAAGGAAGCATTTTATAACTCTTTGATCAGATGATCAAATCTTGGCTTAATAAGCCAGACATACACAGAGCCAACTTTAAAGTTGTGAAACGAGGAGCAAAGCAGTTGTGTGTGGGGTCCATAAAGCTTGTACATGCCAGGATTTAATCATCCAAACAAGTATACTAATTTTATTTCTTACATTTTAGTCAAGATGCTCTAAAATTAAGGCGCTTTAGAAATATATATTGCCTTTTTGAAGGCGCACTCCCCAAAGCAAGTCCTAAAAGGAGGTTGCTGTATGTGTAAACGAACATAGATTTTTTCATAGAAGGTACATTATAAAATATTGACTGTGTTTCCACCTGATAGTGTACGTAAATTATGCTAGAACATAAATTTATTAATTCAGTTCTCAGTGAAATTGGTAGTTTATGGGTTTTCCCCCATCCCCTAACAGCTTTACTGCTTAGCAGCAATAAAGCTGCCAAAATACAAAACTATGGAGCATTTAAGTCAGCAGTGTAGAATTACAGGTGTTGCTTTTATTAGCATGCTATATTTGTATGCCATCTTTCAGCAGGAATTTCCCCAAAATGCTTCATGTAAATATGTTGAAAACTAAAGTATAATATACAATAAATTAGAATCAAGGCTAGAAACAGCAATACAGATTTCTGAACAAAAGCCAAATTATCAGCCCCCCCCGCCCAAAAGCTCAATTTACCAATAGCCAAAGTTTGCCAGTTTTCAATAAGATGCAAGAGAAATTGAGGTCATATCCATACCACACATTTAAAGCACAAGGCTTAAAAAAATCCTGGGATAGAAAAATTCCCAGCATCCTTATCAACAAACAGTTCCCAGAATTCTTTGGGGGAAACTGTGTGCTTTAAATGCATGGTGTGGAAATACTGTAGTTCAGGGGCCACCACAGAAAAAGCCCTCCTTTCACCTCACAGCCAAGTAAGACTTGCTGACAGTAAAGCCTGGGCACAAACCCAAGTTTGTGATATCTGTGTTGTGTTGTTTCACTAAAGACAGTCTTTTTAGTGCTAATGTTTTACTTTAAACATTTGAATATTCTTTGATTAAACCATAATTATAAGATACGAGCAAAAATAGGCATTAAGTGGCTGTGTAGCCAGACAAACTTTCTAATGGAGTAAAAAATAAAAATGCAACAATACACCGACTAATTGTACAAAGTATTAATTATTAATGTGATTTTCAAATTGCTTTTCTCTAGGATACTTAAGCACTTGGGACTATTTAGTCTCATTGCCTCAGAGACATTTGCAGATCTGCCTAAATTTCTAAAACCCAGTTAAATATTAGTCTCTTGGCACTGATGTTCATTCCGCGGTGCAGCTTGTTGTGTTCTTATGGAAATGAAACAGCAGCGGCAGCCATTGCCACAAAGCTAGTTTTTAATTTCCAAAAAAATGCCTCAAATAGCATAGTCAGGCATCACATATTGGAGATGGGCCCCTCCTAAAAGCACGTGCAGAGGGTGTGTGTGTGTGTGTGTAGTTATTACTTATTTATTTCTATCCTATTTATATGCCAAAACGGCCACCTCACAGCAACCCACCACACCAAGCAGTCACTGCTTTTAACTAACTGCTAGATACACTGGGTTGTAACCAACTGTGAATAATTGGGCATGCGGACTTGACTTCCATGAACGCAGTGGGACTTCCCTCTCCCTGCTCCCCCGCCACCAATGTATGGGGGAAGTTCTGTGGAGCTTGCGGAAGTTGTTCCAAACACACAGTGAGTTTTTTGGACACGGCCCTTAATCTGGGAAACTGTACATGGCTATAACATCTACATGGGACTCAGGTGGTGCTTTTGTCTAAACCACTGAGCCTCTTGGGCTTGCCAATCAGAAGGTCGGTGGTTCGAATCCCCGCAACGGGGTGAGCTCCCGTTGCTCAGTCCCAGCTCCTGCCAACCTAGCAGTTCGAAAGCATGTCAAAGTACAAGTAGATAAATAGGTACCACTCCGGCGGGAAGGTAAACGGAATTTCTGTGCGCTGCTCTGGTTCGCCAGAAGCGGCTTAGTCATGCTGGCCACATGACCCGGAAGCTGTACGCCGGCTCCGTCGGCCAATAAAGCGAGATGGGCGCCGCAACCCCAGAGTTGGCCACGACTGGACCTAATGGTCAGGGGTCCCTTTACCTTTTATAACATCTACCTTTGTAATGCCAACATTAGCTTTGTACATTTCCACATTGATCACTTTTATTCTGCTGGATTCTGGAAATACAATAGCTTTAGTAAACTTCCATTTTAACATTTTGTTGGGATGCGGCACAGCTAACTAAGCTGTTCTATCAAGGAAGCTGCTGCCGGCTAAAAATATTTTGGAGAGGCTCTCATAATTAGAAAACTGCTAAGGTTGGTTAAACTAGTCTGACAGAATAAGTGATTTCTTATTGTTGCCTAGGGAGATGAGATACTATTAATAAGTTGACAGTTAAACTGCACAGGATGAAGCAGGGCTACAGCACTATCCCTATTTAGGTCTTTGTTCAGACAACAATACTGTGACAGGCAAATCGTTAATTTGATAAAGTAGTACATAACAATTTGCAGAACAAAATTGCAGAATTTAGCAAATTATTTTTTTCAGTTGCTCTTACATGATTAAAAAGAAATATATATCAAGACATCTCTTTTTCTTACATCCCATTCTCTGGTCCCACTGCATAATGGCACCATAAGGTACACTTTTTGGCATCACAGAAGACAAGAGTAACGTTGGACGGGGGGAAGACACAAGCAGGTCTAGAATTGAAACTTCTAGTTCTGCAAAGTGACTCTCTAACCACACAACCACAGGGACAAACAGGAGAAAGGATTAGAGAGTGTTCAATCTCAGAAACGAAAAGAATTTGAGGATGGGAAAGATTTGGAAACCTTCTTCCAACAGAGCTGTTCTTTATTTCAAAAGAGTATAAGAAAACAGAGTTTCTTGACCTGTAATGGACAGGTTCCAGGCTTTCCAAGCAAAGAGCATCCATATTTGTTTTTGTTCCTAATATAATTCCTATTAATATAATTCCAATAACTATCTTATTGATGTTTGTGGTGGTAAACTCACTTTTAATTTTAAACCCAATCCCAAACCTTGGACACAGACGCTACTATTAATTCATTATAAATCACCATTGTAAATCACCATGTAAGCTTCTGTTTGAAGGTATAGTTTGCTATTTTAGAGTTTTCTTCAAGTTTCTCTCCCCTTCATTGAATGATTTGGGGGAGGGTATTTTTAAAATCAGTCAATCTGTTGTAAATGCAGTTTTAAAAAATAGCTAATGTTACATGACATAAGGTGCTTTTCTCAAACAGAACTTTGCAATTTATGTTCTCAGTTTCCCTGTAGATTTCCCCATAGATTTCTCTGAACAATATCTTGCACAGTTAGAGGACATGGTTGTTTTTATGGCTGAAGGAGATTCTTCAGCAATTACTTGGGAAGGTGATAGTCTCAATTTCCATAGCAATTCTGCTTCGTAGTTGAGGTCTTGAAACTTGGTATTTTCTAAACCTTCACTTTTGAAACGTTGCCAGAAGGCACTGTGTGTATCTCACAGAGCACTGGAGAATTGAAAGAGACCCCACAGCCTTCAAATAATAAATATATATGTTTATAATCAGAGGGAGAAAGATCAGTCAGACCAATCCAAAAGTAATACTGCTTGACATTTGGGCTGAGGCTGTAGCTCTGTTGATGTGCAGATCTTAACACCTATTTGCTTTGCCTTACACTTTTTTAGCCTGGGTATTCTGAGCTATTTCTTGGTGAAACATCTGTCTGAGTTGGCTAATGAGAAATTTAACAGTGGTACTTAAGCTTTTAAAATTTCCTGAGAGAGGTAAAACTGCAAAAATGAAGATATCTGTCGTTTGGGGATGTGAGCAATGTTAAATTAATGAGCACTGCAGCTAAAGATTAATTTCAATGGATGAAATAGCAGAGTTCCTCTTTGGAAGAATTTGGAACGGGCAGATGTAAGAATTGCAGAAAACAAAAGCTTTTTTTTTTTTTTTACTCCAACTTAGATTATAAAATAGATGAATGAGTCATCGTTGCCCTGGGTCTGCCTGCTGTTTTCATTATTATATATTGTTCTTATCTGTATCCCACAGCTTGCACTGAAGGATCCAGTACACTCTGTGTCGCTGCAGCAATTTGTATATGAGAAGCTAAAAGCACAACAGGAATTGCTAGGAGAACAAGGCTTTCAGGCGCTCATGGAAACTGTGGATACAGAAATAGTCACTCAACTCCAAGACTTCTTACAAGGCTTCTGAAAAAGCAGAGACAAAAATTTCTACTTCTCTTTTCTTCACTTCAACATTATAAGGGCAAACTAAGCAGCCTTACATCTAACTGCAAAACCCAGCTTTTAAGAGAGAATTTCTTTTGGCAGCTACGGAAAAAGAGGCTATGGCGCTGGATTATTGTTTTTTCCAATTAAGACAAGATTGAAATAATAAATATAAACTCTCTTCTAATTAGTTTTACATGCTTGTTTCACGAAAATGCAATTTGCATATGGAGTAAAGGTTTCCGCACACGAGAGGCTATAAAAGCAGGTGTTTAATTTACTGTTTGTAGAATGGCAGTGGGTTTGATCTTCCAATCATGTGCTCCTAACACTTAAGAAATAGTGGCTACAGATATTTTTTTTCCTGCAAGGATATCAGCTCTCTTAGACTGCCTTACACTTTTGTTTACTATTCAACTTGTAATAAAATGTAAGGTTTGAAGAGTGAAGGGAAGGAATGTGAGGTGAGCAAGTCCTCAACTGAGTCTTCAATTTAAATAGTATAAATAGTGGCAAGTATTCTAAGGGTTTCCTCTATGGGGAGTTGGACGTCTTTTGCAAAAAAAGAAAACCAATAAGGTCATCCAAATGTTTTGAATTTACTATGTTGATTACCTGTAGAATGTAAAGGTTTAATAAATTTGCTTTTGTCTTAGCTCCTCAAAAATTATTTTGATTTAAAATGTAGCACGTGGACCCAGTGGTGGATTTCTCTATGTGTGAGTTCAAAATTGATAACCTGGTCTCAGGATGATGGGAGGTGAATATATTGAATATATTATACACCCTAAATGAACATGGTGCTTGGGTATATGTATCCTGCGCCTCCTTTAAAATGGTTAAGTGTTGTGAGATAGCACTTAATATCTTCTGGCTGATTCTAGGAGAATGGGAACGACAGACCTCAAGTCTATCTGGGAAAATGAAGAAGGCTACACATCAAGGAAAGGGAGTTGAGAAACTTGTAGGTTCCCAGAACCTTCATTCCATTTCCTCCTATCTCACTTCCTAATCTCCTATTTTAAGAAGAGGCTTGGTTTTTTTTTTCTTTTTAGGCAAGGCTTCTTAAGTCCACCTGTTCTCTAATGTAAGAAATCAATTTTTAAGGAAACGAATCAGAAATATGCAATCAAAACGTTAGTATGATACTTGCTGCAGGAAGCTGGCAACTCTATGCAACTGTGGGGAGCCAAGTTTGCCATGTAAACTGTAGGTTACAAAGTGTACTAGAAAATAAAACCTGATGTTTCCAGAATTCAAAAGAGTAGAATTTCAATTACATTTTCCAGCAATACCCCACTTCTTTCTTATTCTCTAAGACTGCATAGAACTCTTATCAGTAAGTCAGAGGCAGTGCCTCCTTCAACATACTTCTTGTAGCTATAAAGAATAGAAGTGCAGTGAATTTTAAGTAGCAATATTGCCATATTGCATTCCATTGTGCATCTCCCATGACCTTAGGTTTAGTCAGAGATTTATATTGCAATCCCTTCTCAGGAGTTATTCTCATTGAGCTCAGTGGGACTTACTCATAGGTAAGCATGTATAATAAGATTGTAGCCTAAGGCCAAAAAAAATGTTGCCAAAGCCAAAATAACATTAACATTAAGATACAATTAAATGTGTTGTAAAATGTTTTAATGGTAATGCAACCATTAGGATTAGGAAATTTCACAAAATGTACAGCTTTAAACCTGACTGAGTTTGGGTACTAAAATAGCTGCAACTAAATTTTGGAACATTCATCCCTCCCCCTTCCCTTTGTGTGTGCTCATGATAAAAAATATCATCCCTAGACTCAGCTCCCATCAGTCTCAGTCAGCATCATCAATGGTAAAGGATGATGGGAGTTGTAGTCTATCAACATCTTTAAAGGTCTTCTTATAAATGATCATTCCTCCTGTGAAAGAGAAAGAACCTTTAAATAATAAACCACAGAGTCAAGTGATGTGGTGCATCCTGAATCTCAGAAAGTCAGAATTTAAAATGATGGTTTCATAACCAACAACAGCCTCCTTCCATTTACATCTGCAGAATATTCTTGGCCTACGGAGTTTAAAATCGTCAATATTCATGTGTTTATTCAATCAATAGGCCTATAGCCTGCTTTTCCTTTTGAGGAGCTCAGAACTTCGTTGGGCCGCCATCAAGTATGACTTTTTGATTTGTAGGGATTAGTGGCTGATCAGTGGAAATCTCTCCTTTTCATAGACATTCCTAATAAATCCCACCTTAATTAAGAAGCCATATTGCTGCAAAATAAGAATGGTGGTAATTTCTCCCTGTTATTCTGAGTGAATGCTGCAGTGATCTTCTAGATTCTCCTCCAGAGTTCCTTGCATGTAACCCCTTCATATTAATAAGCAGGTTTTCTGCATAACAATTAGACGACTTAAAAGTTCTCTGTATTTCATGTTTTTGATGTGATCTGGCATCTGTAAATGGTCCTACAGTCCATGGAATAAAGTAGGGAGAGTGCCTGTTTGAGCAACAGCCAACTCAGCTGCTACTGAGGGGGATGCTTGGGGAGTTGGGGCTACAACTGTGTGATGCATTGCCTCTCATGCATTTCAATACTCTGTAAAGGACTGGTCTCCTTGGAGCCCGAGCTTCAAAAACAGTCAGAACTGTGCTCTACCTTCCCTTGAAGGAAATCTGCTCTTTTGCAATCCTATGATCTATCGCCTGAGTTTGAACAGCAAGTTGGGAGGAGGAGGCTGTATCAACATCACTCAGAAAACACTTTCACAGCGTTCGGAGTTCTACAGAAAATATCCTGGTCCAGGTGAAAGCCAGTTTAGCTTCCCAATAAGATGGAGCGCTTGGTCTCATTGAAAGATGGGTGTGGGGTGGTCAGTGCTCACAGGGGAAGAGGCATTGCCTGAGATAGGTGTCAGGTGTGCGTGCAGCAGCCAGGCCCTGTGACCAATTGGACTTTGCAGGACTGGGGCCTTCCTAAGTTTGTTCTGAAGAGGCAAGGCGCAGCCGCACAGGTGAGGCCGATTGGTAACTCACAGCACCTGGTGGCAAGAGCTGGGAAGGGTTATAAGGTCAGCATTTCCCTTCAGCTCTTTGCCACAGAAACACGCTTCCTGCTTTGCTGTGTTTGGCTTCTTGCTTCCTGATCCTTGAACCTCGGCTTCTTGACTCCTTGCTTCCTGACCCTCGGACTCTTGGTTTCTTGACTCCCGGCTCTCTGACCCTCAGACTCCTGGCTTTTGGACCCCTGTTCCTGCTCCCACCCCGCCATCTTGCCCCTGGTCCTCATGTCCCCTGCCGGGACTTCTATCGCCCGTGAACCGGACCGTGACAATAGGGACCAAGCTGTTTAGTTTTACCCTGAACAACCTATCAAGCAGTATCTTGCCCTGTAGAACTTCTTGCTGTCTGGATGGATCTGACTATCTGGAACCCAAAATCATTTCCCCGGACTTTGCTGATTGGTGCTCTTCTGATATCTCAATTTAGATTTCATCAGTCACTTGCAAACTATTGGCATAGCTGGGACAAAGCATAAGAACATAAAAACTTGTGGGAGTCTCTCTCTCTCTCTCTCTCTCTCTCTCTCTCTCTCTCTCTCTCTCTTTTGTTCCTTTCCTCCCCTTAAGAGCTAGGAAGAAATAGGTTGCTTACTTGCAAGGTGAATCTTTAGAATTCTAGAACTGGAACATCTGAACTGGACTTAATTTTTGATTTATTTACTTAAGTATATTTAGGTTTCTCATTCCAGTTCCATTGTTGTTGAATAGCACCAGATTCAATTTTTACTATCCTCAAAAGATAATTGTATAGCTATACTTTAACCCCTAGAGAGGTCACAGACATGAAGTCCCTTATAATTTGGCTTCAAGAGATCTTCAGCGACTGGTTGCAAGAACTTTCAGCAGTGCAACTGAATCACCCCAAGTGTGGTTTGCACCACAACAGTGGTGTGTGTCCTGGATATAGGAGGTGGGGCTACTATGATTCATTTCCCACCAACTACTCCTGAGGAGGAGGAGGAAGGAGAGCAATTGTAGAATCCCATGAAGGTTTTGTTTCTCAGGCTGCTCAGTTGCAGCAGTATGGGGCTGTTTCCAGTGCTTTATATGGCATAAGTGTGCTGTCATGTCCTAAAACCTAGGAGACCCGGGGTTCATAACCATTCAGCCATGAAGCTCACTGGATGCCCTTAGGCCAGTCACTGCTTCTTAGGCTAACTCACCTCACAGGGTTGTTGAGGGGATTAAACACAGGTGGACAGGACTGTGTGTGCCACCCTGAGCTGCTTGGACCAAAAAAAAGTGGAATATAAATTTAATAAATAAAACATAAGCCTTTCAAAGTAGGGGCAATTGTAGTTATGGGCAAGCTACTGTGGCCAGGTCAAGATCATAGGATCCTGCTTTCTGTTTCAGTTCTTCCTAGCACCACAAATTTCCAATAGCTCATCACTATTCATCCTGTTTAGTTGTCTGCGTGATAATTGCCAGCAGTGCCTTTCTGCATTCTGGTGAGCCAGCCTTTGTGCCATAGCATAAATGGGCATATGCCTATCTGACTTCAGACGTAGCAATATTCATAAACCAGATGTTTCAATCTCCTAGGAAACTCTGTAACTTACATTAGTGGCCATCATAGAACAAAGGAGCCTCAAAGGGAAACTTCAACGTGAAATCACTGAATTACAATTCCATTACAGGTTTGGTGCTATCACTTGTGGACTCAATCAGGACAAAGGTTTTTTAATCACACTATGTGTGTTAATTGCCTTACCAATGCCAGGATGTCTGTATTATCAACAGGTATTTCGTAAACGACCACTCTTAACTGCATAATTGTCACTGGTTTTTCCCTGTGTTTTTTTCAGCAACCCCCCCCCGCCCCATTCATTGAAGCCCACCTCAAAAAATTCAAATGTTACCTGAAAGTTTTTGAACAGATTCTAAATGTACCTTTATAAACCTTCCCATAAATGTGCACATTTTGAAACTTTAATTACAGGGGGAAAGCATCATGTACCATTCTCTCTCTTTGTCTTTAAATACAGAAGGGGCGAGTCCTACCCCCTAGTGTAAACAGAAGAATGTTACTATTACTTTTAAAGGTTATTATACATGGTCTTTATCTCTTAGAAACATATTCTTCCAAACTATTTTCCATTGCCATTAGTGATGTTTGCATTGCAAAATGTCAATAGAAATCTCAGTAATAAAAAGTTACAGCCCTCTAATAGTTCAAACAGTTCAGGAGCTTATGCATGGCTCTTTGTTCTTTTAACTTTTCTTTGTTAAACTGAAGTGCTAATTTATCCTGGCCTTTTCCAATAAAGCTGAAGGTTGTAATTGTTAACACTGGTACCAGAAGTCCATAAAAATAATGTTAGCATACTGTGAAGGGGAATCTGGTTTATTTCATGCACCCACTGATGTAAAAATGTCACCAGCAAAATATATCTGCATCCTGACTACAAAATCATCAGTCATACAGAACTTTAACAACCATCATCAAAGTTTAAAACCCAATGCACTTAGTATACCTGTTTCAGAATGTTCTTATTTCAGCCTAGTGGGTGATTAATGATGGACAGGCTTCTCTTCTTCAAATTCCTGTGTGGTGCACCTGGAGAAGTTTATTCTTTCTTTTTTTTAATATGGCAGAGAAAAGAGAGAGAAAAAGGAAAAAGTGAGAGAAAAGGGGAGAACGAAAACATCTGCTCATATTAAAACTACAAGCATCTATACACCTGACTTAATTGAAAAATGTAAATGAATATATGCCATCCAGATGTTCAAAACAGCTTTGGGGGGTGAGTCCTTATGGGTGTCAAGAGACTTAAGACTTTGAACCCTGAGGAGGTGGATAGCTCAAATGGTTAGAGCAATGGTTCTCAGCCTTTTTTGGGGGGGGGCAATGCCCCACCTAAGCATCTCTAAAATCCTGATGCCCCCGTCACATATAATTCTTATTATTCAAAAAGTGAACTATTCACATGGAGGAAGCCTAAAAGGCCATTCACTGTTAATAACTCATTCTCAAATTGCGCCCCTTGAAAATCAAATTGCCCCCTGGGGGGGGCGTGCCTCACGCTGGGAACCACGGGGTTAGAGTGTGGTGCTGACAGTGCCAGGGTTGCAGGTTCGATTCCCATAAGGGACAGCTGCATATTCCTGCATTGCAGGGGGTTGAACTAGATGATCCTCAGGGTCCTTTCCAACTCTATGATTCTATGAGATCTGTGAGACCCACATCTATTAAACGATGGCCTGAGGACCTTGCTGTCCTGGCTACATTTGAACACATGTCAGCTTTGTGTGGATAGCTATCTCAATGAGTTTATTCTTCCTCCATTTTGTGCATAGATGCAGGAAAATATCCAAACACTAACCCTCTGGAACAGTACGAAATTTTATACTGCTGTGAAAGGTAGCATGAATAAAGAGCAGCAGCAAAGATGAGTCCAGCAGAGGTCCCCCTCATCTTGGTCCTGGCCCTCTCAAGGGTAGAGAAATGTTAAGCAGCGTGGAAGGCTGGTCAGAACTTAAAAGCCTGCAACGAGTGCTGTGCATTGGATCTAGCCAAATTCTGGCTTCTGAACCAAATCGGGCTGATTATGGTCAACCCAGGATGTCACTGGATCGGGTTGAAACAGCCCCGGATCAGATCTGGAGCTGTCAAGATTGTTGGGAAGGGATCTGGCTGTGATGGGAGAAGGAAGAAGCCTGCCAGGCTTGCATGACAGTGCAAGACCCCTGAATTGGGTGGCCCCAGATTGGATTGGGACCACTCTGAAGCACTGGATCAGGCCCCAAATCAGATTGGCATGGAGGGGCATGCACAGACCTAGATCCCTCAGAGGCTGCATTCCAACATAGAATTATAGAGTTGTAGAGTTGGAAGGGACCTCAAGCGTCATTTAATCCAAGCCCCTGCGTTGTAGGAATCTCAGCTAAAGCATCCATGGCAGATAGCCCTTCAACCAACCTCTGCTTAAAAAAATCTCCCATGAAGGAGAGTCCACCACTTTGCAAGGGAGTCTTATGCTGAATAATGAGCTTGGCTTAGAAACCTTTGATTACCGGAGAGTGCAACCGTCTTCCCTCCAGATTGTAACCTGGTGACTTCTGGCAAGGGAAAGAGCCACGTCTGTCACCCTTCAGTGCAGGATCTATTCCTTCAGACCATGGAAGTCTAGAAACATTTGGAGCTGCTGATTGTGAGGGAGGCTTTCATTGTAAAATAAATAAAATAGCAGTACAGGAGCTGAAGCAACCTCATCAGCTTTCAGGCCCACTCTCTACAAATATTTACTAAAAAAATGAGCCTAGCTTTACTGCATAGCTAGCAGCTACCAATACCCATTTGAGCGCTCATCCATTTTTCATATTTGGGGATCTGTAAGTAAATCCACTGCACTTGATTATTTCATTTTACAGAAATGCTTTAAATGTATGGTGTGGATGCAGCCCCAGTTGCTGGGAGGTAACAATACAAGAGGCCTATATAGTGGTACCTCGGGTTAAGTACTTAATTTGTTCCGGAGGTCCGTTCTTAACCTGAAACCGTTCTTAACCTGAAGCAGCACTTTAGCTAATGGGGGCCTCCTGCTGCCGCTGCGCCGTTGGAACACGATTTCTGTTCTCATCCTGAAGCAAAGTTCTTAACCCGAAGTACTATTTCTGGGTTAGCAGAGTCTGTAACCTGAAGCGTCTGTAACCCGGGGTACCACTGTATCCTTTTGTGGACTTCCTGGAGGCATCTAGTTGACCACCTTGGGGCACAAGATGCTGGAATAACTGGACTTTAATCTGATATCACAGGGCTTTTCTTAGGTTTTTATTTTCCCTGAGCGACCTGCTTCAAATATCAGTCACATATTTTCAGAAAACAATGCAAGGCTTTCCTATTCAAGCTTCTAACCATGTTTAGTGATCCATTGGGCTCTCTCCCTTTCCCCTCCTTTTCTAAAGTCTTTATTTTTGAGATTTATTTATTTTTAGATTTTCAACAGATACAATAGATTAGCAGTGATGCCCATAACTCTCCCCCATGCCCAGTAAATTCAATGTGTGCTTTTCAGCAGTCAAAGTTAAGTCCTAATATATTTCATGTCCTTGATGCTTATTTTGTAATAATGCTTCACTACCTCATTTCTGTTTTAACTTGACAGTTTCCACCACTGGATTCCATGGGCGACTGGAGAAGTCCTTGCTGCATTGCTCTTCGTCGGCCATTATTTCTGTTTGCCACTTTTTAAGGTGGGTAGGTGAAGTGATGTTGTTTTTCAACGTTGGTGGGATTCAAAGAACTGGCCTCTAAAATAATGCAGCAGAAGTCAGATGCCTCAATGAGGAAGTGCAAAGAAGAGGGAAAGAGTCTCATCTCCCCACTCTCAATCAAGCCCAGCAAAGCAACAGCTTCTCCCAGGCCATGACTTTAAGAATAGCAGAAGCAGCTAGGAAGGGAGAAGAGTTTAGGGATTTTTTAAAAATATATTTTAATAAGTTGTGTGCCTTCGTTTCTCAATTTGACCCTTTTACATGGTTTTGTAGGTATGGTGGTATTTTATGCATTGTGACTAACAGTTATTTCTAGTGATCATAGTTTAATAATTATTTAATTTATTGTAATCATTAAGAGTGAATTTCTCTTTAATTATTATTTGCTGATGTTCTGAGAGTCAATTTTATTGTGTACTATTATATGCTAATAGACTATTGAAAATAGCTGTCAACTTACAGATTTGAAAATAAGAGACCAGCAGCCAAAATAAGGGATTTTAGCAAACCAGCTGAAATACGAAGTTAAAAGGGACCAGATAATTTTGGAGAGCAGCGCCGGTTTTTAGCCCTTCGTTTCCAGAGGTTGCTGCTCAAGACACCAGCAGATGAAACCCTGCAATTAAATAACTACAAGCAGCAACCCCTTTTCGTGCAAAACGAAGTCTAAGCTACGAAGATGCTGCGGCAGTTCTGTATCTTTTCTCTTGTGCTCCATCTGCAGCTCTCAGTTCCATCAGGTGGGGCGGGAGGAGGGGGGGAAATAGTGCCCGAAGTAAACCCGCAGATCAGACCATCTATGCTAGTCTACCACTACAAATCAATGGGAGAAGCGCTTGCGGTCATTCCCTTGTAGCCCTTGGAACACCTGCCCGTGCCTCCACCTCCACCTCCTCCTCTTCCTCCTCTCTCTGAACTGCTTTCTCTATGGTTGCCCTCGCTCTCCTCTCAAGGCTCCTCAGCAATTCATAGGCCATGCCAGGCTGCCCATCTCATCCAGGTCCTTTGGCGGCACAG